ATGCAGCCATTCTCGTGATTAGGCATGGAAATGCAGCCACTCTTGTGATTAGACATGGAGATGCAGCCATTCTTGTGACCAGACATGGAAATGCAGCCATTCTTGCGACCAGACATGGAAACAAAGGCCTCTTCTGGTCAATGGAGAAACAACTATTATGGGTAATAATGTTCTGGAGAAACAACTGTAATGGGTAATAATGTTCTGGAGAAACAACTACAATGGGTAAATGGTGTTCTGGAGAAAGAATGCTGCAACGGGTAAATGGTCTTCTTGTACAATGGCATGTTTCTACTCCCACTGGGTCCCCTCGAGGCGCTGCATCAGATACTCGACCTCGACCTCCTTGGTCAGCGGGATGACCCAATCCTTGTACATGGCGACGACGGCGTCGGCATCGACCTTGCTCACGCCATCGCTCGCCAGGTCCGGATCGGTGCCGTACGTCTTGGCCTTGAGGCGCAGGCGCTCCAGGACCTTTTTCTCGACGGCAGCGTTCGTGATGGCGTCGTCGATGCCCTTTCTGTCGGCGGCCTTGATCAGGGCGGCGAAGCGCTCGGGCTCCTTGAGGAACTTGGCCTCGGCGACAAACTTGCCAAAGTGCACGCGGCGCGACAGGGCCTGCAGACACAGGACGTCGCAGGTGGCGGCGCTGCCGTAGTTTTCCTGCGACTCGCCGCGGTCGCCGTGCTCCTTGCGGTAGCAGGCGGCGGGCAGGACGTGGGCGGTGTAGCAGGCCTTGAGCTTGCCGTTGACGTTGACCGTGTTGGGGTGCAGGATGCGCGGGTAGTGCAGCGGCTTGAGGATGGGCGGCTGCAGGACGTCTGGGAAGAAGGGGTACTCGTCGGGCGACTGGTAGCGGCGCACGAGCGACTGCAGGCGCTCCTGCTCGCGCAGCATCCAGTCGAGCAGCGAGAGGCCGGGCTCCCCGATGGGCAGGGCGTCGGGGGTGTAGATTGTCGCGTTGAGCGGGAACTGCACGCGTTCGATGAGGTGGAAGGTTATTGTGTCTTCGAGCCGGCTGGAGGGGCGCGTTAGCAGGGGAGCAGGGTGGCAGGGGATCAGGAGAGCAGGGGATCAGGAGAGCAGGGGAGAGGGGAGCAGGGGATCAGGAGAGGAGGGGAGCGGAGAGGAGGGGAGGGGAGAGGAGGGGAGCAATGGGTGGGACGGGCAAAGTACATGAGCTGGAAGCGGATGTTGGCGAGGTCGAGGGCCTTGGAGGCGTCGGAGAGGTCAATTGCTGCGTCCATCGCGTGTCGAGGATGACAGAGAACTGGTAGAGGGCGAGGGAGACGACGACGGGGTTCAGCAACTGCGTCCTGGCTTCGGCGTGTTCGAGGGCGCGGAAGAAGCGCGCGGCCGAGGACATGACTGCAGCTGGCGGTGCGAAGCAGCTAACACCTAAATGTCCGAGGGTCGGCGTGGGGATGACGTGCCGGGCCAGCTCCACCAGCTCCACCGGGGAGGGAGAGTCTGAGCGCGCCATCCCAGACGCCATTCTGCACCAGACCGTACACGCCGCTCTGCACCCGACGCAGCAGACGCACCCGACGCAGCAGACGCACCCCCCGCAGGAAGACGCACCCGCCGCAGAAGACGCACCCGACAAAGGACGACGGCCGACACGACACGACACGACACGACACGACACGACACGATCCTGCAATGCACTGAGCCGTTGCCGCCGCCGCCGCCGCCTCTCCCTCCGCTTCCGCCTCTCCCTCCGCTTCCGCCTCGCCTCTCTGCCCACATGCCGCCCGCCGCGCGTGGGTCGCCCGGCCGTGGCAGGTCGACGAGCCCGCGGCCCCTGGTCGCGCCCGAGCACGAGCATGACGACGCGGGCCTCGTCGATGGCCTGCCCGACACGCGCCAGCTGCAGGCGTTTGGCCGCAAGGTCACGGCGACGGCCAGCAGCCTCATGGGCACCGAGGGCGTCGCGCAGCACTACCAGAACGCCCTCGGCGAGCTGCACCGCGAGATCCGTCGGCCGATGCTGCAGCGCTCCGTCTTCTCCTTTGCCAACACCACCCCGCGCGAGATTGTGCGCTCGCGCATCTCCGTCCCCGAGATCCAGCAGCGCGCCCTCGCCTACATCCCCGACGACCTGCTGCACAACATCCCCGAGGACGCAAACGACTTTTCGCTGTTCCAGGGCTTCCAGGCCTCGCTGCCCGACGACCCCGCCCACAATCCCCCGCCCGCCCTCAATGCGCGCGGCCAGCGCCTGCTCGCCGACGGCCCGCCGTCCATGCAGAAGCTGCGCAGCCAGAAGCACGCCACGGGCCACCGCCTGGAGATGATGGGCGTGCGCAAGCACATGTGCGTCGCCGAGATCCGCGAGATGGACAACAAGATTGCCAACCTCAACACCCTGCGCAAGCTGACGCTCGACCGCCTGGCCGCCCTGGAGATGGAGGAGGCCGACCTCGAGCAGGACCTGCTGGGCCTCGACAACCGCATCGAGGACCTGCAGGAGGAGCTCGACGACGCCGCCGCGCTGGCGCCCAAGGCGCCCGCGCCGCCCTCGGCCGCCGCGGCCGCCGCCGGCGACGACGCCGAGGCCGACGACCGCTTCATGTCCGAGTCCATCTACCAGAAGCTGCCGAGCCCCAAGTCGAAGAAGCACGCCAAGCGGCCCGTACGCCGCATCTCCATGCCCATCCTGCACGAGCATCTCGAGCCGGGCTCCAACATCAAGGAGCTGCCCGCCCACAACGACACCATCACCGCGCTGGACTTTGACGCCCCGTGGGGGACCCTCGTCACCGCCTCGCTGGACGACACCGTGCGCGTGTGGGACCTGAACGCCGGCCGCTGCATCGGCATGCTCGAGGGCCACCTGTCATCGGTGCGCTGTCTGCAGGTCGAGGAGAATGTGGTCGCGACAGGCTCCATGGACGCCACCATCCGCCTCTGGGACCTCAGCAGAGCCGAATACGCACCCCTCGACAACCGGATACACAAACACGGCGACGGCGACGGCGACGGCGACGGCGAAGAAGACGAGGACGGCCTCGCCTTTGAAAACGCCGCCGACGCACCGCCGCCGCCGCCGCCGACCATCATGCAGGACTGCCCCCTGTTCTCGCTCGAGTCGCACGTCGACGAGGTCACCGCCCTCCACTTCCGCGGCGACACCCTCGTCTCGGGCTCCGCGGACAAGACGCTGCGCCAGTGGGACCTCGTCAAGGGCCGCTGCGTGCAGACGCTCGACGTGCTGTGGGCCGCCGCGCAGGCCTCGGCCACCGACACGACCAACAGCGGCCAGTGGCGCGGCACGGGCCGCACAGTCGACTCGTCTGCCGACTTTGTCGGCGCCATCCAGGTCTTTGATGCCGCGCTGGCTTGCGGCACCGCCGACGGCATGGTCCGTCTGTGGGATCTGAGGAGCGGGCAGGTGCACCGCAGTCTGGTTGGCCACACGGGGCCCGTCACGGCCCTGCAGTTTGACGACGTGCACCTCGTCACCGCGAGCGCGGACAGGAGCATTCGCGTAAGCCACTGTTCATTCGCCCCAAGCCGAAAGACGTCTGCTGACAAGTGACTCCAGATATGGGACCTCCGCACGGGATCCATCTACGACGCCTACGCCTACGACAACCCCGTGTCCAGCATGATGTTCGACGCGCGCCGCATCGTGTCTGCCGCCGGCGACGACGTGGTCAAGGTGTACGACAAGACGGACGGGCGGCACTGGAACTGCGGGCCTGGCGCGGCTGCGGACGGGGGCAAGCGCAGCGTCATTGAGCGCGTCAGGATCAAGGACGGCTACTTGGTCGAGGGCAGAAAGGACGGCACCGTGGGTGTGTGGTCGTGCTAGCGCGGCCTGTGCGGTGCAGTGTATACAAGAGCATAGCGAGCGGGGGGTTGTACAATAGCATCAGTTGGTCGAGATTGCATCTGCGCCGCGCGTGTAATCCACGAGCGCATCCCTCGACTGACCGACGCATCTGTCACTGTGAAAGAAAGAACCTCAACCTGATACACATGCGTGCGTGCGCGAGTCTCTGCTGTCCCTCGCGAGCCGCAGCTAAGCCAGATGGAAGCTTGCGGAAGAGCTAGACAAGCAGCACAGGTGCCGGCACCGAGCCGTAGCGTCGAGCTTCTCCTACATGGCCGTTTGGCTAGCCCGGATCCGCTGACGTCAACACGCGGCGACATCAACAATTCTGCCTCGAGCTCTCGCCTCGGACTCGGAAGAGACCGTTCTCACGCAACGCTCGCTTTGACCCCATCTTGTGCCATGTGCGTTGGATCCGGCATCTAGATTGAACCAATTGCTACCCCCACTGCATCCCCTCGACACCTGCCTCAGCTGCCTGCCCTGCCCGGACAGCTCCAGCCCCTCCGGCCGCCGCAATGCTCCCGCGACAAGCAGCATCGCTGTCGCGCGCCTCTCACATTCCCTCCAGAGCGTCACCGCTGTGCAGACGGCTGCCCCGATCCGCCCTCTCGCAGAACCGCACCTTCTTCACAGGCAATGGCAATCCCGAGTCCTCGGCAAAACGCGCGCAGCTGCTGGGCTCGGCAGCGCTCAGGAGCCCGCGCCTGAACAGAGACCTCGCGCGCTCCATCTCCACAAAGCCGCTCCCAGCGCCGACCTCGCGGCTCGCCCGCTACGCGTGGCGCACCGCGGCGTGGCTGGGCGTCTTCGTGGCCATTAGCGGTGGCCTCGTCGTCGGCTTCTTCATCTACGACGCCACCACGTACAAGGAGGAGCCGGACACGGTCGACATCCCCGTGTCGGAGCTGGCGCTGAACCCGCGGCGCGGCGGGCCCAAGAACCTGCCCATTGCAGACCATTTCGTCGACGACGACGATTGCCCCGAGAACAGGGCCGTCAAGCACAAGCCCAAACTCGTCATCCTGGGCACCGGCTGGGGAAGCGTCGCGCTGCTCAAGACGCTGAATCCGGACGAGTACCACGTCACCGTCATCTCGCCGTCGAACACGTTCCTGTTCACGCCCATGCTGCCGTCCGCGACCGTCGGCACGCTGGAGCTGAGGTCGTTGGTCGAGCCTGTCAGGCGCATCGTCCGGAGGGTGCGCGGCCATTTCCTCAAGGCCAAGGCCGAGGACGTCCACTTTTCCGAGAAGCTCATCGAGTGCTCGTCCATTGGCGCCAATGGCAAGGAGAGCCGCTTCTACGTCCCCTACGACAAGCTGGTTGTTGGCGTGGGCTCCGTCACGAACCCCCACGGCGTCAAGGGGCTCGAGAACTGCCACTTCCTCAAGGACATCAGTGACGCACGGCTGATCCGCAACGCTGTGGTGCGGAACCTGGAAACCGCGTGCTTGCCCACCACGAGTGACGAGGAGCGCAGGAGGCTGTTGTCCTTTGTCATCTGCGGTGGCGGGCCGACGGGTGTTGAGTTTGCGGCTGAACTGTTCGACATGCTCAACGAGGACCTGTGCAAGCACTACCCGCGAATCCTGCGCAACGAGATCTCCGTCCACGTCATCCAGTCCCGCAGCCACATCCTCAACACGTACGACGAGGCCCTGTCGCAGTACGCCGAGACGCGATTCGCCCACGATTCGGTTGACATCCAGACAAACGCTCGCGTGAAGGAGGTTCTGCCGGACAGGATTCTGTACTCGCAGAAGGGCGACGGCGAGAATGCAAAGGTAGTGACCAAGGAGATACCCATGGGCTTCTGTCTCTGGTCGACGGGCGTGGCGCAGACGGACTTTTGCAAGAAGCTTGCCGCACAGCTCGACGGACAGAACAACAAGCACGCCCTCGAGACCGACACGCACCTCCGCCTCAGCGGCTCGCCCCTCGGCGACGTCTACGCCATCGGCGACTGCGCAACCGTCCAGAACAACGTCTCGGACCACATTGTCAACTTCCTCCGCACCACCGCCTGGGAGAAGGGCAAGGACCCGGAGAAGCTGCAGATTTCCTACGCCGACTGGCGCGGCGTCGCCAAGCGCGTCAAGCAGCGCTTCCCGCAGGCCGCGAACCACCTGCGACGCCTCGACAAGCTGTTCGAAGCCTACGACAAGGACAAGTCCGGCACCCTCGATTTCGGCGAGCTGCGCGAGCTGCTGTTCCAGATCGACTCGAAGCTGACGTCGCTGCCCGCCACGGCGCAGCGCGCGCACCAGCAGGGCCAGTACCTGGGGCGCAAGTTCAACAAGATTGCGCACGCGGCGCCGGGCATGGCGCTCAACGACGTCGACTACGGCGACATTGACGACGCCGTGTACAAGGCCTTCGAGTACAAGCACCTCGGCAGCCTGGCCTACATTGGCAACGCGGCCATTTTCGACTGGAACGGCTACGGCCTCAGCGGCGGCCTGCTGGCCGTCTACCTGTGGCGAAGCGTCTATTTCGCACAGTCGGTCAGCCTGCGCACCCGCGTCCTGCTGGCCATGGACTGGACCAAGCGGGCGCTTTTTGGCCGTGGTAAGCTCCGCTCCGCTCCTGATATGCCCGATACATGGCTGACTACCGACAGACATGATGAACTTTTAGCCCTGCGCGACTTGCATAGACCTTCCATATCCTTTTCATCGCCGCAGCGGCCGTCGCTCTATTCTAGACAGTATTATATACACCTATGCATCCTGTTCTATTCTTCCAAAAAAAATCTTAATTCCCACTGCCTGACTAGCAATACACATGATTGAACATCTAGCCCTGGGCCACCGACTTGCATAAATAAACCTTCCATCGTCATTGCGCACCAGCGCGGCCTGCAAACGTGAGTCTGTGGAGGCGGCGACGGGCGCAAAAAAGTGGTTTTCTCCGCTCCCAGAATCGAACTAGGGACCTTTCGATAACAATGAAGCTATTACAGTCGAACGTGATAAACCAACTACACCAAGCGGAGGGATACGCCCGAGGGCGCGCTTGTTCTTTGGTGAGAAACTACTCAGTTATTAGAAATATATTCTACGTAAAATAGAGAGTTGAGGCAGAGTCGCGAGTTCACGTGAGCGCCTGTCATAGCGAGGCTTGCTTCTCGCTCAGATCCTCGGGTGCACTGCCTGCTTGCTGCACTTGGTTTATCACGTTTGACTGTAAGAGCTTCGATTGACCTTTCTACAGCGTAGAGCTTGTTAGAGCGTTGGTGTCGACTCGATGTGGTATTACAATCTACAAGTCCATCATGCTAACCTCTTGCGATGCCACAATCTCTCCGTCCTCTGCTGAAGGCTCTCGTGCAACAGCCTCAACGCTCAAGCCAGCGCGGCAACAAGCCCCACGACACCTCCCGCACCTATCAGCCCCGCGCGGACATAATTCAGCATCTCAAACTTGGTCAGCAGCCCCCGGACCTCCTCGTCCTCTTGCTCCGTGCTCTCCCTCTTCGTCTTGCGCTGCGGATCGCTCACGTCAGTCCACTGACTAACATCGTCCTTGCCATTGACGCTCTCCTCGGCGCTCCTCGGCGGCGCGCCTATCTCCTCACGGTACTGGCTCGACGCCGCACTATGGCTCCCGCCTAGATTCTCGTTCTTCTGGATGAGCGCGAAGTTGGTCGGGATCATGGCGACGCTCGTGAACAATGCCGCGGAGAACGACAGCGCGCTCGCGGCCAGATACAGGCCCGGTCTGCCCTTGACGATACGGACAAGTATATCGCCTAGTGTTTGTGCAGTTGATGGCAGCGCAGCGTAGGCTAGGTACAGGAAGCCCGCTGAAGAGACCATGATGCCCGTCGGCGCTGTGTGCGAGCCACGGCTGAACAGCCACCGTAGCATGGGCAGCGAGCGGGACGCGGGTTGTGAGCGGATGAGCGGGATATCGAAGGCGGAGAGGGCTGCGATGCCGCCGGATGTGAAGAGCGCGGTGGAGAGGGTGAGGACCTGGATGGCTTGTGTTGCCGACATGTTGGAGGTGTTGGCGGCTGTTGTTTTCGGTAAGTGTTGGAGTGGTTGCGAGCGATTGTAAGTATTCTTAAGGGTCGATATTGAGGGTCGTGAGAGCGCTTTTGTGTACTTGTGATTCGGATCCCGAGTGTTGCGACTTTGCGATGTGTGATGTCATGATGATTTAGGATCCACACCCACAACGTGCGTCATGGGTGCCACGAACCTCCATCTCCGACTCCGTTGCTTTCGCACCTCTACTCAGTCCTCTTGTTGACTCGGGGTAATGCAAACCAACACAAAAGCATTGCACCATACAACCCAAGCGCAACCGGGTGGATTGCCCACGTACCAACAGCTTGCGCCAAGAAACCAGTTGTGAAGGGAGCAACTGCACCTCCTGAACTGCCCGCAGAGCCGATGAAGCCAATAGCTGTCGTTTGCAGGTGGCGAGGCACGAGGCGCGAGAAGATTGTCTGCGCGCATGGGTAGACGGGTCCGAGCAACAAGCCCAGCAACGAAACAGCCACAGCGTTGCCAATGACATTAGGAATCAACCAGGCCATCAGCTGCAGAGCCACAGCACCGAGTGTAAGGCCGATGACATAGTTCTTCTCGCCAAATCTGGGTGCAGCGTGAGTAAGGACGAACCGCCCAATGGTGATACCAGCCTGTGCGGTGTAAGCTATATAGTGAGCACAGGATACTTCATCGGCTCACCCAAAATCCGGCTGTGACATACCCGACCTTCTTTGGGTCCCCGTCTCGGTAGTTGATAAGGTACGAGATGATCCACGAGCTAACGGACACTTCAGCACCTTGGTAGAAAGCGATGAATAAAGCCCCGAAGATGGTAACCTTGTTCTGCAGCGCGAGCTTCAGCTCCTTCATCTTAGATAGAGACTGACCCTGCCGACTGGCGGTGATCTCAAGAGCCGTAAGCAAGGTAGCAGAAGAATCCTCTTCATAGTTGTGGAATGCCCATGCTGCGAAGCCAACGCAGCAGAACTGCAATCCGAGCAAGAGGAAGTGGAAGCGTGACCAGAGAATGCCTTGCGAGACCATCGCCGTTCCGATGATGGGGGCAATGGTTCCACCGATACCGTAGCTACCGTGTGCTGAGCCCAAGACGGCGCTCGAGGGCTGGATGTTTGCGCAGAAGACGTTGTTGAGAGCTAGGCTAGTGGCTGCACCGTAGCCGTTGAAGAAGAAGCTATGGCCGGTTAGTATGGAGTGTACTTGAGGAGTGTTCACTTACGCAACGATAACAACAGGGAAGGGAGGCGTGCAGACAATCATGGTATATGCAGCGATCAAAAACGCCTGTGAATAGATCAAAGCCCTCGCCCTACCCATTTTGGAGAGTACCCATGTCGCTAGAGGTGCAGCGGCGATAAAGCCCACGGCATTGCCTACGAAAACAAGCGACATTATTGTGTGGGAATTGTGGTAGTACGCTTCCATGTACGGAATCAAAGCACCGACGACTGGAGATGGTCAGCATGCAGGCCGTGTGTATCGTCGTGAGGGCCTACCAGCATCATTAAGTCCGTTGCCAAAGTACATCAGACAACAGCACAGGATCCTCCACTTATTTATCGGCGGATTATTCCACGTCTGTACCAGGCCAACTGCCTCATCTTGTGTAGGCGTAGGAGGGCAACTTGCCTCGAGGGTGTTGGGTGTTTTAGGTATCTGTATCCCGGTCTTGGGTTCTTGGTCAAAGTAGGCGTCGTCGCTGCTCTTGCCAGGTTCAATCGGTTGGAGTTCCACGTCTGGCAGCCTCCCAATGTGAGGCTGCTTGCCACTCTTTTGGTATGTGGGGCCGGGGTTCGTGGGAGCAATGGATTGGATGTCGAGCATGCCATGGAGGCTGGAGGAGACCATTGTGCTGTCAAGATCAAGTCCACGACGAGTTGTCCTCACTTCAACGGGACTGTGAAGCACTTCGTGCTCCAGAGATTGCTGAGAGAGAGTCTTTACCAGACCAGAAGTGCGAATTATAGGTCAAGCGCGTGGGCCACGATATGTGGGGCCGCTGCTGCAAAGGGAAGTCGACCATAACTGTGAAGGGCAAGTCCGACGGCCACGAGTGTCGTCGCTGATAAACCTAGACCACTTATCAGCAGTAATGCGGAGCTGAGGCTGAGGTGTCGCACTAATGAAACCAGTTTTCTAGCATGCGGAGAAGGTGTAAAGTTGCAAAGTTGTCAACTAAACCAACCAGCCATACTTCAGAGTTTGATCGCGCTCAGACATACCGGTACGATAGACCTCCATTGCGTCTCTCTACGGTACCTCTGACACAGCAAAATGTGCATGCTACCACGGCATTGCTCTTCCCATTACCAAAACAGAAGCATATCCATGGTATAATTGACGCGTCTGAGATATCATTGCACTATAATAAGGGCGGCCAAAGACCAGAAGGGCGGCGGAAACTTTTCCACATGTGGTAAGTTCAGTGCGAGGTTGTGAACCCGAGAAGAAGCCGGCGCAAATGGCAATCAGCAGTGCAACTGGGCTGAGCATTGTCTAGGCTTCAGCGTCTGACAGAAGCTCTCTAGAAATCTGCACAGATGCAGCTCATCATGTTCTCCATGCATCGCTGTCTTACGAATTTGCTGTGTTCGGCTTCTACGATTTCTCCAAGGTCACCACAGTGCGAGGTCCTAGCGGGGAAAACTACCTAGTCTGAGCCTTTAAGCACCTCCGCGGCGCTTTCTACACCGCAGACGCTCACCCCACCAAAGTTGTTGTCCAGTTACGCGCGCAAAGTCCAATATCAGACCAACACCTCAACGACTCCACACCAGTACGCCACTGTCAACATGGGTCGCCCAAAGCGCCAAGTGCTCGCCACAATCGAAGACACCATCACTCCGCCAGACGTCCTGCCAGATGCACACCTCATTGCGCGCATCGTGAAAGCAGAGGGCAAGAACCTGTACAGCGCCGACCTGCCCAACGGAAAAACTGTTCTCGCAGAGCTCGAGGCAAAGTTCCGCTCTACAGTCTGGATCAAGCGCGGCAGCTATGTAGTCGTGGATACATCTGCGCTGGCGGAGCGGGACAACAAGCTCGATGGGGAGATTGTGAACGTGGTGAGAGATGAGAAGGCGTGGAGAAAGATGGTGTATTGGTATGTGGAACATACTGGGTATATGTATGGTATGCTAATTATGCAGGCCCAAGGAGTTCGTCAAGAAGCCCGCCTACGAGGACAGCGACGAGGAAGAGTCGACCGTGGGCAAGATGCCGCCTTCTGATTCGGACGAGGAGTGAGTCTACTCTTTGTGCTCATGGTCTTCTTCGATAATTCCCTTCGTCGCGCCTACAAACTCGTTGCGCGTTCCCCACCAGACGCCGACAATCGTAACGGCCAATGTCCCTACAACGGTAGCCGAGCTGAGGGGTGTGCTTGGGTACACGTTCCACGCCCATTCTTGTGCCGCCCAAAGTGCATACTGAGCAATGGGGTGGAAACCTGCTTTCCACGCGAGGAAGGGCGTGGTCCATGCAATGTATGCGTAGAACTGGTAGTGGAGCGATCTGGCGCAGAGCATGCCGACAGCGGTTGCAGTGAGAATGACGGTCATGATGAAATCCGGTGTAATCCTCTTGGACATAAGGTCCTGGTCCCTGGGTTCCTGGGCGGGCATCAGTAGCTTGAGGAACTGGCGAGGCGTGCGCTTGGAAGGCTTGATCCAGCGCGTGTAGGCGAAGAACAGTAGCAGGCCAGCATGCGCAGCCAAAAGGCCAAGCGCGAAGGGTTTGGACAAGAATGTCTCTTCAGATACAAAGCGCCAATTAACAGTCCACTTGTAGAAGAAAGCTCTAGTGAACTCGAATGCGCGTCCAAAATAGCTGAAGCTCTGCTTCCTGAACGGATATCCAAACAGAATCTAGTTTCAATCAGTAAATGCAGTCACTTTCCCAGGCCAGAACTTACTGAGACCTGGAATATGATCATCACCTGCGTAATCGTCTCCCTACTCCCCAGTGCCTGGAACATTAAGAGCCCCATAGCCGGCAGCGGTAACAGCAAGCTCATCTTAACATTCAACCCCGTGGTGTAGAAGAAACTTCCCAAATGCCACTGATTACGTTGGTAGCAGTAGATCGCAGCCCACAGGCCCAACACCGCAAAACAGTCATTAAAGCATCGGAGCATGAAAATACTGTGCAATCGCTTTGAAAGGATGAGCAGCGGGAAGACGTAAGGCGGAACCTGTCAACGTCAACATCTCCATTCCCTTTTCTCTTGTGAAGATTGAGGAGACATACCTTAGCTTTCCGATAGCATTGGAAAACAATCGCCAGCGTCGCGAGATAGACCAGCGCGAAAATATACTGCGCTCTCTGAATGTCTCCGCCTTGATCCGTGAGGTGGTACAGTTGTTTGTAGATCCAGACATGCGCGCCGGGATACACGAGCGGGCCTGTGCCGCCAACAATCTTTTTGTAGTCTCTTTCGCCTTTGAGATAGATCTCAATCTGCTGCATGTATGCCCTCCAGTCGATTTCAGTGTCTGTTGATATATGTTAGTTCGTGGAATGGTTCGGGGAACACGTGTTCGGCGCGTACAAGCAACTTTCTCAATGATGACGCTGCAGAGCCCGGCATCTGCGACTAACAGTAGGGGCGCTATCCATTTCGTGTTTCGCGGATTGTAGGTGATATCAGAGGCCTGGTTGAGGAGCGACATTGCGCAGGAAGTCTTGTTGTTGTTGTGGCGATGGGAATAGCAGAAGTCATATAGGGAGAGCGCGATCACGTGTGTAGGAGGTCTCGGGTTTCAAGATGGTAAGCACTCAAACCAGGAACCGTTTCAGGCACGAATGGTTCGAGCGATGCTTGGGTGGCTGTTTGGGGCCGCAATTAGTGGGTAAGATATCATGGGTTTGTTGTTCTTTCCGAATTGCATCATAGATTCATCCAGAGCCATAAATGGTATGATACAACTAATCCAAGTTATCATGTCTGCCGTACAATAAGTGTGCAGATACTATCGCCAGTAACGCCAACAAATGCATGATCATGTCCGCCAACTTTTTGGGGTATTCTTCTATACAAAACTCAGCATTTCCCTGCCTTCGCGTGCACCAAGCCCCCGCCATAGCCTAGTGCTTCTTCTTCTTTTTGCTCTTCTTCCTATTGCGCTTCTTTTTCTCTTCTCCTTCTGCGTCAGCCTCGACCTCCGGTGCTGCTGTCGGCATCCTGACATTGCCGTACTTCTGGCGGATTTCCGTCTCGAACTCGTCCTTCTCAAGCCGGAACAGAGCCATAGTAGCCCTTGCGTCTTCGACCGAGCTATGCGCGCCTGTCTGGATCTCCACACCAAGCAGTTTCTTCGTCAGCATCTTGAGTCCTGGGGTCCATCCCGCCTTTGTTGCCAGCTGACGGAACTTCGAGAACTTCGAGGTGTCGCGGATCAGGCGCTTGTCGTGCTTTAGAATCAAGACATCCAAGTCGTTCTTCACAGCGTGACCGACAAGTATGCGTCCACCCAGCAGGATCTTAAGATCGCTGCGCACCTCTTCGAATGTACGTGCGACGTCTTTTCGCAGGTGCTTCGGTTCGATGCCGGAAACGGCTGTGCGGTAGTCGGTGACTTCGACTTTGGGAGGCATTTGGACATAGGAATCGTAGACCTGGTGGCCGTGGTAGTTGACCAGTGACACTCGAGCCAATGCTGAGTCGCGATTGGGTTCTGGGCCTACGCCGACCATCTCGCAGTCAAGTGCGACGTATTTGCCTGGAAGCGCCGTCTCGGAGACACCCTCGTTCTCGATGTCGGGGAAGTCAGGGTGTGGTGTGAGAATGTCGTCGGCGACTGCAGCATCCTTCTCAGACGTGATGAGTGGTATGCGCTTCAGCTGGGGGGTCGAGACACTGCGAGAGAGCGTCTTGACGTTGTGCTGCTTGATCGATGCGCCTATGGACGTAGGTTCCTCCATCTTCTGTCGTTTCCTTGATGCAGGGGACTTGTTGAATGTGGGGTTTGCCCCTTCCTTCTTCGCAGGATTGTCACTGGGCTTGAGAGATCGCTTGCGCTTCAATGATGTGTGGTCTTCGGTGGAAGTCTGAGGCTTCGAGGGTGTCGCGGGTTTTGAAGCCTGGAGTTGGGCCTGCAGCCTCTTCCAATTCGAACTGAGCTCTGGTGCCATATCGATGTCACCTGCGCAGCATAGCGGTGTGCAATGTCCTCCTTCCGCTGGTCGTCGAGATTGATGCGTTTGAATGTTCGAGTCCCCGCAGGAACTTTTGATCGAACCGGTCGCGCTAGTGCCAGCACCGCCTGCAAATCGAGCCTAGCATTGACGAACCCCTGCCCGACGCCGACAAAGGCGTCGCGACACCAGAATTGCATCACAACCTTATCATCCACCACCGGATTCAACACCTACGGTAATCACAAGGCGTTATCGCATACCCATGGCGCCTCGAGAGAATTCGCATGAGCCTACCGGCACGCCGGTGCCGGTAGAAACAGGATTTGCCACACTAGCACAGCTTAGGTACGTGCGACACCAACGCTCAATATTCCGAGATGCATACTGATGCGCTGCGTGCAGGGTTGGAGTGAAAGCATGGGTTGAAAAGGTGAGGCCGCCGTGTAATGAAGTTCGCGCAGAGCGCCGAATGCGCCTCGGAGAACATCAGAACACCATATCTCAATAGAGCAGCATACACGAAATCAAGACTAACGCTGCATAGGAAGGCGAGAAGCGCAAAGCGGAGCTACTGTCGATCCAGACTCGTCAGGGTCAGACGAAGTTCTACGTGCATTATGAAGACTTCAATAAGCGTCTCGACGAGTGGATTGCAGCAGATCGCATCGATCTATTGCGAGAAGTCGAGTGGCCTGCGCCCGAGAAGAGCGACAAGAAGAAAAGCGGTACTTCTAAGACAGACAAAGCACCTTCCAAGTCGGACCAGAAGAGCCTGAAGAGATCCCGGAGCAAGCTGGACCGCGAGGTATCAGGCACACCCGAATCAACATCTAGTAAAATCCCTGGTAAGGCACAGCGACCGTCAAAAGCAAGCGGAAAAGAGAACCAGGACGTGCTGGTCACCAGTGAAGCCACAGATGGCACGCCCAAGCCCGAAGACGAGGAGATGGACCTGGTGGACGTCCAGGACGCCGCCGCAGCAGCCAAAGCTGTATCAGACCAGAATTACTCACGTGAAGACGAGATTGAGAAGCTTCGCACGTCAGGTTCGATGACACAGAACCAGACCGAGATCTCCCGAGTCCGCAACCTTGAGAAAGTACAGATGGGAAAGTTCGAGATCGAACCCTGGTACTTCTCTCCTTACCCCATCGACTTCGTGGACTCAGACGTCGTCTATATCTGCGAGTTCTGTCTCTCATACTACGGCGAACAGACACAGTTCGAGCGCCATCGCGCCAAGTGCACGCTTCTGCACCCACCCGGCAACGAGATCTACCGCGACGACTATGTATCGTTCTTCGAGATTGATGGCAGGCGGCAGCGGACGTGGTGTCGAAACCTTTGTCTGCTCTCGAAACTGTTCCTGGATCATAAGACGCTCTATTACGACGTTGACCCTTTCCTTTTCTACTGTATGTGCACTAGGGACGAACATGGCTGCCACCTTGTTGGCTACTTCAGCAAAGAGAAGGAATCTGCTGACGGCTACAATGTGGCCTGTATCTTGACCCTCCCGCAATACCAACGAAAGGGGTTCGGAAAGCTACTAATCGACTTCTCGTACATACTGTCCAAGCGGGAGGGTAAGCTTGGGTCGCCTGAGAAGCCGCTTTCAGATCTGGGTCTGCTGGGCTACCGGGCATACTGGCAGGAAATCATCGTAGACCTTCTGATGGACGGCCGGATTGAGGCAAACATCGACGATCTCGGCGCAGCAACAGCGATGATGACGAACGATGTTTTGCACACGCTGCAGAATCTCAATATGCTGCGCTACAGTAAAAACCAGCACGTCATTGTCTTAACGGATGCCGTGCTCGAACAAAGGGAGCGGCAGAAAGCGAAGGAAAAGCTGAAGGGCAAGAGGAGCCTCGACCCAGAACGACTCATCTGGAAACCGCCTGTCTTCTCTGCCGCCAGCCGTACGTGGAACTGGTAATCGTTTGTTGTTTGATCGGCGTCAAAGGGCACGGCGCATACGGTGCTTCAGGAGCTGCTTAGGTATACCCCAATCTTATTTGTGTGATCGAGTACATGCATCCGTACCAACGTCCATCCCTGGTATGAGAGTGTCGATGTGCATAGCACTTTAGCGCTTCCCACCAAAAGAGAAAATACTTCGACAGCCAAGCGATGCAAGCGCTTACTGAGCTTCACGACACCAGTCTTACCACATGGGTGGTTCGACGAATACTTGGACGCTGACGTGAGCGCCCGCGACACGTCTCGCCATCAGCGCGAGGCCAAAGGTAACTGGTATTAAGAGTCTGGATACCCAGCCATTCGCATCGCGTGATTTTCCAAGTATTCGGAACTGCAGCAATGCATCGAATATGGCAGATTCCCGAACTGCTCGTCCAAATCATCTCCTTTCTTTCAGCCTACGACATCAATCGTGCCCTCCACGTCTCACTTCACTTTAAAACCCTCCTCAAAGCAAACCTGCCGCCGCAACTTCGCCCACTTCCTGACGGGCCCCGTTACAAACGCTCTTCCAGCAGCCAACAGCTGCCACAAGAAGTCACCGCTGAAGCCGCCGAGTACCTTGCGCACGAAGCCGCCACGCCCAGGCAGCTAAAGTCGGAAGACAGCTACTACTACTGGCGCGAGGGCGCGCGGAGTCATGTCCTCGACACTCTGACACCTTATCTCCATCCGCTTTTTGCAAAGTTTGCGACAAGGCTGGTCGATGGTTATGATTCGCTGGCGGTAGGGAAGACGGACATCTGTTTGCAGACCAATATACCATATTACGACTTATACGAGCTTGTGAATGGGGAAGAAAATGAGAGTTGGGTCGAGTACTTAGCGATCAAGACGACGGCAGTGACGGTGTATTGTCTGGGAGGTGTGCAATGGGATTTGCTGTATGCAGGAGTGAGATACAGAGACTATGGAGGTGTGAAGCGCTTCTCGGTCAAGGTGGAGAGGGAGGAGGGTGTTAGGCTGGGTGATGTGTTACAAGAGTTGATAGGGCCGCTGATGATGTATGGGATGAGTAAGGGGTTGGGGCAGGAAGTTACGCTCGTGTGGGTGTGTGATTAAGGACGGAGAGGTTCAAAAGTGATTAGATTAGTGGTTTCTTCCACGGTCGAAGAGTGAAGCCATTCGAGTCAAGTCGACTTTGGATCGGATCGAGAAGTTCGCAGCCAGCAAGGTCGAGATTGAGGAGCTAAAGATGAAGCTCATCAGCACTCAGGCACGCACTGTTCAGCTAGAGAAGGATGACGCGGAGCTACGCAAGAAGTTGTCCAAATTGATCACAACAAGCGTGACAACAAGCAGACCCTGCGTTCCTAAGACACCAACGCAAGACTAAATAATCTGCGAGACGTACAAAGCGAGCGAAAACAGTAGACTATGAATGTGGTTACAATGGATAGATACTCCACAATTGCTCAAATTCATCGAATCCGGAGCATTTGTTGTCACATGATTACACCAATGACACGAGGCCATGACGAGATTGATTTCTACCGGGGCTCAGTATAACTTCTGATAGCGCGCCAGTCTTTTTCCGGGAGCTTCTGCTCGAGATGAGTAAGAATTCGCAAATTTCCTGCTAGGTCTGGCCCGGATTTGCGACATATCTGCTCTGCAACCAGCAGACATCGAGCCGTATTTATCCCTTGTTGGTGGGATTGCAGCCAGAGTCTGAAGCGAAATTCTTGATATCGAATGCACACGGAGAAGGACATCGATCTGTAGTGCAAGATAATTGACGGCGATGGAAACACGTCCTGGCATCTTGGTTCTGCAATACGTCGAGAGAGCTAATTGAAGCGCGCGTGGTCAACGACAGGTCGAAAAGCAACGCGAGATCGGAGATAGCTGTGGTCGATCAAGTAGGACTAAAGACCTTGAATATAGTAGCGAGTAATTCTTCTGTGGGCATTCTGAACAATGGCTCCAGCTGATACAAGAGGCGTGAACCGCAGGCAAATCGAGTGCGCTGAAGGTTGGAGAAGCTGCCCATAATTGACGACTTAATCTGTGATTCTTGAAGTGCCTGTAGAATGCTATTCCACGGTACGTCAGTGATGTACTGCAAGCAATCAAGTTGTTCGATATGTGATATAAGACGGAGAAGACGCTGGACTGTATCAGAGATTTCGTCTCCCTTTCTCCGTGCATCTACCGCTCGCTGCAGCTTTTGTTCCACGATTGGCCTTCCGGTGCGAACCGCCGCTTGTACCATGTCCATGACCATCGGGATCTTCCCTTTTGACCCGTACAAGCCAAGGAGGTGACGATTTCTGTGGCGCATGTCGTAGGGAATCAACTTAATCACTTTGACGTATTGAATAAGCTCGGGTCGCTCAGTAAGAGATCGTACAAACTCGATAGTATTGGAGCCCACTGCGGGGGGCATATCGAATTCCGGGTACCAAAACGGCTCCAGAAGTGGTTGAATCGGCTCAAACGGTACCTTACAGTTCTTGTCCGATTTTCTGACAGTAATTTTGACTACTCCTTAGAGTGCAGGCTCCGCGATGCGATGAAACATGCGCGACGTTCCAGACATTGCGACAAGAGTTGACTGAGTGGTAAGAAACGAGATGATGTGTTCGATGAGCTCTTCAAGAAGCTGCTCTAGACGGTGAAGGGTAGTAGGTCGATCGAGGTAGGGCGTCGAATGGATTCTCAGTTGAGCTTGGTTTTCGGTCGTTGTTGTGCAATTAGTGTCATGGAAAGGGACTCCATTTAAAGAGGGTAGGCGTGCCAGGGAGACTCATATGCCGACGCTAATTGCGAGTTCTCCTTTCACCTCTCTTCTATGAGGTCAAATGTGATTCAGCAAACCCTAAATTGAATCTGGTGTGCACTCACCGTGGCAGCAGAGGCCTCAGACGAACGTGAAATCAGAGGGCGCAGACAGTCACCAACAATGTATCTTCACTTATACCCCTTCACGGACACAGCCTGGCCTAGATTACCTCAACCTTTGTCTTTAACCTTGAGTATTCATACTTGTACGAAATAACTCGAGACGAAAATTCTCATCTATCTGTCCAGCTTTGTCCTTCAGATCAGTCATTGCGGCCGTCCCTGCTGTGTCTGGCGCTTACGCAGGCACTTCTTCCAAAGGGTGCCCATCCTCAATGAAGCTGTCCTCATCGGCAAGGGCTTCTTCTGCAGATATATCTTCGGTATTGCTCCCATCGTCAGTGTTCCTTGTCAGTCAGTAAATCCTCACGAGCAGACATGAAGACGCTCTGAACGCTGACACTATAGTACTGACGAATTTTACAGCTTGCCCTGAGTCTGAATGACTTGAATCCCGTTGCATACAAAGCCATCGGCCAGCGCGGACGGCAGACTCCTCGGTGCTTGAGCGCTGCCTAGGGTGTCGTCTTGAAGCCCACAGATTTCGACAGCCTCCAACGCTGAGATACCGTGCTGTAGTTCTACGGCGAGTAAGATAAGAACAAACTTGGTAAGGCTCTGTGGCATTTCGTCATCCATCACATCAAGCGTCAAAGTCTCCAGTGTCTCCGACTATGCCAGGTCAACTCGATGCACGACACCAGAGCTCCAGACATTATGGGTAAATCAAAACAGCTTCTCAGGATCTGTAAGCGTGCTGACCCTGACCTCAGTGAGCAGAGCTATGGTGTTGATTCGAAGATGCTCGAGATCATCAGACTTCCGAAGGTCTTTCAGAGGCTTGGGCCGCTCGAACAGTGTCATTTGACCAATGTTGGCAGTGTTTGCTTGCGAGTCGATGCAAGAGCTGCTTATTTCGAGAGTCTTCAGACCCGGTATATACTTTTGGAAAGCACGCAAAAGCACGATGGTCCGTTCTCCCTGAACAACCAGAATGCGGAGAGTGGCCAATTGCTGTATGGCATTAAACATGTGGAAAAGCGGATTCTGCGCATCGAGATCATGGTAGTTCCACCAGAAAAAAGGGAGCACCTCGAGCGCGAGCTCCTCCAGGGCAGAGACATTAGCAATAGCCAACCAGCTCAGAAGTTTTGGCCCATGTTTCAGCTTCTTCTCGAGCCAACAAATGTTTGGGGCGAAGAGTCTTCAGCTGCGGGAGAGCGAACAAGGCGCGGTTGTTGCAGTCAAGGCTGAGCTTCGTCAGCTTGAGTCCCTCAAGTGGCTGAAATACAGGCACCTGGCGACGCAGAGTCACGAAATGATCCACAACGACATTCCAACACACATCCGTGTGAAGCTGACTGCGATCCAGCTTGTTGATGTTGGGTAGCAGCTGGAGCAGCTCACGAGCGACGACGCAGATCTGACTGCTCGTTCGACTTGGCGGTTGCCAATGCTAATGTCAGAGTCCCAGCCAAAGCATCCCAAGTTGTAATTATCGCGTATGAGGACCATAGTCTTGACGTGGTGGACGATCTCAGGGCTGATTTGAATTGTTTTTCTGAAGAGCTTTGCGTTGCAATCCTCAGTGGGAATGCAATACTCCGCACACCATGTGCTCATCAGCCCAAGACTCAATGGGTACCTTGAGCACCCTGCCACATCTACCAACATATATGGGAACCAAAAGGTGGAGCAGAGACTCGGCGATGCGGCGAAACTTCTTGGAGAAGATGGAGACCTTCGATAGACCTTGTAGCGGTTTGACGTCATAGATCGCTTCGTCTGGAGAAGGTACGAGGCTGTGAAGAATAACCTCGATGAGCTCTTCTGGGAGTTGGTCGAACTCGGTAGACTGTGAGCTGTGGGGTACGGACAGATGCGCCATGACGACAGTCACGGCGTCGAGTGATGCGGTGTGCTCAGTATCGGTCGCGAGCTCGGATGTGTGGTTGACCGCGCCGGTCAGGATCATGAGAGATTGTGATCTCATTAGCCACGGTGTTGCGGAAACTGAGTAACAGCCTGGGACGGTGAGATGAAATGGAGGTGCGAGGTGGGGAGCCAGTGTTTTGGGTCAAACGCTTTCTGCCAGGACCTGCTGGTATCTCAGCATCTGCCTTAACTTAGGATCAAAACACCTAAAGCTTAGCGACGCCGCCCACGCGTCTGACGCGTCATGTGAACTTCAGTCTGTCAGTAAGGCGTTACCTATACTCTCGGCTGCATAGAACAGATATCATTGTTCTCAAACGAGGGTATAATATAGCTCACCAGAGCAGAGCCACCATCCAGTCGTAAATCATAACATCATTCCTCATTCCTCTGAACTCAAGAACGTGCCCTCACAGCCCCTCACGCGCTCGTCATTGCCTTCCTCGCCCTGACAGCCTGCAAGAAAGCTCCATAGCTCCATGTCAGGTCCCTCGCACCGGTCATGAACCCCGTCTCTTTGTCGAACTGCTCGCTCATACTGCCTTCGGCATCGACATGTCTCCTGACCACGTTCAAAAACTGATCGCCGACAGCACCTAATCGCTCGACGGTGGAGTGAAACAGTGCGTCGTTGGGTCCGTATGTACCTTGATTGATATCGAGGCTGGAAGATGCGAGCAGGGCGGTATAGAAAGGCAGCGAAGTTGCGGAGATGGTGAGTCTCGAGGATGTCGAGATGTGAGATGCGCTGCGATACAGGACCTCAGCGGCGCTGGAGGTGCAGAGGAACCAGGGATTTCCGTGCTGTGTAGTGGTGTATCCGTTGTACTTGTCTTCAGGGTAACGGCCGAGACCTGTGCCCTCGAAAGGCTCTTCGTCGTCTGTGTCAGCTCCCTCTTCATCGTCGGAAGAAGACCAGGGGCTGCTGTTGATAGGGAAGCGGTCTTTCTGATCGCGTGTCAAAGCAAGCAGAGAGACGAGGATCTCGTCTGACCACGGCGGATACACGGCATCGTCGTCTGAGCCATCAGCGGGTAAGGCATGCAGCGAGCCGAGCAGCAGACCGCAGTCAAGTCCAGATCTCTGGCTCCACAGCGTCTCAACGAGGTGGCCCTTTTGCTTGTTCCAAAATTTCGACAGCAAATTATCAATGTATCCTGCTTGCAGTGTGTACCAATCCGCCGCACCAAGATCGCCGAAAGCACGCGCAAGCTTGCTTCCCTCACGTAGACTTCGCGCGCTGACCATCAGCGTGAAGAAGTGCAGACCTTCCACTTCCTCCCACAGATCGAAGCTAGACTGGTTCCAGTAGTGGCTCACGTACTCGAGATCAACTTTGATGGCACTCGTAGGTGGCATACTAGCCTCGTAGAAGGGTGCGAAGAAATCGTCTGCTTGGGATGACGTCCATAGCGTAGGGTGCGAAGAGTTGTATTCGCGTAGATAATGTATGAGTGTCAGAGCACGTAGAGCTGGTCCGTCTCGCTGTGGTCGTCCCCATGAGCCTGTAAAGGGCGTGCCATCGATCTCAAATTTCGGCTCGCCGAGCCCTGAGAGATCACCATAGGTCCCTGATGGATTCGGTGCGCGTTGGATCGTCTGCTGCAACGACGTGTATGCATTGAGGATGGCGGAGAGTTGCCATCCTCGTGAGGAGAATGCATCGTCGGCGTACACGTCCACGAGGGTGTTCATTGTGATCGCAGCATCTCGGACCCCTGCTTCACGTCAGACTCGTCGTGTGTCCTAGCCGCGTGATTCAGCTTACATTGGTACCAGTAGTCTGGCCCGTCCTGACTTGGACTCGCAACTACTGTGCCTGGTGCTACATCCTGCCCTACGACATTGCGCCCACCTGGCGAGACGTTCGCCAGTAGCTTGTCCAACGCTACCCGCTCTTCCTGCTGTATCCAGGCATCGAGACTATCATGCAGCGGCTGCTGCTGCTGCTTCTGAGCGTTGGCGATACCAAGGTACCTAAGGTGTGGTAACGGCGGTATTGAGAAAGCGTATGTATAGGGCGCGAAGGACGCGAGGATGAGTGTGGTCGGTAGCATAGCTGCTGGATCGTAATGCGTCTGTAAAGAAGTTATGTGTAGGCGTAGGAAATAATGTGAGAGGGAGTAACCATCAACATGAGAAGAAGGCCAGAAGGCGCGTGAATGGTTAGAACCCGTCGATACTAAAACTAGCAACTACACCGGCTTCGACCTGCCACACATCGTCCGTGATGTTGGCAACCTAGTCATCGAGCGTGCCATGTGGCCCACCGCTGTGCCCATTGTTCACAGCCTAGCGGCGCTGTAGCGAGTCGGAAACCGTGGAGGCGGTCAAGAGGTTTGCAAGTTTGGCCTGACGTGGGCGGGTGATGTGAACTCGAGCATGTCACGCGACGTCGGCGGACGAATCAGACGCGTTGGAAGTCCGCGATGACGCCCTGCAGATCCGGGGGAGCAAGACTTGCGATTCTGCGAGCGATGCCTGTACGGGGGACCTCGGTTGTTAGAAACAGCGGATGTCAGAAGAGAGGGTTCACATGTCCACTGCAGCTCACAAGCACCGAGTATTTGACATCTGAAGGTCACATGTGAAGGTGAGAGAGTATGTTTCATCATTACGCTCATGCTGTACAAGAATGACCAACGGCAACGAGACAATGATACAACCCAAGCCAAGCCAAAGCCAACGCCGCATCTCAGACGCAAATCCCTAAGGGGTATCTCGCGAAAGAAAGGCCATAATCATCACACCCAGATATACTGTTACTGTAAACAGCGCAAGCAATGCAATGCAACGCAACGCAAAGGGCCGCTTCCAACCGCAAGCCATGCTAGTGCGCAAAGGCAACCTCGACTTTAAATCTTCAATGGATCACATAACGTCTATACGCTCGATCCGAACTTGTCATCCCCGCTACCTTTCTTGCCGTTTCGTTTCTTCGCTTTTCCCTTCTTCTTCATTAGGTCGTTGCGTTCGTTGGGCGGTGTGTGTGTACGCTGACTAGCAGCCGCGCTCGAATCTCCGACTCTAAGACCTTTGACCTCCTTCAGCACATCGCGGAAGCCTTCTTCCAATGTTGTCATCCTGGCGAGCATGATCCTACTCATGCGATTCGAATCGGATTCGGTATCACTGCCCTTACGCTCCATGCGCGCTTCTTGTCTGGCTCGCGCTGCAAGCTCGAATTGAGTTGTAAAGGACGCTGGGATGGTGTTCAGATTGCCGAAGTTGGGATTGTTATTGTTATCACCCAGGTCGGAAGCCAGGTCGAGCGCCATGGCATTGAAAGAAGGTGTACGATTCTGGCGTTCCAGGGCGAAAAAATTGGACAAATTGGGTGTCTTCCGACCGGTCTCAGGAGGCAGGATTGCTCGAGCACGAGACGCTGAGGCATGACTGACGTGAGTAATCGGCTGATGACGCTTGGGCGTCTTCGTGCCAGCGGACGAGGGTCTGTCGAGGCGACCTGGCGTGGCCGTCCCGCTGCGTGAGCTCAATTTCAGACGCTTTTCTGGCGAAGCTGGACGTGACACGTCAATCGTCTCTTTCGTAGGGCTAAACAGAATAGTGTTGGTCGAGGAGTTACGAGCATGTCCTGGCTTGTGCTTCCTGCTTGGCGACATCTGCGCTTCTGGCGCACCGGTATCTGATGGTGATCTGGCCCTAGCAGGGGTCCGCGCAGGAGTCTTTGGCCTCGAAACCATCGGTGTACGGAAGAACTCATCCTCGGATGTTTCATAACCAGCTTTGGGCTTCTTGTTTTCCTTGTCAGGTGTTGGTAGGTTCTTTGGAGTTGTTTGGCGGTCCGAGTTCGAATCGTTATCGTCAGGTTGTGTCAGAAGCTCGTCATCTCCATCAGCATCAGTCTGCTGTGGGTTATCATCATTAGGGATCGGCTCTTCCTCTTCCATGATTGGACGAGGGAATGTAATGAAGCTATCATCCTGATCAGAGGCGGCACTTCTTGTGAAAGAGAGTGGATGCCTTCGCCTAGGCTGACCAGAAGTCTTCGAGCGGCGCAGATATGGTCTGGCACGAGTCTCAAGACGATCAAGAACGGATTGAGCATCCTCCTGAGGTGGTGTTACTTCCTCATCATCACCCATCTTCTTCATCCAATCGGAAACTACGTTGCTCGAGTTCCTGCGACCCGAGGGGTAGTTGGAAGGCGCTTGCACACTGGTGTCGCGGTAAGGCCTGCGGAACACCTCTTCTAGAGCGCGGTCCTTGTGGAAAGTGGTAATGGACGGCTCCCGCAGGCGTGGCTGAAAGGACTCAACAGCACCGCGGATGCTGAACGCTGGTGCCAGGGGCGATGCAGTCCCAGGTCGTCCACGGCTCTCCACCAAATCGGTGGGTCCGTATGCCAAATTCGAAAGCACCAGCCTTTCGTACAAGAAAATGGTGAAAAGAATCGGGATGTGCGTCAGCTTGATGACCGTCCTGTTCATGCGTATGAACGTCTTGAAGGGCATCATGAACTTGAGTGGTATTAGCAGCCAGCCTACAATGTTCGTAGGCGGGATGTAGGAGAAGAGCGCATCAGACTTGACCATTGAAATGCAGTTCACCGCGAACAAAAACTGGTGCTCCTCGTTGGCGTTCTGAACGATCTTCATGAACGAGTTCGTTAACACTGTAATCAGGATAGTCACAATGAGGAAGTGACACATGAAGAGGAAGAGGGCCAACAGAGCCTTTCCTAACATGTTGTACTCGCCCCAGAGGTCCCATGCTGCGGGTGTGAAACCCATGAGTAACTGGAAGATGGCGTATGCAGCATTTCTAGCTCCAATCTCCTTGCCAACAAATGCCATGCTGAAGGATACAAAGAAGCCACTGCAGGCAATGACAATCAGCACCAGAATGGCAACCAGATCCACAGCCATCATGCGGAAGGCGATTAGAAGTTGTGAGAAGTATTGGTAGTGGTCCAAGGCTGAGAAGAGGCGAGGAAACAGTAGTACGGCTGTCGCTCCTAGGACGTCGTACGCTAGGCTGGTCACAACTCCACGTCTGATATCCGGCATGAGAATACCGTACAGTCGCAGGATGTAGTATGCCACGAACATCAGCAGAATTCCTAGATCGAAGGCATTCTGATTCGGGTATTAGCAGAGTCCAGTATGAAAGAGAACAGAACGGTATCAACGACTATGCGACTACCGCGTCCCAAGTAGTAATCGTTGGGAAAAAGAAAAGGAGAAACACGGAGACCAGATAGATAAAGCTTGACCGGCAACCAGGTAGTCACCTGCGTGATCCTGGAGTTAGTCGATATGGTGACATGATGCAGTTCCAGCTGCTGTTCAAGAGCGACGCTCAAGCTAGGAAACAGGCGCTCCGAATGCACAAAGACGCGTGCCCACATGCGTACCAGGTGGCTTTCGGGCGAGGGCGCAATAAAGACCTGGTAGAGGAAGAGCCATTCGAAAACAGGATATACAGAGATGAAGAATGCGAGAACGAGGAATTATGCATCACTTACCCAGACAGACATGATGTACAACCCGAATCCTTGTTCGGAGAATCCAACAATCTCGTCCAACATGTATCCAGCGCTCCAAAACCAGAAGACGACTTCCAGAACCGTGATATCGTCTGACTTTTCGGCTAGGACAGCCAAAAACAGCCCCAGCATTATACCAAAGGATAGGGTGGAGAACATGTTGCGGTAGCGGGGTACTCGGAGGCGGGAGAGCTTGAAGAGTGACGAGTCGTGGGGATCGTACAGAGTCACTGTTCGTCTCATGAGCGCTGACGTTGGTAGGTCGGCGTTGGCCTTCTTTGGCGGTGGCTGACGACGTGAAGGTCCTCTACCGGGAGAGACCTCGTCGCTCGTGGGTTTGCTGTGGGAGGTATCAGGCTTGCGGTGGAGACTGTCAGCAACCGAGTGGAAGACAATTGTTCCTGCCCAAATAGCCTCCAGCTGCTGCACAACCAAAGGATGCGCAAGGAACTTCTTGGCCTGGGCACGAATGGCGATTTCAAGCGCTGAGATACGCGCATGTTGCTGTCTCTGCCGTGTCCAGTTGGCGCCACCAGCTGCAACCTCGAGGCCCTGCAGAGGGTCATAGTCGTAGCTCAGCGCATCGATCAGCTCTCTTGTAGAGAACTCCTTCAACAGGCGCATAGCGAGCAGCTCACAGAGGAGCGCCCTGGTCTTGCTGACACCAACATTGCCAGGATTTGCCTCTCCCTCCTTCCTAAACTGCAGGCAGTTTGCTATCAAGCAATACAGGGCACCGCGCGAGAAGTGCTCTGCGCGAATCTGCTGTTGTATGGGTTTCACAAGAAACTGCGAAACCTGCGGCGAGCGCAACTGGTCCCAGCTTAGAGTCGTTTCGCAGCGCTCGACGATGATGGTGCGAATGTCATGCGTGTTGTTGTATATGGGGATGCGGTCTGAATCTTCCCGTTAGCGCAGTAAACAATGTTCACATGCAACACCGCAACCCACCTAGGAACTCAGAAGAGAAGACTGGCAGCAATGGGCCGTCACGCCGGCGATCGTGGTCTTCGTCGTAAATCTCGCCATCGAACTGGGCTGCCTCGTTTTCGTAGTTGTCATCGCCCTCAGACGCCTCGTCGTTGTGGCGGTTGCGGTACCTGTGTATCGCTGCAAGGAGGGGCGTAGTCTCAGACGACCGGCTACTCTTCTTCGAGCGCAGCAGAGAGGCGAACATTGGGGCACCCTCACACTGACACCTTCCAACAGAGCAACAATCCTCGTGGTGGCGCGGGTGAGGTGTGGAGGAGGTAGTAGTGATAGACAAGAGGTCTCCTGTGCACAGGGGAATGGCCCTCAATAGATCCCGGCTTCCCACCCTACCTACCCTACCCTACCAATTTCGTACCACACTCGATTCACGATTCACCGCCTCGTAGCCCGTCATGCCGCTCTTCGCCGCCATGCTGAGACGAGGTGATCATGAGGATGGCACAATGCCTTCTTCTTATCTGCGCGCTCTGTTTCCCCACGATTCCTGACGCGCTGCCAGCCAATGATCACGCCCGGTCTCCCACGGTGTCCGATCCCTTGCGATGACGAACGCGCTACTTATGCACGTCTCCCGGCTTCAGCGCCATTTCCCTCCCAGAGTGGGAATCGTCATCGCTTTTGCACCACTCGTCATCTGGGGTGCATGCTCCAATCGCGCGCATCCTGATATCCCTCAGATCTGCACGAGCGCGAGAGCATAATCAAGGTCGCAATTCAACTCTGTTCCCTGACTCGTGAGGACTTTGGTTGTTCGTTTTCGCCGGCGGTCTGGGCCCCTCCTGCATCCTTGTCTCAGGACCAGGGCGTGGGAGCAGCAAAGATTTCCTCGATCACGCCGCCAAGGACCGGAGATGCTTGCCTCTTTCACGCATTGTGAGCGTCCCACAGAACGCTCGTTTATCGATGTCGATCCATCCGCGTCGGCTGCTGCCCCAATACGAATTCCTCGCTCCTGTCGCGCTTATGCGTCTGCCAGGGTGACTTGGTTCGTGCGAATTTCCTTTGATCAAGCCTCGCCGGTAAGATGCACATTGGAGAGTTCACACGGGCGGCGTCCCGCGTTATTGCCCGTTCCATAGGCTTCGACCCCGAGTAAAAGAGTCCTTTGAAGATTGATGTCGTGTAGATCAGCCACTTGAGTGACGGATATGAAAAGTGATCTCACTCAAGACCTTCACTTTACAGTTCGGGGAGGGAGTAAACATTTCAAGAGCATTCGCAATGCCCTGCAGCTTGGTGTTTGCAGCCGGTGACTAGGAATGTCATGTCTCTAGCATACAAGGGTCAATATGCGTGAGGACTGTTGATCTAGAAGACCTGTCGTTTGGCAATGCGGTAAACACAAGAGGCGTCGCCTGCCACCAATGAGCACTGATTCGAAGCTACATCGCATGCAGCGAGCGACATCAGCCCGACCGACAACCCTTCTCTGCTTCAAGCAGAGGATTGACACCCATCTTTGCCAATACCTGCCTCATAGGAGTCCTCGGGCATTCACTCGGGCCACAAGTAAAGGCGCACGATGAATAGCGAGGCGACAGCTCTTACCGCCTACTCGATACATGACAGGGATGGGACGAATGAAGATACTCCCGAAGATGATCAACAAACGGTGCAAGAGAGATTGACAGCTTTGCGCTTACAGGTCGTTCAGCACGACAGTCACATCCAGGAGACGCAACGTGTCTACCACGAATTGCATTTCTCAACGGAGGTGCGTCTCGGTTTGCTGCCTTGACATCGGCTGTGGCTTATCTCCACACGAAGCACATGCGTCACAAGGACATCAAGCGATCGAAAATTCTCCTATCACCTTCATGGATTTCGACGCGGTAAAGACTTCACCGAAACACTTGTGAGCACAAGTGAAAGCCTGGAGCGGGGCACATTGCGATACTGCGTACCCGAAGTGTCCAAACATGAGCCAAGCGGACGCTCCACTGATATTTTCTCACTTGGAGGCGTCATTCTGGAGATCCCTGTTGCCTTGCCTGGTTTCCTCATTGCGACCTGTTAAGATCGGAGCAGCTTCGTCCTTTAAAGAACAGATCGTACGAAGCCAACATCGATCAATTGGAAGACTGCTTACGCCTATTGGAAAGCAAAGATGGAAGTCACACAAGAGGACGATACATGCGAAGCCTGTTGAAGAACAATTATGAGATTCGAACAAGTCAACGGTTGATGCATGCAGCTTAAACTCAGACAAATGCTGAGTACCGACCGTTTCAGGCGCCCAACAGCCAGTTTTTTTTTTGGCTTGGCAATGGTAGATCATGGTCACACATTTGACCCTCCAGACGATACCTGTCCCAACTGTTACGATTGGGCTCGTGAATATGTCTCCGAAGAAGAGAATCAACTGACCCTAGCAAGAGGAGTGGCACTGGAAACGAAACGGTATGATTCTCAGTTGTTCGTACTTGGGTTTGTGCTAAGGCCTTATACAGTATTTTCAGTCAGATATAGCACGCGCTCGATGATGTGGTCTTTTACCAGTCGCTGGATGAGGCGGTAGACTCAGACGATACTGAGGAAATGAACGTAAATTCTGAGGACGAATTGAGTAGAAAACTGGGTGAATTGAAGGGGCAGATGCAGTCGGTGGCTGAAGACCGAACAGATTTTGAGAGAATCATTCTAGTTTCATCAATCCTTTTGGGACGCTCCAAAGACGGTTGCTCTCTTGAGAACTCGAGGGCGTATGCAGTAGGTCTTCTATTTGCTCAGAGGCAAGAAGCGAGCAGATCTGCTAGTCTGACAACTGTCGATAGCCAATACATCGGGAGCAACCTAGCGTAGGCTCAATAATGGTGACTACCTTCACACCGACTGTTATCGTGGACATAGTATACATTGCATTGCTATGATGCTCTCTAGTCAAGTCACTCCCTAGCGAGTATGCTACCCTGAGAACACGCGTTTCCAGTTCACCTGAGCCGGTTCCCGGCTAGGTGATGCTGGATCTCCATATGGACTTTTGTTCTGGACAATGGTTAGCTCATTCCTTTTCTTCGTTGAGGGAGGGCGCAGTAGTGCGCAAGTCCAGAATTATTGAGACATGTGAAATCCAAAATGCATTAATCGAGCGACAAACTGCAAATCTAAACGACATGAATGCAATTGTAAGAGCTATGAATGCTGATTGACTTGACTCTTTTGATCGTGAAATTCCACTCTCGATTACCCAATTTCCTAGGTGGTTGGAAGGGCGTGTATGATAAAATTAGCAATGCAAAGGCTACTACGAACGTCACAGACATGTCAGACTACAGAAGCGCGTCAGGCCGGTATTCAAAATCCATCCTTCTTGCCGATGCGACATGAGCTGTATCGAGGCCGTCAAAAGCGCCGGAAGTCGTGAAGATCGAAAACCAACGTCAAGAGCGCATGGGTGTGACGACCCCGCGGTGCACGATTGGCAGGTTTAGCGAGGCTTCCTCACCGCATTCAGATTGATGTCACTTAAACGTGCAAACTTCTGAGTGCATGAAAATTTGGGTGAGGCGAGAACACAAGATTATACTATATCTTCAAGAGCATGAGAACGCGTAGCTCCGTAAATTATTGCCTCACGTAGCTGCGATCTTTAGAACAAAAATTGACGCTGTTGAGCACAGCGTTGTCCGGCGAGAGAAAGACGCTAAAATAGCCCCACCAAGGAAGCCAATCACCACCCCGCTGCTGCATCGCGAGAGAAAAAAGTTTCGACGCGCAAAACAGCTCTCCTCTCTTCTCCTCCACCATTGTTCGACAGTCTCGATTCTCCAGGGTATTTTGAGCCCTCGAGCTGTCACTCACTACATAAACCATGGCCCCACACCCCGATGAGAGCCAGAATCTGGCTCTCGAGCTTGCGGATGGCTACGTCTGCTTTGGCAGGAGCTTTGGTGCGGAGAAGAGCATTGCAGGAGAATTGGTCTTCCAGACTGGTATGGTGGGTTATCCCGAGTCGATAACTGACCCGTCGTACCGCGGCCAGATTCTGGTCATCACATTTCCTCTGGTCGGCAACTACGGTGTGCCCTCGCGCGAAGACCTCGATGCGCTTGCCCAGGACATTCCCGCCCATTTTGAGGCGCGAGAGATCCACATTGCTGGTCTCGTCGTCCAGACATACGCCGGAGAGGATTTCTCTCACTACATGGCCACCTCTTCATTGGGCGCATGGCTCAAGGAGCAGGGCGTGCCTGCCATCACTGGCGTTGATACCCGCGCTCTGACAAAGCGCATCCGTGAGGAAGGAAGCATGCTTGCGCGCTTGAGACAGCGAACGGACCCGTCCCCTACTGCCACAGCTCTCACCAACGGCGCTGTCGATACTGCAGCGCTCGCTGACGGCGAGGTCGAGGACTGGAGCAGCGCCTTCGAGGAGATCGAATGGGTCGATCCCAACAAGAAGAACTTGGTTGCTGAAGGTGAATACCTCTGATACTTTTTTGAGTGATCGTGTCTGACGTCTGCACAGTCTCCATCAAGGAACCCAGACTCTTCTCTCCCGACCCCTCCACGGCCCTTAAGCACCCTTCTGGCCGTCCCGTCCGTGTAGTAACCGTTGATGTCGGTCTCAAGTATAATCAGCTGAGATGTTTCCTGCGAAGGGGTGTTGAGGTGCTGCAGGTCCCATGGGACTACAACTTCCCTGAGCTTGCTGGCAAGGACTACGATGGTCTCTTCATCTCCAACGGTCCCGGTGACCCAGCCAAGATGGAGGCTACCGTCAAGCACATCAAGGCCGCCATGGATGAGGCACGAACACCCATCTTTGGTATCTGTCTTGGTCACCAACTGCTAGCACGAGCATCTGGCGCAGAGACCCTCAAGATGAAGTTCGGTAACCGCGGTCACAACATTCCTTGTACCAGCATGATCACCGGCAAGTGCCACATCACATCGCAGAACCACGGTTTCGCAGTCGACTCGAAGACTCTCTCCAACGGCTGGGAGGAGCTCTTCGTTAATGCCAACGACGGCAGTAACGAGGGTATCCGCCACGTTAGCCGACCCTACTTCAGTGTGCAATTTCACCCCGAGCACACCCCCGGTCCTCGCGACACCGAATACCTTTTCGACGTGTTCATCAGCACAATTCAGAAGTCCATTGCGTCGTCTGAGACCATGATGCAACCCGTCGAGTTCCCCGGCGGACTGAAGGAGGACAACGAGAAGCTGACACCCCGTGTCGAGGTCAAGAAGGTCCTTGTCCTCGGTTCTGGTGGTCTCAGTATTGGTCAGGCTGGAGAGTTCGACTACTCTGGAAGTCAGTGTATCAAAGCTTTGAAGGAAGAGGGCATCTACACCATCCTCATCAACCCCAACATTGCCACGATCCAGACCTCGAAGGGCCTTGCCGACAAGGTCTATTTCCTCCCTGTCAACGCCGACTTCGTCCGCAAGGTCATTCAGAAGGAGCGCCCTGACGGTATCTACGTGACTTTTGGCGGTCAGACTGCTCTTCAAGTTGGTATCCAGCTGAAGGACGAGTTCGAGGGTCTTGGCGTCAAGGTTCTCGGAACACAGATTGATACCATCATCACCACCGAGGACCGAGAACTCTTTGCTCGTGCCATGGAGTCCATTGGCGAGAAGTGCGCTCAGTCTGCCTCCGCTAACAACACAGAGGAGGCCATGCACGTCGTAAAGGACATTGGCTTTCCTGTTATCGTCCGCGCAGCCTTTGCTCTTGGTGGACTTGGCAGTGGGTTTGCAAACAACGAGCAGGAGTTGCACGAGCTGTGCAACAAGGCATTTGCTGTCAGCCCTCAGGTGCTCATTGAGCGCAGTATGAAGGGCTGGAAGGAGATCGAGTACGAGGTCGTCCGCGACTGCCGCGACAACTGCATCACTGTTTGTAACATGGAGAACTTCGACCCTCTCGGTATCCATACGGGTGACTCCATTGTCGTTGCTCCTTCCCAGACCCTGTCTGATGAAGACTACAACATGCTCCGCACCACAGCTGTCAACGTCATCCGCCATCTCGGCGTCGTTGGAGAGTGCAACATTCAGTATGCGCTGAACCCTTTCTCCAAGGAGTACTGCATCATCGAAGTCAACGCTCGTCTGTCGCGTTCGTCTGCACTAGCCTCCAAGGCCACAGGTTACCCTCTCGCATTCGTCGCTGCCAAGCTCGGTCTTAATATCCCCTTGAACGAGGTCCAGAACTCGGTCACTCGCTCGACTTGTGCCTGCTTCGAGCCCTCGCTTGATTATGTCGTTGTCAAGATTCCCCGCTGGGACTTGAAGAAGTTCACTCGTGTCTCCACCCTTCTAGGTTCCTCTATGAAGAGTGTCGGAGAAGTGATGGCTATCGGCCGAACATTCGAAGAGGCCATCCAGAAAGCTATTCGTGAGGTCGACCCTAGCAACATGGGTTTCAACGAGACCGCCGCTCTTATGTCGATTGACCAGGAGCTTCAGACGCCCTCTGATCAGCGTCTATTCGCTATCGCTAACGCGATGAAGTCTGGCTACACTGTTGACAAGATCTGGGAGCTGACCAACATCGATAAGTGGTTCCTCAGCCGTCTCAAGTCGCTCAGCAACTTCGAGATCTCCATGCAGAACTACAACACTGCCGGTGTCACTTTGCCACTTCTTAAGAAGGCCAAGGAGCTCGGTTTCTCCGATCGCCAACTGGCCAAGTTCTGGGGTTCCAACGAGCTTGCTGTCCGTCGCATGCGCGTTGACTACAACCTTTTCCCGGTTGTCAAGCAGATCGATACCGTTGCTGCCGAGTTTCCTGCCCACACGAATTATCTTTACCTGACCTACAATGGTACCGAGAACGATCTCGACTTCAATGACAAGGGTATTATGGTCCTTGGTTCCGGTGTCTACCGCATTGGATCCTCCGTCGAGTTCGATTGGTGCTCGGTCCGTGCCATTCGCACTCTTCGTGAGAATGGATACAAGACCGTCATGATCAACTACGTAAGTTCGTTGTAGCCACCAGAGGTGTTATCAGCTAACAAGACCGAGAACCCTGAGACTGTATCCACCGATTATGACGAGGCCGACCGTCTGTACTTCGAGAATATTTCTCTCGAGACTGTGCTTGACATCTACACCATTGAGCAATCGAGCGGTGTCGTCATTGTAAGTCTTCCGTGCATCCTTACATATGGCAAGTACTGATGCAGTTCGCAGAGTGTCGGCGGTCAGACGCCTAACAATATCGCTCTGCCTCTCCACCGCATGAATGTCAAGATCCTCGGTACTTCTCCTGAGATGATTGACACTGCCGAAAACCGATACAAGTTCAGCCGGCAAGTCTCCCCGTTTCAACTACTGCAAATAACCCATACTGACAGCTTACAGTATGCTTGATCGTATCAACGTCGACCAGCCCGCATGGAAGGAGCTTACCAGCATTGAGGAGGCCAAGGAGTTCTGCGACCGCGTCTCCTACCCTGTGCTCGTACGCCCATCATACGTTCTATCCGGTGCCGCAATGAACACGGTCTACTCCGAGCACGACTTGGCCAACTACCTCAACCAGGCTGCCGATGTGTCCAAGGATCACCCGGTCGTCATTACGAAGTACATCGAGAACGCCAAGGAGATCGAGATGGATGCCGTCGCACGAAACGGTACCATGATCGGCCACTTCATCTCCGAGCACGTTGAGAACGCTGGTGTCCACTCCGGTGACGCTACTCTTGTTCTGCCTCCTCAGGACCTGTCCCCGGAGACCATCCGCCAGATTGAGGATGCCACTCGCAAGATTGGTCAGGCACTCAACATCACTGGTCCATATAACATCCAGTTCATCGCGAAGGACGACGAGATTAAGGTCATTGAGTGCAATGTTCGCGCTTCGCGATCCACTCCTTTCGTCTCCAAGGTCATGGGCGTCGATCTGATCGAGATGGCCACCAAGGCCATGGCCGGCCTTCCAGTTGAGGAGTACCCTGCCACCAACATCCCCAGGGACTACGTCGGTGTCAAGGTACCTCAGTTTTCGTTCTCTCGTCTTGCTGGTGCCGATCCCGTTCTCGGTGTCGAGATGGCCTCCACTGGTGAGGTAGCCTGCTTCGGTCGCGACAAGTACGAGGCCTACATCAAGGGTCTGATCGCCACTGGCTTCAGGCTGCCCAACAAGAACATTCTGTTCTCCATCGGTTCTTTCAAGGATAAGCTAGAGATGCTGCCTTCTATCCAAAACTTGCACAAGATGGGCTACAAACTGTTCGCTACCGCTGGTACTGCAGATTACATCCAGGAGCACAACCTCCCAGTCAAGTTCCTCGAAGTACTGCCGCCCGGCGAGCACGATGAACAGAAGTCAGAGTACTCCCTGACACACGCTCTGGCGAACAACTTGATCGATTTGTACATCAACTTGCCTTCCAGCAACCGCTTCCGACGACCTGCCAACTACATGTCCCGGGGCTACCGCACTCGTCGTATGGCTGTCGACTACCAGACTCCTCTCGTGACCAACGTCAAGAACGCAAAGCTTCTGGTCGAGGCTATCGCCCGTCACTACGACCTTGCCATCAGTCAGGTCGATTTCCAGGAATTTGTCCCTGAGCGTGATGCTCAAGATGACCATTACGGCCAACTGTCTAAGAGCGGTTCCTTATCTTTGCCTCAATTGCTGGCCAAGTCCCCCTTCAAACGCAAGCACATTACATCCGTCAAGCAGTTCAGCCGCGCTGATCTCCACTTGCTGTTCACAATCGCCCAGGAGATGCGTCTTGGTGCTCAAAAGCAGGGGTGTCTCGACATCCTCAAGGGTCGCGTTCTCTGCACCATGTTCTTCGAGCCTTCCACACGTACCTCTGCATCTTTCGACGCGGCCATGAAGCGCCTCGGTGGTGAGGTCGTAGCCATCAACGAGTCGGTCTCTTCAACCAAGAAGGGTGAGTCCATCGCTGACACCATCCGCACTCTGGGATGCTATGGCGACGCCATCATCCTCCGCCACCCCCACGAAGATTCGATCGACATCGCCGCCAAGTTCTCCAGTGTCCCCGTCATCAATGCCGGTAACGGTAGTCGCGAGCACCCTACTCAGGCTCTTCTTGACATCTTCACCATCCGTGAAGAGCTCGGATCAGTCAACGGTCTCACCATCACCTTCGTCGGTGATCTTAAGTATGGTCGCACGGTCCACTCTCTCTGCGAGTTGCTGTCCCACTACGACTGCCAGGTCAACCTTGTTTCACCTGACTCTCTCAATATGCCAAGCTCTGTCCGTGAGGCTCTCAAGTCTCGTGGCCAGCTGAAGATTGTGTCGAACGAGCTTACAGAGGAGATCATCGCCTCTTCTGACGTTCTGTACTGCACTCGCGTGCAGAAAGAGCGCTTCCCTGACGAGGCCACCTACGAGAAGGTCAAGGACTCGTTCGTCATCGACAACAAAGTCCTTAAGCAGGCGAAGACCAACATGATCGTCATGCACCCTCTGCCAAGGAACAACGAGATTCACGAGGAGGTGGACTTTGACCCCAGGGCGGCATACTTCAGACAGGTAAGTATCCTGACCGCAACATATACAACATCACTGACAGTCCCACAGATGAGGTACGGATTGTACACTCGCATGGCGTTGCTTGCTATGGTCATGGCTCCGTAAGCATGTGTGAATTCGCGTACCATATACCTATATCTGCTCACGAGTATTCTATGCTTGTTTTCGGCTCCGGCGTTACACCAAAAGCACAAAACCACAAGGCGTTCATTTCGTTACATTCTCTAGTAGAAGCACCAACTAGGCTTCCAAGCATTAGATAGGCGTTCATTCACCGTGGTAACGGTGCTGTTTCTCGATCCTGGGTACATGTATGATGTAAATTTCCTCAACCATTGGTATGGGGGAAGCTATTTCATTTTTATTCCAGCGTACTTCGGCGTATTCTGGTTTACTTCGGGGGGTGCGAAGCTATTTAATTTTTTCGGCAATTTCGGCGGCGAATCTTGGGATCATCGGGGGATTATTGGCGCTAAGGCAAAAACTACTGGACGACATGGCCTACGAAGCGTTCGGATGACCATTGACGATCGTTGTCAAGGGAATATCAGAAAATGAAGGAACTCCCAGGATTGGCACAAGTTGCAAAGAGACGCACGAAATTCAATTGATTGCATACTTCACATATTCCATGTGTTGCTTGACTTCAACTTCGCCTGTCCCAACACTGTTTTCACACAGGATGGACTAGATTTCAAGGACTGCCCTCATATGTCTTGTTTCCCTCAATTTCCCACAGATCCCTTGTCCCAAAGTCTCAATCCTTCGCAAATACTAGCTCAAGCTTGTTCTCTACGTTCACTCTTATGCCAACACTTCTGTTGAATGTGTCTAGGCGGTCAATGCCGACAGAGGTGTGGCCAAGATCGTCTGGCTTTTTGGATTTAGAGCGAGCGTAACGAGCTCGATCTCGAAGCTGCAGGCTGTTGATGTGACGCCAGTATTGAGGATGTGATGAATGTACCGGATGGCGATGAGACAGTAGATCCCCAGCACTGCCATGGCTAGTCTGATAGATTTGGATGTGGTGGTATATCCGTAGCCGTATCTCTTCACAGAAACATTGTATCTCATTACGGGAGCTTGCAGGCATTCGGACCTTGAAGCATCAGCGTCATGTGGGACTGGCCAGTCGATAGCAGGGTCCAGAATTTCAGATATGGCAAGGGCGAAAGTTGCCGCGACATTGATCGCTTTGTTCAAACCAGATTTTTTTCTGCCGAGGGATGCGTGAAAAATTGGCATCCCAAAGCATGTCGATACCGGTAACATTCGAGCTGATGTTCCGGGCGCGGTCCGGCACAAGCTCGAAAACCTGAGAACACAGCATCCGTTGAAGGCTGAGTTGACGGGACTATCTTACAGTTTGCAGCCATGGATGCGTGGTGATCCATGATCTTGCCCTGACCTTTGAGGAATGGTTGTTGAGTGCAGATATGGAGCATGAACGTACTTGCCGTCGCGGCCCAGTGGGTATTTAGATTAGAAACCAGTATGAAAGGGTTTGTGAAGCAGGCAAACTGTTCAACGTTCGCGTTTGCCTATTGAAGTCTGTCAAGCTGTGCCTTGTCGAGCACTATTGACAAGATCCTACACCATGCTGTTTCGCAATGACTGTTGAAGGCCAAGCGATGACAAGATTGCAAACCATTGCAAAAGTGTGCAGCTGGGACAGAAATAGTAGCTCAAACTCCGGACGCCACGCCTTGTTGCGTTCAATGAACGAAGCTGTTCGCTTGCTCAAGAATATTCAACCTATATGATTACGCTTCCGATCGTAACCGGAACCATGCAGCGTCACAATCAGCCTGTGTCTGCAGCCTGAGCGTCGCTGCTCAGCGCTCAGTGGCGCAAGCATCTCCCCCAAGCTGTCTACAGTTAGCAATCATATTGACACGACAGACCAGTCCATACGCTCGATGAAACTTACCAGGAAGCCCGCACCCAAACCCAACAAACAGATAAATTAAAAATATGACAACGAGGCACAACAGCACCATCAACTTGACATTCTTCCACCACATCCTCCTCTTCAGCGTCCTCGACCTAACCCTAAAGTCCCGCGCGTTATCGCCCAATCGGCTCGTCTTGTCGACCAGTACATTCATATGCTCGCCCCTCTCGAGCACCCTCTCGATGTTCTCCGTCATAATCTCCCTTACGCCCTCAATCTCGCGCTGCGCAGTCCTCAAGGCATCGGCCTGCCCAGCCTGCGTCGCTCCCTGCTCGACCATCAACTTCTTGAGCGCTACATTGAAGCTGGCGCACCCGTAGGGCGGCAAGTCGGAGAAGTCGGTCTCCTCGCTTGGAAACGAGGCGAAGAATTTCTTCTCCAGGTTGGTCAGAAAGCCAAACGGGATGCGTTGTCCCAGGTCGCGCTCGGCGATTACGAGGAAGGTGAGGCCGCCTGCGCTGCGCCCGCTGGAGGGGAAGTCTCCGGGCGACTTGGTGACGACGTGAATGAAGAACTTGGATTGGTCGATTGTTTTGTGCGCCGAGGAGTCATGTTTGAGCTTTGGCAGGACAAGGGAGACGAACGAGGAGGCGTTCGAGGAGGCGCTTGCGGTGTGCTCGGAGAGGACGGTCGTGTTGTGGGCTATGCATGCGCTGGGTCTTGTTAGCAGCCGGCGGTGAGGCGGTAGAGGGGGGCGTCTACTAGAGCAGAGGCGTGGAGGAGGATGAGGAGGCCATTTCGGATGGCTGTTGATTGTCGGGTAGATATGATATGTCCAGGCGACAAGCGGAAGGCGCTGTGAATGTCGGTGTTGCTGGTGTTGGAGGCAGAAAGCTGGGGATGCAGCGGCGCGTCATTGTCTGCGCTAGGGTGGGAGCCGAGGCAGCGATTGGTGCGTGTTTGTAGGGTTGAATGTTGAATAATGGAGCGCGAGAGCTCTCGAACATTAGCAACCACGAAACGAATAGCAAATTAGCAACCACGAAACAAATAGTAAATATCGATCACAGGCTGTTCACAAGCCTCGAGGCCCACGAGTCTCGAGGACGGAAACAAATCGCCAGGCAACTCTGTGGCCTAGCGACCACCTCGGTGCGCGCGGCAGCTTTCTTTCACGTCTTTCACATTTCTCGATCGACCGCAGTTCGAGCAGGCGCGATTGCCCGACACAACAGAGGCGACAGTCACGATGGTGCGCGTCAAATTTCGCTACCTGGTGGTCAACTTCCTCTACCCCGAACCATCCTCGAAACAGCGCACCGCTCTCCCAGATCTTGTTCAGATCCACGCTCCCACACCAGATGCCTTCAACGCCGCCGCGTTGGTGCGCCTTCTACGCGATGCAGTCGAGGACTTGTATGGCGACTACGGCAGTGGCATGGTCTCAAGTAGTCTGAAAGGTACGCGAGATCACGTTGGAAACGCACGAGCACTATGGAGCATGCTAACCTTGCGCAGTCAACTACTTCTCCCCCTCCACCTCGACGGCAATAATCCGTTGCCCGCGCGGCCACTACGCGATGGTCTGGGCAGCCCTCACATACGTCACAAAGCTCCCGAGAGTCGATATACCTGTCGTGTGCAGGGTGCTCAGAGTCAGCGGCACAATCAGGAAAGCAGAAGAAGAAGTGATCCGTAGGAGCCAGAAGATCGTCAAGCGGGCGAAGGCATTTGATGGCAGGGGTGTTGATCCTATGCTGAGCAGTGTGGAGAAGAGTGTGGAGAAGGAGAGGAAGAGAGAGGAAGTGTTGGCTGTAGTTGACCAGGGTGGAGAGAGCGAGGAGATGAGCGAGTGAGACACCGAGGGAGCGCCTTGCTATCGTCTACCCGCGATCGACCACCCAAGAGAGACTTTGAGATGAGATGTGTCAAGAGACGATATGTCTCATCGTCACCTGCGCCAACTTCTAGAGTTGGAACGGTCGCGCTGCCAGTACTCGTGGATGCGTTTGTGTGTCTTGGACTTTTCGACACCCATTCTTCTGCTACCTGGATTCTCTCTCGATCTATTCATCCCCACATCGTTTGCAATGCCTGACCAGGGGACCCAGACGTCACCTGCCGGGCAGCGCATTAGTAGAGACACCTTCAACTTCCGGGTGACGATTCAGCTACCGTCCCGATCGTTCCAATTTTTACCAGAAGAGCTGATTCTCCAGAATCTCCACCTGCCTCGCTCGCGAACACAACGAGCCAATCTACGATATTGCCGAATTAGACAATTCGGCATCAATCTCTTTGGTATCGCGTCAGCTCCACCGCATCGTCGAACCACTCGTGTATCGGACTTTGGCCATCACCGTCGGGAAGTGTGCAGAGATCTTGGAGGTGCCGATGATGGAGGACGGACAGCTTTACATGTGCCCGGTTCACGTTCCCACCGCAAAAGGCTGCAACATCATGCCATTCATGCGAACTATTCTAAATCGACCGGATCTGGTCCAGCATGTCCAAGCGTTGCCACGTCTTCATAGAAGCTGACGACGTCGTTCTGGAGGGCATCTACAACTACTCTTTGAAGTGCCTTCGATCTGCATCCGTTACTAGGGAGGCTATCAGAAGACGTGAATCCGAAGGGGTCCTGAGTTTGCGCTCAACAACATCTGTGACTGCGCCCTTACTTCGTCTGTTACTGCGAACCTTGAAAGACCTGAAAGTCTTGGATCTCTCCAGATACATCCAATATGAGACTCGCAACCCAATTTTTCAGCCTCTGGAGGATGCGCGCATTCCATCCGGCCCTATACCTCTCAATGGGGTACGTACCTTGTGGATCACGGCCGAATTTACACCCTGGTCAGAATGCGGGCTGTCTTCAACCTTTCACATTTTATTTCGTCTGTTTGGATACTCGCACGCAAAACTGGCTCGCCGTACTTTCCCGCCCCGTAGCACAACGTATTGAAGTTACGACAAGCTGGTGTCGCCACTTCTCTCTTTACCTAAGACCCGTGTACCTCTCCCAAGCTCATCGGCTGGAGTAAGCTCTGAGATCCTGTTGCAGAGAACTAGCTCTATGTGAGCAGCCTAATTAGGGGTGCAAATATAGGCTACGTTTTGCCGCTTTTTAGCTATGACAGATCCTCTTCTGCCGGCGGGACATTCCTAGAGAAGAGCTCTTGGCGGCCTCGGCGGGTGCAGTGGATCGGAAGGATCAATCTGGGGTGCATGCTGCTACGTCAATCTTCCGAGAGCATCTGTGCATGCCGGCTCTGATTGTGTATAGGCTGCATGGCGGAGCTCTTCGCGTTGTCCGTTGAACACTCTATGTGTTACTGCTTTGCAAATGATCGAAAGTTAATATTCAGAAAGTGTTTGTTGTGGTAATGGTGGGCCGCGGTGTCACAATGTGGCGCAAACGCAAGTGCCGTCACCCTTTCATCTGCCGCTCAGCTAGCGCATGAACTGCCAGTCGCACTTCTAACTCAACTTCTGCTCTCCTCCGCTCCACATTACTCGAGCTTCCGCCGGAACAGAAACGTGCGCGTATCACTCGTCGCTCCATCACCCAATTGCACTCACCCCACTCCTGTCACACGGATGGGCGTGAATTGCTGCGGCCTGCCACTTTAGATGACAACACGCTCTTTAGCCATGCAAAGAACCGCGTGCCTGACACAGCGCAGAAGGAAGAATTGAAGAGGTGGACCAGATTGGCCGCGGGAGAGCACCCCCGAATGATGCCCCGCAAGGGCGAGATTGAGACGTCAGTCCTTGATTGTTCGCGCGGGCTTGGACCGGAAGACGTGTTTCACACAATGCACCAACCAGGAGGCAGGCAGCTTGCCAATTGTCAGACAGTTCGATCTATCCGCTGCTCTGATTGGCGACATTGAAGCATGTTTACTCGCAAATGGTCCAAACGAGCCAAGCAGAGCATATTGCGGCCTCACGCTTTCGGTAATACATCCCATCTTGGCTACTACGATATAGACCAACCTCGTAATCCACGACCATGCGCTCATCATCCCTGTGAGCCAGACCGGACTTTGAAATCGGCTCCCGACTGTGATCCATATTGTCGAGATTTATAAAAGTATCTTGACTCGCCCTTACAGTAATTCCTCACCACGGTCATTCACTATCTCAGTCACACTTCCATTCTACAACCGACTTCCATAAGACGACCTCCACAATGGTTTCTTTCACATCTTTCTTTACCGCCGCTGTCGCGGCCTCCGGTGCTCTGGCTGTTCCGGTTACCGACCTTGCTACCCGCTCGCTCGGTGCATTGACTGCACGTGCTGGCACTCCCTCTTCCCAGGGCACACACAACGGCTGCTTCTACAGCTGGTGGACCGACGGCGGCGCGGAGGCTACCTACACCAACGGCAACGGTGGCAGCTACAGCGTCTCGTGGAAGACCGGCGGTAACCTTGTCGGTGGAAAGGGCTGGAATCCTGGCGCCGCACGGTATATCCTCCTCATGCCATACACGCAAATGTAGGGAAATTGACAAATCATAGCACCATCACCTACTCCGGCACCTACAACCCCTCCGGTAACTCATATCTCGCCGTCTACGGCTGGACTCGCAACCCGCTGATCGAATACTACGTCGTCGAGAACTTTGGCACGTACGACCCCTCTTCCCAGGCCACCGTTAAGGGCTCCGTGACCGCCGACGGCTCCAGCTACAAGATCGCGCAGACCCAGCGTGTGAACCAGCCCTCTATCGATGGTACACAGACCTTCAATCAGTACTGGTCTGTCCGCGCGAACAAGCGTAGCTCCGGTTCTGTCAACATGAAGACCCACTTCGATGCATGGGCTGCTAAGGGTATGACCCTTGGCACCCACAACTACCAGATCGTTGCCACTGAGGGTTATTTCTCCAGCGGCAACGCGCAGATTACCGTCAACTGCGCATAAGGAGCGGAAGGCTTGAGTGGAAACGCTTGAGCTGGGACCATGGCTGCAGACCTCGCCCTGTCTCGGACGTTTCTGGAACTTGTAGTGTAGGGTGGTTGAAAATTTCAATTCACACATTCCTTATCAGTCGGCTCACTGACTGTATCGTACCAAAAACTAATCAGTGATACATCACACATCTCTGACATTGCGTGCATTTCCTACTCCCTACTTTCTCTTGACTTTTCCTGTCTTGGAGATCTCGTTGGAGGATGTGTACCATGCGCGTCAACCGCTACCGCTCTTGCCATCACCACACCGATGGACCGCTCATTAGGTGCGAGGACTCCAACAAGAGCAAGATCACCTATTACGTTCCCTGCACACATCTTTGGCTCATAAAGGCTTATGTCTAGACGAATGACCTTTGCAGGTTGTGCATTGAAGAGTTGATACGGAGGTTGGACGATGTAATGGGGAGTAGGGGGCAGGGAACGGTCCAGCAGGCGTGGGCGGTGTGGGTGCTCTTGCGAAAGCCGTGGAACTGTCTTCTGTCACGGTGAGTGATGAAGACGCCGCGATGTGACGTTGACAATCGTGTATATATACCGCTACCGAATAGCTATGCAGTGCGTCAACGTTACTGATTCAAGACAGCAAGTCACTATGTGTATACGCAACGGTATCGAGTATTCTTGTCCAGCTGGCCATGTGTTGCTGAACACAGTAACGCCATTTATGCTGTGCTTTCTGGCTCAGTGTAGGACTATACAAAGGCAGTGTAGCAATGTCGTCGACAGGATTAGAAGCAGCGAGAGGTATTGTATCGATTGCTGGATGCGTGGAGAGGCGCGGAAGACATCGGCTTCGGCGAATGGGCAAGGCAGAGGTAGATGAAAGTACGGACGGAGTCGGCAGTAAGTGAGAGAAAGACTGGGCGTTGGTGTGCAGTACGATGTTGATAAACGCGAGTCCGTCTGTTCCTGCTCTACCTTCACTGCAAGTCTCTGTAATATATACCTTCAGGTACTCCCATCTTTCAGTCCTCTGACGTTCGATCTAGCGATACCTGCAGTACCTCGAGCTCGAGTTAACGGCAACGTCCCCACTACTGCATAATGATCAACAGCCACGAGTTCCTCAGTGAACAGAGCGCAAGCATTCGAGCGCATACAGAACGGTGTGCCATCACGGTATGTTATGAGTGGCTATCGATCATTCACACACACGGAACTCCTATCGAAGATCGCAAAGAGACCATCATTCAAGGACGACTTTGAGGTCTTGCTGAGCATCATCGATGTCGTCCTCACAACGGAGCACTTACTACCCTGGATTCTCGTAGGCTACGTAAATCTTCCGCTTAAGAAACGAAAGCGCCTGTGGGCCAAATTCGAAGAACCAGTCGCGGATGAGTCAGGGCACGGGAATGACCGCGACTTCAAACTCAGATTCTGCTTGACCGACGGGACGACGCATCCTGTCAAGAGGTTGAGTGATATCGAAGTTGAGGGAACCTTCACAGCACTTCTATGGTCGGCCATGGGACAGCTTTGCGCGATATCACTTTTCTCTCTTCTCGAGAAGAGGCATCCAACCCCCTTCTCTTTCATCCCGCGCTTCGTTCGAGATTTCGAGGACGCCTGCTCTCACATCGCAAGCGGCGGAAGGCTGAGGACGCCGGCCTTGTCCAGGTCCTCAGCCCTTTCATCTTCCACGCATGAGGACTCCGAGGGAGAGCAAAATGCTTCAGAGTCTGTACCATCTCAGCTGCCCAGTCCAGGTAGTCAAATGCGCGACAGATACCCGCATTCGTCGTCGAGTTCCGATGAAGGAAGCGATGATAGCGAGAGTGAAGAGAGTGTGAGCGAAGCTGATGCGGAGCTTGAAGAAGAATATCCAAGTCAGTCTGAACGCATCTTTTTGCTGTGAAGGAATCACTGACGCTGTCTGGAAGGAAGGAAAAGACTGTGGGCTGATGACGACGTGAGTAGACAGAGCGCTGGAAATGACCTGTATAGATGCTGACACCCGACAATTCGCATTGTTCCAAGCGCTTGTGAAGCGCGTCCGATAAGACACCGAAACCACGAATGACACACTCAGGAATGAGAACGAAAGACTGCAATTGAGATACGAAGAGGCTGAATATTCATCGGAGGAAGAGTGCGTGAACAATTTCCGACCGGCGAATGAGAACGCATTGCTCAAAGCAGGAAGCGATCAGGCGAAACAAGAACTCAGGCAAGCGCAGTCGGAGCTGGACAGAGCGAAAACTCAGAAAGATCAGTTGGCCAACTTTGAGCAGGAGGTGAACGACTTTCGAGACTGGAAAGAGTGGGTCAGAGGGATGTTCTGATCATTCTGGGAACTGAAAGAGGAACGGGAGGTTGAGGTTAATTTGATTAAGGAGCACATAAGGTTGGATATTTCTTGAGTTATGAGACTGAGCAAGACTGCAGACTTGCGCTTCAGGCTTCAGCTGTATGTTTTCTTACAATCTCGATTCAATATAGTTCGGCTCGGTGTCTCATCTTAATCATACAGCGGCATCGTGCCTGGCGTCGTTCTCAAGGCCTCTTCGATGATGGCAAGGGCAAGATCCAATTGCTCCTCAGTGACTGTAATCGGCGGGGCAATACGGAACACTCCACCAAATGATGCCATGGTAGCCAATTGCGCCCAAAGTCCCATCTCCATCATCTTTTTTGAAACGGCTGCACCGACTTGCGGTGCGCCGACCTTGGTCTGGCGGTCTCCTACAATCTCCATGCCACCCATCAGACCCCGGCCACGCACATCACCGATGCATTCGTAACGCATTTGTAAATTTCTAAGACCAGCCTGCAGCTTAATTCCAAGGCGCTTTGACCGGGCGCAGAGATTATCTCTAATCACGATCTCGAGCACTTTGTCACCGACAGCTGCTGGAAGCGGATCGTTGATGTGTGTTGTATAGAAGAGAAAGTCGTTCTCCTTCGCATGCAGCGCGATCTTGTTCGACGTCAGGACCGCACTGAGTGGGATGCCGTTACCCAGTGTCTTGCTGAGAGTGACGATGTCTGGCACTATACCTTCATCTTCTGGGTGATGTGTGAAGGCGAACATGTCTCCAGCTCTTCCTAGCGCAGTCTGAGCTTCGTCAATGATGAGCAGCATGTCTCTCGCTTCGCAATGCTGCTTGAGCACTTTGAGGTAACCTGGTGGTAGTTCGATCATACCGCCACTTGACAAGATAGGTTCGACGATGACCGCAGCAAGTGAGCCACAGGACTGCTTGTCCAAAAGGTCGAAGCCGTAGTCCAGTTCAGTCCTCCAGTCGTGCGATCCATCAGGTTTGCGGAAGATTGATCGGTACGAGTTTGGTGTGGGCAGTGCAAGGTTACCAATCATGTTGGGTCCATAGCCAGAGCGTCCGGCGTGGTACTGTGCGCCGAGCGATGCTCCGGTCATTCCGTGCCATGAAGCAGCGAGACCAACTATCTCGAACTTTCCAGTGTAAAATTTAGCCAGGCGGATCGCTGCCTCATTACTTTCACCGCCAGTGCTGAGAAAGAACGCCTTGTCAAGACCTGCAGGTGCAGCTCCTGTCAAGCGCTTAGCAAGGCTGATGACAGGAGGGCTAATCATGCCGCTGAAGAGATGGTCGAGATGCTGTGCGTGGTCGCTGACGACCTTCACGACCTCTGGGTGGCCATGTCCGATTAATGTCGACATTTGTCCCTACGTTTCTTAGCTGCGAGTATTACACTGGATCGAGCAAAGACCAACCGATGTGAAGTCCATCATCCTGTGTCCACTCTGCGTCTCCATGTAAATACCGTCCGTTGATGTGATGATCTCAGGGTGGAAGGCTGTGCCATAGGTCAACAGACATTCGTCCGCATCCCTTTGGAGCTGCTCAGCGTCCACGGAGTCGTAGAGACGAGCCATTGGGGAGTAATGTGGTAGGTAGCTTGAGTTTGGCGAGAGACATCACCGTGGGCAGACGCATTCTGATATAGTTACAAGACATGCGGAGCTGTGTGTCTGGGCTGGCTTGCCGACGGAAAGTAGACAAGCCCTGTGAGAGAGTCGCTCGCTGCATATTCAACCGTGTTTGAAGTGAGATGGGACGAATGCAGTAATTGCCGAGATCACGGCGAGATACGAAGAAGAATGCGCTAGTGGGAATTTTCCCGAGACAATCAAGTTTCCCGATCTTTGCGCTCGGGCTCGTGGCTGCGCGTTGTGTCCGCTGTTTTGTCGTCGTTGAGTTTGTCTTGTACTTCAAGCCCCAAGCGGTCAACCTGTGGCATTGAACGTGGCTTTCTTCAAGGTGTGATAGATGACGTCATGGCCGATCGCGAGTCAACCACGCCGTTCACAATTCGACCGTGCGTCTCCAGCCATCGATGCGCGTCGACACGCGCTCAAGTTTGTGTCTGGACTCGCGTCACGGAACACTGACTACCTCCCAGGTATCGTTCGCATAAGTATCCTGCCTGTAGCTTCTGTCGCAATAGGAAGACAAGATGCGACTTCGACGTGCCTGACCAGCCCTGTCGGCTGTGCCGTGAGCGAAAAAGGACGTGTGATTACGGCAGTAAAAGTACGTAGATTGTAGCCCCAAGAAAATATGAACAGGAGGTCCCAAAATTGCCTCGACTATCTCACCGGAATCCTGCATTCTGCTGTATCTCATTCATTCAGCTAATCTTCACTAGTACAAACCACCGGTATTCAAAGTACATCCAACGAGCGCAGTGGCAGTCCAATCGGTGGGACGTCCAGACCTACCAAGCGAACCCGTCATGACAATGCATCGCTTGTCGAAGTACGCTCGTCAGCGTCGGTGTCAAGGCGGGCAGATGCCGCTAGTCTGTCCGAACTACCTTCGATAACCGGCACGTCGCCGACTGAATCATCCTTGATGATGAACCCTCATATGGCCGAAGATATCACAGTGTTGCAGCAGTACCTGACGCCAACTACATCAGAACGCCAAATACCTCCCAAGCTATACAATACTATCTCAACCGGGCCTGGAGGCAGGCCTGTAGTCTACCTAACTCTTCCAAAGAAGCGTAGAGGCCTCAGAAACGCGGTTGATCCCGGCAGGGCGCAACGAGAGATTATTGAGAATGTACTTGGCCCCTGTGCGGTTGAGGTACGCAAAACCTACTTTGAGCATCTACATCCTTGCTTCCCAGTCGTGGATGAGATGACATTCCTGAACATGTGGCGCAACGACAGCGACCGCATATCGCCTACACTAGTCTGCGATTTGTACGCTTCTGCATTGCAGGTGTGGAGCCGATCACATGTGCTGCGCCACCAGGTCCGGCCGGACCCTCACTTCATCTGGAATCAGGCCGTTATTGCTCTTCAGGACGACTTCATGGCTCCGACTATATCAACAGTACATGCTGCGGTGCTGGATCTATTAGGACGTCCAGTCATTGGTGTTACAGGTAACATCGTCAATGCTGGCCGCATTGTCACACTTGCACAAAGTTTGGGGTTACATCGCGACCCTTCTTCATGGAACGCCACAGCACATGAGAAGAGCGTACGAATCAATCTGTGGTGGGGCATCCTCGTACACGATTACTGGTCCAGCATTGGTCATGGTACACCGCCCACTATCAGTCCAAATTACCACGACGTACCCCTGCCTTCCTTCAGCGATCAGATGCACGTATCATTGCAAACCTTCGTGCAATTGTGTAAGCTAAGTCGGATACTTGGCGATATCCTTCCCTTGGTCTACTCACTTCGGGAAACCTCCGACGCAATGAAGCGACAGCTACGCAAAGTCGAGTGCAGTCTTGACGATTGGGTTGTTGAGCTCCCTGCACAACTCGAGCCCACGTGTGAGGCGTCATTCAAGGTTAACGGAGGAAGTAATTTGTGGTTCGCCTACCTTTCCATGAAGGTGCTCGTATGTCGAGTCTCCTTTAAGGCAGTCCAGGAAGCTACCGATCAACCCGCCGAAGCACGTCAGTATCATCTTGCCATGCTCAAGGATGCCGCTTTGGAGGCGACACACTTCATCACGTCACTCACCGAGGCTCAATTTCAAGAGTTCTGGATGCCATACACCTCTTACCTCCTCGTTACGTCAGCCACAATCCTGCTGAGATGCACCATTGAGAGCAACGATCTCAACAAGAAGAAGGCCTGTGTCACGCAATTGGTTGCATTTCGGGAGCGTTTACGAACAGCGCGAGATGCACTACAGTGGGACCTTGCAGAATTTTGCCTTGAGAGATGCGACGAACCAATTCAGAGGATCGCAGATGCCCTCGGTATATACTCGAGCCGCGTTTCAACAGCTGCGCATGCTGACCAGGCAGTTTTGCTAGAAGCCCAGGAACCTGGACTGGCGGTGCCTCACGATTTATCTCTAAACGACTTATTCCTCCCAGTAGACTCCCTTGACTACCCGTGGGAGACGTTATGGAACGGTATAGAAGGGCTGTGGTCTGTACAGATATGAGCCCGTCTCCGAGGAATGTTGCGAAAGGGCAAGGCTGCGTTGTGGCACTAATCTCCATGATACAACCCTTCTGGAGGCGGGACGCCATACCAACCTAACCCAAGCTTATCTTCAGGATCAGGGTCCGGTATGTGATAATACCGGTCATATCGCCACCATTGTCGTCCTTCACATACGTCTTCCACGGGAAGTACGCCTTCCGCGGCCATCTGGTCTCTGACTCTTTCGACTCCCCTCCACACCCTCAGCATATTGTCTCCTATTACCATGCGCAGCTGTTCCTCGGTCGCGCCACGGTCGAGAATGGCTTGCATCAGTGCAGCATAGCACTGAACGTCTTCAAGGCCTGGGATCACAGAAGCAATGTCATCGAAGTCGGAGCCAAGACTGATGTGGTCCCACCCGATGCGATCTGCGATGTAGAACATGTGGTCCAGTACCATTTCCATCTTCGCATCCTTGCGTCGACTGGCAACGTGCTCTGGCACAAAGGTGACGCATACGACACCTCCGTTACTTGAGATGAGATCCAGAATATCGTCCGGCACATTACGTGGACAATCGAAGAAGCCTTTGACGTTGCTGTAGGAGGACATCAATGGCGCTAGGCTTAGTCCCAGGACCTGTCGTGCGCAGTCCTCACTGACGTGACTGGCATCCACGATCATGCCCAACCGGTTCATCTTTTTGACTGCCGACCGACCTAGTTTTGACAGGCCTCCGTGAACAGGACCAATCTTTGAAGTGCTCGAGTCTGCGAATGAGTTGTTGCACACATGTGTCAAAGTTCATTACCTCACACCGAGGGTGTAAAAGGCTCGAATAATGCCGATCGAGTTTCCAGCCATGTGGAGGCCTTCGATACCCATAGAGCAGGCGATCTTGCCCTCGCGATACACTTTCCCAACATTATCTGCGCCCTTGATGATCTCGAAAACGTCGGGGTAGCTCTGCACCATACGCGTGGTCGTATCAATCAGCTCAATTTCATCGCATGCCATATCGGAGTACTCCGGTGTACTGAAGTTCTCTGCGCTTCGAAGGCATGGAACGCAGATAGACCAGAATTGAGCACCAACCGCCCCTTCTCTTAACCTTGGAATGTCGGTCATGCCTCTCTGCAATCCGGCACGGAGGTCGAATTTGGGGTTGTTGTGCACCTAGTCGTGGAAGCAAGCGCGAGGCTGTTGAGGTAGGTCATTGTGCGTGTCAAACAGCGGCGCTGACTGTAGCACATGTTTGACTCTGGCATCGATCGAGAGTGACTGGTATGGGTGGCACTGCATCTGGTCCAGGGATGTGATATCCACGGGGTAAAAGCAGTTACACTACAAAAAATTGAAGATCTGTTCGGAGAATCCAAACATAGTTATCAGGCATCATATAGATATGGCGTATCCTCGATTGGCCAATCCCTGTCGCATAGCAAGTTTCCCGATAGGACCGTATGCCGAAGAATGCGTTAGGGGAACGGGAAGCCCCACTCTTACCTAGTGTTTCCCGTGGACCGTATCACGCACCATCGGAACGCCTAGATACTCGGCGGCTGAGAAGGTCTCGTCACAAACCATTTTATCTATCACGAGTCAGCACCGATAAGTGAGATGATTAGAGGCATGCTCTCCAGCGACACGAAGACATGTAAAACTGGTGGGACAGCTTCGGATTCTGGTGGACACTGCTGAACTCGTTCCTTCGAGTCTCGTTCCAAAGAGACGCTCAACATGTCGACCTTGAAAGACCGACAGCTTCCATCCGACTGTGAGAAGCGTCATAGCTCCTCGCCAGAAGCCGACGACGTTGCGCTCGGCGTGTTCGAGGATTTGAGCGACAGTGACGGCGCTGTCAATGATACCAAGCTGTTGAGGAAGATCGACATGAGATTGATGCCTCTACCGCAAGTCCTTCCTCCGTCGACACCAACTTAAATACTGACGTTCGATACAGATGCGTCACGTACATGCTTCAGTCCATCGACAAGACCACGCTCTCATACGCTGCCGTGTTCGACTTGAGAGAAGACACAAATCTTGTTGGCAAAGAATACTCCTGGCTGGGTTCACTGTTTTACCTCGGTTACCCCTTCTGATAGTATCCCATAAGCCTTCTACTGCTCCGGTTCCCAGTCGCTAAGTTCATGTCGGCGACTGTAATTCTCTGGGTATCGTCCTCATGAGTCACGCTGCTGCCAGTGACTTTACTGGACTCGCAGCTGCCCGCACCTTCATTGGTATGATCAAGGCATCTATTAACCCTGGTACGATGGTTATCTTCTCGATGTGGTACAAGCGAAGCAAACAGCCGGTTCGAATGGGCATCTGGGTTGGCAGTGCTGGGCTCGGATACGTTCTGGCCGGCATCGCAAGCTTCGGCATTGGACACTTAGGCGGATCGCTCTCATCTTAGCGATATGCGTTTTTACTCTGGGGCGGGATGACTCTGTTGTGGGGGTCAGTAATTTCCTTGTTCCTGATGTCGTGCAGCTGACACTCTCAGGCATCATCATTCTTCTGTTACTGCCCGACAACCCAGTACAAGCGAAATTCCTGGGCGAAGATGAGCGAAGAGGTGCCATTCTCCGCATCCGTGACAGCGAGCCCGGTATCGAGAACAAGCAGTTCAAGAAAGCGCAGTTCGTCGAGGCGATGTTGGATCTGAAGACCTGGCTGCTGTTTATTTTCGCAGTCGCTTCCAACGCACCAAATGGAGGCTTGACCACGTTCCAGGGCATCATTATTCGTGGTACGGGCTTTTCGAAGCTTCAAACTTCCCTAAATTCCGATGCCGTCAGGTGGGGTGTAAATGGTGGTCTGCTGCGGAGCCTGTTACTTCGCTTCCAGATTTCCCAACGCACGGCTGCTGGTCATGCTGATATGCCTCGTCCCTTTCGTCGCTGGAACTATTGACACTTGGTTGATCCCGCAAGGCATACCCTACGGTCGTTTAGTGTGCTTCTGGATTTCGTTCTCGTACACAGCCACATAGGAACACGGGTGTTATCGATAGGTAAGCGGCATTTGGGTGCTTTTGGGTCACAGAAATAAACTCCGAGCTGCCGTGGAAAGTTCTCAACCGGGTATTCAAGAGGGGAACGAGAACGGTTTCAGGGGCATGACTGACCTGGAAAATCTGCATTTTAGATACGTATTTAAGCCGGTGGGGTGCCAACGCAATTTGTGGAGGGGCTTCGTTCTGTTACCAAATATTGCTGTAGGAATAGCACCATGCCAGATCGAGCATCTCTACCAAAATTGCTCCTGCATTATTCAGCTCATCTGTTGGGGGCTGTCGATGTTCCTTGCTCAATAACTGACTTCATCCACCAGTAAGAGACATCTTCATACATTTGCTACATCCACCCAAGTCGCAAAGATCGCAAACCGTCAAGATGTGCGTTATCACCATTCTTCACTGTACGCCGTGCAAATCTCGACAAGACATTCCCGAAGAAGGCCTCATAATAACAAGAGACTGGCACGCTCGGCTTCTTGTCAACCTCGACAACGACAACATACCGTTTAAACGCTGCATCGACGCGATCAATCATGCTCTCAGTAATGGTCGATCAGATACCATGTATCCCCGTTGCCGCAACGTCGAAGTTAAGCACATGGCGGTTACGAAGGACATTTGTTTTCGATGCTCAGCTCGACAGAAGATCCAGAACTTCACTAACATGCGCAAGCTGTACGAGAAGCAATCTGTCGCTTGGAGAAACGAAGAGCGTAGTAATATAGAGGCCGTGAACGATATGCGAAGCCTTATCAGGGAGTCACCACGATTGATCCCCGTAACAGAGAGAGATAGAGCTTCCTGCACAACAGTTGGCTTCCTCACAGCAAGGCTAGCTCCAGTCACTCCAGTAACAGAGAGCTGGGAATACTGCCTGGAAAGGCAGATTCAGCAGCGAGAACTGGCAAAGAGAAAGGAGGCTGAGAAGGCTGAGGATAAACTGAAGAAGGCGAAGAGAAAGCAAGCAAGACTAATCTCTGTCCAACAATGCCTTGCTCGCGCTAATAGACTGAGGCACACTTCTGCAATGGAAGAGAATGCCGAGCAAAGCTCAGCTAGTCGGAGTGAACAAGTATCGAGACCAGGCTCGTTACAGGATGTTCCTGCTTCGCATAATGAGCTTTCCCCAGCGGCAGATACCAGAGTTCTTTCTGGGTCGCCAAGCTGGAACACATTCGTGAGAAAGTTTCACACCACGGGTCGTACTTCAGCTATTCAGACAGATCTCTCAGGAAAAGATCACTCAACTGATGCTACTATGCGTCCAGTCGCTGGCTCTGCTTGGGTACGGGTTTTCTTTAGCCTTAGAGGGGATGCTCCTGAATTCGCTTCGCTCAGAGGTTGTCCTTCATCTTTGAAAGGTGGGTCTCTGAGGGCAGAGGCTCCTGAGTTCAGGCCATTGCGAGAGACACCGCCGACTGAGCCTCGGATGATGAGAGCCCCTTCTGCACCTCGAGCGATGAGGGAAGGTTGCTTGAGACCAGCATCGACTCAGCCTCGACAAATGTACTCCACGGTCCGCGGGTACCCAACGTTGCGTGGATGGCGACAATAAGCTCTCTATGTTCTTGCTGGCTTCAACACTTGTTGTGTACCACTCGTGTCAAGATCATGGTAGATACTCTGACGACCCCCCCTGGCATGATCGTGTGGTCGACTCTTGCTCTTGACCATTGAATACCCCCAGGCTACTTTCCAGCGGGATGGAAAACCGTGGGACGCGGCAGATCAATGTGATGGCCATGCGCGAGGCTGGACATGCATGCGCTACATGAGTAGGAGCGGCGTGCATGCCCCGAGCTAATTAGTCAACAAGGCGAGTCCATCCCCAACATCGAGGCCATGAGGCATATCATTTCTGCAAGTTTGCTGACGGTGGCAGTAGGGGGGAAAGATCGTGTCAAGAAGGACCTGCCCGCTTGCCGCGCATTGGGACTTCTCTGTTCGGTTTTGAATGGTGTGCTCTTTGTCCTGTTACCTTAGACGTTTTGTCAACAAGGTATTCTTCAGGCTCTGTCTAAGCTCGCGCTAGACTTCGGGATTGATGGGCCTTTGAATGTTTTGCTGCTGGTGTGAGTGTCAGGGAGCTCAAGAAAGTACAGGAGCGACGGGCGGAAAATTCTCGGGACGCGCTATCTAAGCAAGACGCGCGTCATCAACAAGAGAGCAGAATACTTTCAAGCGTTTCTCAAGCTCAAGCGGCGCTTGTCAAGAGCTTCTTTGATTCTTTCATCTGATGGTCACTGTATTTGTAAGCTAATACTTGTATACTGGCAGCAACGAAACTTGTCCCTTCCGACTGAGGAGAGGCCATCTTTCACCAGCTGACAACAGTATGGTGTCGCCCTCATCTGCTTCCTATTGAGGAGCTCGAGTCCAAAGGGCTGGGAAGGAAAGCAACAATAACACTTGCAAGGTCATGAGAGTCCTTCATCCCGGTACGGTCAGGCTACGGCAGTCTACAGTTGCGGCTCCAAAACTTCCATCTCCGGATCAATTTGCGATTAGCGGCCTCACTGGCTGGATTTTACTTGGACCTCAGTGAACCTAAAGATCGTCGTACGCGCTGCTGCAGAGATCATCTGGGGATCTTAAGTGGTTGGGTTTTAGATTGCCCGCATAATTTTGATTAGGCTGAACTTAGATCTTCAGGCCTGTGCGAGGCAAGTGTCAACAACTTCAATGTTGCCGAACGACACTTTCACAGCGCAGCCAAATACCGGATTGCAGTCTCTGTTATACCAGAACTGTCGGACGATGTCTATGGGTAAGCGAGACGTTTTCACTTCTACTCATAACTAAATTGAAGGTATCGCGCTGTGGCAAAACACGCGTGCCATTACCGAGCATACCCCCGTCCTCAATATATCCAAAGCCGTCATCCGAAACCTCGGAACAATTACATGTGCGAAAGATCCGGGGCACAACATTTAAGCCTCAAGCAAAGCACGTCCAGCGGTCAAAGGCATCTCGTCCCGGCTGCGCCGGAGCTTGCCAGATGTTACAGACGACAACGCACTGCCCAGTCAGGAGACACAATATAGTGCAGGCGGTAGCCCACATCTATGGCGCTTCTCGTGTGGCGTGTGTTGCGAGAGGTCTACACGGGATACTTAGAGCGGGAGAGCCCTTATTTCCGTAAAGACGAAGCAGATCTTGTGCGAGAACTCCTGCTCTAGAAAGCCCATCCTATTTTCCCATAACATGAATATGACCATGGTCTTGTCAGTATGCGCCACAGACGCACATAATGTACGAGGCTCATGACCTGCCGCATATATTACCTTCCGTAAAGGGCCCGGAGGAACTTCATGAGAGTCGTTTCAGTCTTGCGTACCTGACCGGATCAGCCTGCAGTCAAATACTAAGTCGTGAAACATCCACGGAAGCAGGGATCATCGAGCACTGATGCCCGGCGATAGTGGAAGTCTCCAAAGAGAGTTCCCGGCCTGACTTTTTAGAACACCTCAATGACCGATCTATCAGACATGGAACGGAGCACAGGAACCATGCTAAAAGTTTCGCGAGCGCATTCCCCGGAACTGATCGGCCTTGTCGCCTCCTTCTATAGTGTCTGTCTGCTATGGTATCTTAGTGGGCGTCTAGGCACGAAGTTTCGCCAATTGAGACCCTTAGATTCAGCACATAACCAAGGCGAAGCCGTTGAATACTCCACTGCCAGCCTAGGCGCTACCTACATCCGGCAACGATCCCGCTAAGGCCTTGTCTGGTAGACCCCAGATTACCCCACAAAGAATTGAACTTCATCTATACTCAATCTCTCTGGCACTTCAGATCCTGTCAGCGTTCCCGACCACCCGTAGGCGCCCCTGGCGGCTGACCTCGTGTAGTCTGTCCTGGAGATCTTCGCGCCTTGTAATATCGGACGGTTATATGGGTACATGGCTTGTGTACTGTCGAAGTTTCATGCTGACTATAGTAGCTATATAAGGGGCCGCTGTCCTCGTCAAAGTCTCATCACACAAACAGTCTTATCTCATCAATAGACAAAATGTACAGGTCTCTTGCTCTCACCTCGCTCACTTTTCTGAGTGCCGTCCGCGCCCAGCAGGTCGGCACTTCCACAACTGAGACCCACCCCCAGCTCAACTGGAAGACCTGCACTGGTACTGGTGGTAACAGCTGCACCACCAAGGCTGGATCTGTCACCCTTGACTCCAACTGGCGCTGGGCCCACAACACTGGCGGATACACCAACTGCTACACTGGCAACACATGGGATGCTACCCTTTGCCCTGACGGCGCCACCTGCGCCAAGAACTGCGCAATTGATGGAGCTGACTACTCTGGTAAGATGAAGTCCCCGGCATGCATTGAAACAACTGCTGACGCAGTCAAGGTACCTACGGTATCACTGCTGGCAGCGATGCCTTGACCCTCAGGTTCGTTACCAAGGGCCCGTACTCCACAAACATTGGATCCCGCACCTACCTCATGGAGACAGACACCAAGTACCAGATGTTCAACCTCATCAACCAGGAGTTCACCTTCGATGTCGATGTGTCAAACCTTCCTTGTGGTCTGAACGGTGCTCTGTACTTCGTCGAGATGGCCTCGGATGGTGGCCTTAACAAGGGCAACAACGCCGCTGGTGCCAAGTACGGAACTGGTAGGGCTTGCCTTGACAAAAAAATCTCAGAATCCCATATTGACATGATTCAGGATACTGTGACGCTCAGTGCCCCCACGACATCAAGTGGATCAATGGCAAGGCCAACAGCGAAGGCTGGGTCCCATCCACCGGCGACACCAACGCCGGCGCCGGCACCACCGGTGCCTGCTGCCCTGAGATGGACATCTGGGAGGCCAACAGCATCTCGACCGCCTTCACCCCCCACCCCTGCAAGGGCGCGGGTCTTGTTGCCTGCACAGGCACCGACTGCGGCGATGGTGACAACCGCTACAACGGTGTCTGCGACAAGGACGGCTGCGATTTCAACAGCTACCGCATGGGCGCAAAGAGCTTCTATGGCCCCGGCGCCACCCTCGACACCAAGGCTAAGATGACCGTTGTCACTCAGTTCATCGGCTCCGGCTCCTCCCTGTCTGAGATCAAGCGCTTCTACGTGCAGAATGGCAAGGTGTTCAAGAACAGCGAGTCCACCGTTTCCGGTGTCACCGGCAACTCGATCACCAACAGCTTCTGCACAGCCCAGAAGACTGTTTTCGGCGACAACAACTCTTTCTCCACCCTCGGTGGGCTCAACGGCATGGCCGCTTCGCTTGCTCGCGGCCACGTTCTCGTCATGTCTCTTTGGGACGACCACGCAGTCAACATGCTCTGGCTCGACTCCACCTACCCCACCACCGCTGACCCCAGCAAGCCTGGTGTTGCCCGCGGTACTTGCCCCATCACCTCTGGCAAGCCTGCGGACCTTGAGGCGAACAGCCCCAACTCCAGCGTTGTCTTCTCCAACATCAAGTTCGGCCCCATTGGCTCTACTTTCAACCAGGCCGCCGCTGTCTAAGCGATTCCTATGGTTGCGCTCTAGATTGAGCGCCGTGATGATCTTTTCATTCAGAATGTATATACTTGCAAGTTTTGCCGAGAAAGAGGTGGACTGGAGATGGGGTGTACATAGACCATTCGTTACACAAAGAAACAAACTGGTGATTTAGAACTGTCGCTCTATCCTCCGTTTCCTAGTTGCCGCTCTTTCCGACTCCACAGTTCTTTGCCACACCAAAGGTCCGTCGGACCAGAAAGGTACCCTTTACACATTGGACAAGTCCGCGCTCATCAGATCGTCTTGTGACACTGGGTCGCTTCCCTTATCAATACCGGACGGAGCACTCCCTGACAATAACATTTTGACAGCTTCGGGACGGTACTGTGTAGCGAGTATGGCATCGAAATGCTGCAACGAGCTGTAACGTGCATGTCTCTTCCCCAGTCATGCACGACTCGACGTCTTAAAGTGACGCCTCCACTCGCTTTCTCGCTCTCTTGCTTTCAGTAGTGCCTTACATTCTTGTGGAAGTCTTAAGCTTTCTTCGGATTCTTCGAAGCCCACTTCGGGTCTGCATAGTCAAGAAGCACCCGTATTGTCGTGGCATCTTGCGAGTCTCTGCGAAGTCCCTTCGGTAATGTCAAATAACTTCAACTGTCAATTGTGTATTCCCCGACGGCTATGTAGAGCAGTCGGGAGGCTAAAGGTTGTGATCTTGAGGTATCACATCTCTTCATGCATGCATTGATATAGCTAGAGAATTGAAGCCTGACAGAAAGCTCCAACATTCTCCACCTATGATCAGAGCTATTGTGCCACACAAACTTCCAGTCTTTGAATGAGTCAATCCTCGCGACAGCAGCTACTTTTGTAGCCTCACCGGTGGCTGTGTCAATCTCGTCGAGCATTTTGACATAACGCTCAGAACCATCGTGCTGGGCCTGAGTAGCGTGGTAGAGAGCCAAAAACATCGTCTCTCATGTTTCCTCGGTCGTCTGAGCGCCATTGGACGAGACTTTCAGACGCATCAGCCGAGTTTTGAAAAGTTCTGCATCGTGATCGAAATCGGGACCGGCTCCTACGCAGATGTCCGACCAGACTCCAGCTGGAGCCTTTCCAGGAAGTCCTTCACAGTTCGATGTAGATAGGTACCATCAGCCTGGGACGGGTCGCCCATGTTCGTCCCGCTACCGTTAGCCTCAAGTGACCCTTTGCAGGAAGCGGTCAGGCCACGACGCATGATATCTGCTCTCGCGCTCTTCTCTGCCTCCAACCATGCTCCGCATGGGGAATTCAACACGAAGTCTGCATTATCGTCGAGATTTTCAGCGAAGCACATGTACAGAATCGTCATCGGGGTTTGAGAGTATCTGTTAAGCATGAACAATTGACAAGCGCGTGAGAAGAGACCAATGTCCAGGCCTCACAGTATCTTCCAGAACAGATCTTCGAGATCTCTTGGTAGGTCGTCAAATCTCATATTTAGCATTGCTGAGCCTTCACCAGCTGTGAGTCCCTCTAGGAGGGATTGAGTGACCAGTACAACCCAGATGAAGATCCCCGAGGACTTCTCACCGATGTCTTTGATGAGACTAGTGCAAAACCCTGGTTGCAATCGCTCCAATTCTCGGTAGCCATTGCCATCTTGTAAACGTGAGGTCGCGTAGTGCTTGATGTCGCCGTATGTAAGGTACTGAACTCGGAGGTGAGGGAATTCCCCGTATGCATCCTCAAAGATCTGCCATGGCCTACTAGAAGCGCAGATCTTCACCCCTGACAACCTCATGGTTTCCATGATGTCGGTAATCTTGGGAGGCTTTCCTGCAAACTCATCTAGACCGTCGGCAAAGAGCACAATCTTGAGGGTCCTCACAGCTTCCTTTAGCACAGCCCCCATCATTGTGTCCGAATCTTCCAAAGCCCACGCTGGGTTTGCCGCTCTCCCAATGCACTTGCCCAAAATTAATCCGGATTCTAACCAGTGTGGAAAGATTTTCTGGATCAAGGCTGGCTCATGGGAAAGAATTTGGTACAGCAAAGCGCGTATCACTCCCTCCCGTGACTTTTGCATTTGGGTTCCTGAATCCCAGAGGTAGACGGAGATCATGAGCACGGGTTTATCGGTGGCAAGAGTGGCTAGCTCTTCCCTTGTACGATGATGGTCAAAAATATATTTCATCAGAGTCGATTTCCCAGAACCAGGTTTGCCAGTGATCCAGTAGAAAGGAGCATTGTGATCATGCAGCCATCCGGGGAAGCCTGCTATATCTGGCGAGGTGAAGATCCATTCGAAGGTCTTCGTGTACGCCTCATCGATATGATCATAGCGATGACCAATGCCTTCGTATTGTAGGCTGCTGAGAATGAGCGCCTCAACTTGGGCCTCGGTATTGAAATCTTCCGCCGGCCCCGAGAACTTGTAAGTCTGATGCGGCAAGCGGTAAGAAATCGCACCGTTCTTGTTGTCGTTTCTCCATTCGCCTTGTCCTTGTAGATGGGTCAAAGCTTGCTGAACGAGATTTTTTTTATCTCTTGGACTTTCATTGAAGCCTGAACTAGATGACCTGTCTCATTCTGAGCTTTCGTGGAAGACACTGCTTGATCCCTGTGGTACGTGACAACGGCCGGCTTACACAACACACTTTGATGTTTGAGTGAACTTACTGCAGCTATGGCTCCCTCTCCTGCAAGGCAAAGCACGATAAATGTGCGCACATGATACTCTTTGTCGGTCTATATTGACAGCCACAAGTAGATAATTGAGTTCTGTCGTTCAGAACATGTCAAAACTCATCTCTAGATGCGGCAGAAGAAGGCGCCAACAAGGCTGAGCTCAGCCTTGTGTCAGGTCCTATCCATCCATCAAGGGCCCAGAATTGCTTAAGAGGACAATGCGATCACTCCCCATTTCCCAGGCCCAGAGTAAAAATGTGAAAGATCCTTATGGAGACGATCACTGCTGGATACGTCAAGACAGCTACAAAAGCTAGGCTTTGCCAGACTCAGCCCCCGCCCTGCGTGCAATATACTTCCAAATCGCCCTCCACTCCTTCTCCTGATCCCTCTCCTCGTCCCTCTTCTTATCCAGCTGCCACGAGTACGCCAATCTCTCCCACACACCATCGCTCCTCTCCCTCACCCCCCTCTCAGTCTTCCCCATCGACTCCTCAAAAGCCCTCCTCACACTGCCCTTCTCCCTACTCATCTCCTCCCTGACCCCGTACTCCTGCATGCCCGCGATAAATGGACCATGCGCGCGCCACTCTGTATCGAAGGGCGACCTACCCGTCCCAAGATCGCGCCACGTCTGGATATTCAGCCGCACAAATTCGCCTGCCACGCTGCTCGGGATCTGGAACGCCGTCACCGCCCAGTCCGTCTGACAGTCAGAGCAGGACTGTGCGCCCAGCACGAGCCAGCCCCGCCTCGCCACGTTGTCCAGCGCGGCCATGAGACCCGTGTGCCCGTACTCACCTGTGCGGTGTTGTGTGAGCGTGGGCGGGAGTAGGGGCCACAGGTGTCCGATGAGGTTCTTGTGGTGCGCGGCCCAGGAGGGGAGTAGGATGGAGAAGGTGGTGTGCAGCAAGAACCTACCGTTGCAGATTTGGGCTTCGTGGCTAATGGACGTCTGGACAGGGGTTTGGAACAGAGTGATACTGGAGCTGCTGGTGTACGAAAACGCGGACAGGGGAAGGCCGTGAGCGGGGCCGTGTCTTTGATGGGCGAGAGCGAGACGCATGTGGTGGTAGCGTAAGGTGTAGCCGGTGGAGTCGGAGAGGTAGCTGTTGTATTCTGCACATGGTTTTCGGAGGGTTTGTGATGCAGATACAGGAGTGTCGGTCGCGGACCAGGGGTGGAATTTATCGCACCACGCGCAGTGCCAGGAGCCGGGGAGTGCGCGCTCGATGGTGTCTTCCATGCGGTCACGTGCGTCAAACCGACTTGATGCAGATGAGATGTAGTTGGAAAGTCGGCCCGTCCCGATAGCGTAGCAAAGTTGGCGGTTCGAGAGACTGAGAGCGGAGGCCGAGGCGTCATCCAGATAGCTGGCGACATGCTGCAGGATTTCCAAGGGGAGATTTAGGAGAGGAGCCCGCACCGGGATCGAGTGAGGTTTGATTGTCGCAGTCATGTAGTCGCCTGTCGAATCGGTGCTGCTTCTCGGCGTACCATAGTTCGATGTAAAGGAGTGTGCAGATGAGCCTGAACGGGAAGAGGAGGCGCTGCTAGTGCGGTGGAGGTGGAAAAATCCCATCTTGAACCTTAGAAATGTCAAACTCTTTCTTTAACTTCGATATTGATTTTTTCTTGAGTTTCTGGTGTTGAGTCCGTTGCTTTCGAGGAGGGAATTGTCCTGGTATGGAGACCGAAAAAGTGGCTGTGTGAAGTTGGCCCAGCTAACCTGTAGAAGGCCCCCTATAATATATTCCAAGTCTTCTGTCAAACCCAAGAATCCAGTCTATCGTTCTTCAAACCTGCGTTCGGCGGTTTCAGAACCAAGTTGGAAGTGCAACGAAGACCAACCGAGCCATCGCACCTAACGACGTCTTGTATCATGTCGGCCAAGTTCAGGACCCTGACAGATGACAAGGACATGAGTACGGTCACACGTGGCTAGTGAAACTAGGGCCCTAATGCCAGGCACGCGGCCGTGTCAGCGGCGGTGGCGGTGAAATGCAAAGGCACACGACGGTCAGGGATGGAGTTGTGCCCTGAAACATTCACATGATCCACAAGCGCTAAACCAAGTGGGGTTGGCGCGCCCGGCAGTCTTGCTGGTTGCTGGCGTCGTATCCAGAGCCCGACCCATACACATGTGAAGACTGAAAAATGGCGAGGAAAGTAACGGTGAGATGTTCAGTGATGTGATTCGCGCGCTATGGCGTCGCGAAAACTCCCGAACGCTATGCTCGCCGTGAAATAACAATGAGAAATACACAGAAATGTGCCTCCCACATTGAGACAGTGTCTCGTTTGATGTCCCAAGCTCTTTCTGATAGGTATAGTACAAATATGCGCCTCCATTCGGTCCATGCCAGGACCAAATTATTATGTAGTCATTAACTGCTGCCTGGTCGTCAATCGTCACCAAACCTTTCCTGCTTCATACTCCTCAAGCCGACTCGTTCTGCAGATGCGAGTCTATCGCACGATGTTCAAATTGGCAAGCTGTGGGACTGGCGGGCCGGTACCGCTCCTGCGTCTCCTTTCGCGCTCGCTGAAGCCGACGGGCTGTTCGAGCTGTGTGTTCTTCCTGAATTTGCCGCCGACAGAGTGCTGCCACTCGTTCTCGCCATCAGCGCCGAGCCAGTACTTGGGCGCACCGCTGAGCATGACGCGGCCGAGCTTGCCCTTCCAGCCATCACCCTGCTCCTTGCCCTCGAAGAAGGGATTTTCAGCAAGGTCGGTGGCAGTGGTCTGCATGCTGTTCGAGCTGTACCATCCAGCAGAGGCAGCGTGACTGGCAATGTGCTGGCGCAGACACTGGCGAGCAAACGCCAGCATGATGAACACGAAGTAGACGCGCATAGCCCAGAAGCCAGAGATCAGGGAAATACTCATGATGCTGCTGCTCTGGTAAACAGCGTTTCCAAAACCAACACCGACGCCAGGCGCACCATGCTGGGGAATGCCTCCAGCGACAGCGTTCTGTCCACCTGTAAGACCGCCTGTGGGGGTCGCAATGACTTCGACCTCTGAAACATTGTGCTTAGGACTTGTGAAGCCAGAGTTATCAGAGATGCCTTGTTGGCCAGGGATGGAGGAGTCGCCTTCGGGGTGAGCGGCGAGTGTGTAGAACCAAGCAAAGCCGAAGAAGGCTGTGTACAGAGCGTTGATGACGGAGTCAAGCGCGTAAAGGTGCGCAAGCAGCACGGTCTCAAAGGGGCTCTGCAATCGGATGTGCCTATACAGGAAGCAAGTGGCGAACAGTGCGAGCGTCGAGTATGTGTACATGGAAAGCTGGAAGCCGTCGATGGATGCGCCGGTGACGATCGCAAGCAAACCGTATACGCCTGAGACCTTGTTGATGATCTGGAGGTAGGTGATGATCTCCGCGCCGGTGCGCAGGGACATTTTCTGGAGGAACGTCTGCGCGCATCATCAGTATCTTCTGCTCTTATGGCTGGTGTTGTGCATCTAGGCACGCGCTTTGACGTACCCGTGGGCGCGGGATCTCGAGGATGTGGGAAGGCGCCATCATGGCGGCGGTTTGCGCGGCGACGAAGCTGCGCGACTCGGTAGGAAGAAGGTAGCTGATGCTCTAGTTAGACTGCCGAGAGTGTTCGAGGGCGTAAGGAGGGAATGTTGGGTGGTGAGAGTATTCGAGGACGCAATTCTGAGAGGTCCGGCGCTTCCGCGCAGGGGCCAAATCTCTCATCTCGCACAACGCAAGGCTGGGAGGCGCTAAAGTGGCCCTCAAGCTCCGCCGCCTCAGACGTCACTACTGATAAGATCTGAGGTTGAGGGTTGCCGACTCGCGCGATTCGAGGCGGTGTTTCGAGTCCCTTGAGACCTGTCTATTTACAGTGTTGTTACATCTATGAAGCCAGTGATATATCGAGTAGTGCACAGTGTAGCTTCCATCCAGGAGCTATGCAACGCCAAGCCAGCGCTTCCATGCCGCACGCGTTCTCTACAATTACAATTCTACAGGTTCGCTGACTTCCGCTGCTCAGCGTGATGCTCCTCCGGGATGGGATCGAGCTTGTCCGTCTTTTCGGACTCATCAACAGGCTCGTCAGGGTATTCGTTGCGATCATCCGTTGCCGGTGGCGCATCCTCGAAAGCCGTCTTATCGTTGACCATGTCCTTCACCTCCTCAGGCATGCCAGGTGGAGGAAGTTCTGCTTCAATCGCCTTCGCAGCCGTCGCAGCCTCCGTACTCCTCTGCAACCTAGCACGCTCGCGCTTCTCCTTCTGTTGCTTCCTGAGCTCTGTGTGCGAGAACTGTGTGAGCGTGTTCTCAATCTGGTCCTCGAGCAACTTCTTAGTGTATATTGCGAGAGGCCGTGTGGTCAACACGTTGGGGAAACGGTAGCTGAGCCAGAGGTAGAGGACAACCATCTTGTGAAGCTGTTCTAGCGAGTACAGGTAGCTTCGGTCGCCTCGAGCGGGTTCGTCCATAGCGTCCAAAGGCAAGTTTGGAAGCTCTAGCAGGTTTGCGGATCTCCCTTCTGCGATGCATTCTGCGAGGGTGCGCAGAAACTTTTTCTGGTCTACATCGCGCATACTGCAAGGAGCAGACGTGATCATAATGCGATCCTGGATGCTCAAGCCTTTGACCGTGTGGATTGCGTCTGCAATTGTGAGCTGCTCCTTCAGACCACAGAGGTGAAAGCGTGGGTGAATCTCGGAGATCTCATGGAGACGAAGGAGGATATAACTGAACGGCGTTCCTGGCGGGAAATAGCTGGCGAAGCGCTCAACGATGAGCGAGGGAGGAAACAGACCAGCTGTTTTGATTGGTTCTGGCTCCTGGTTCATAGCATCCTTGAGGAATTCGAGATCCAATTGTTCAAGCGTTGTGCACCACCCCACGGTGTTTTCTTTCCGCGCTACAGCCTTTTTCTCACCATCCGTCTTAGGCGTGTTGTCGCTCACCGCGTCGGCAGCAGTCCTGTAGCGACCGGCACGGCCAGCGATCTGCTTGACCTCTGAGAGCTGCAGAGGCACGTACTTGGTACCGTCGCTTTTCATGGTAGACTCGAAGATCACACGCTTGATGGCCCTAATTTCAAATCAGCACAAGTCTATTTGCGCATACAATGAAGAACTTACAAATTCAGACCCATACCAATAGCGTCACTAGCAACGAGATAGTCGTAGTCGTTGTCTGGGTCGTTGAACAGCCTAGCTTGCATTGCTCTCGTCTCTGGTGGCAGACTTCCGTAGACAATGGCGCACTTCTTGCCTGTATTCTTCTCGATCTCTCGCCGTAACGCATGGATGCCTACTACGGTGAAAGCGACTAGGCAATCACCCTTCTCCAACCGGTTCAACTTGCCGTCCAAGCTACGAGGTTGAACTTGGAGAGGTGTCAGGCGCTTATATTCGTGAACGTGCACTTCGTCACCGACGAGCGCGCACAGCTCGCGCATAATGTTGACCGTCCTCGCTTCGCCACAAACATGTATCTCTCTTGCCTGCAGCCCCAGGAAGGCTTGTGTCCATGCCCAGCCTCGCTCTGGGTGATTGATCATTTGAATTTCGTCGATGACGGCCACGTCGAATTTGGTATTGAGAGGCGCCATCTCGACAGTACAGCTGTACATGAGAGGTGCACCTCCCTCTGGCAGTCGCTGCTCCTCGCCAGTTACCAGCGCGCATGATTTGCCTTTCGCGTTCAATCGTGTGAAGACTTCGTGTGCGAGCAGTCGCAGCGGACCGAGGTAAATGCCCGATTTTGCGGCTTCGAGGCGCTGGAGAGCATGATAGGTCTTGCCGGAGTTGGTGGGACCGACGTGCATGTGGACAACTCGAGGGACTTCTCGCGTGGCGGGGTACCATTCGGCGGGATAGCGCAGGTCTGCCACCTGTTTCTGGTTCTCCAACTCGGCGTTTGTGAAGCGTCCATTGCATGTCTGCGCGTAGAACAGGTATCGTAAGCGCGTCTCGAGTGTCTTCTTTCTCCGTGATGCTTGTTGGGCCAGGTCGATCAGCTCCCGACTCCCCTGCTTCACCCACGCGCCGATCGAGCTCTCGAATCGCTGCCATTCATCGTTGAATTGCTCCTGGTTGAGCTGCAGGCTGTCGAGGAAAGATGGCTCGGTGAATTCGGCCCTGAGCGCCCGGAGCTTGTCGTCGACGATGGAACGGATGAAGTCGGCTGGAGGGCGGTTGGCAGGATTGCTTCTGCCCCTGACGAGAGGGTTGAAGGTGGCCGTCTTGTACGGCCTGCCTGATTTGTCTGATTTGCCTGATTTGCTGCCACTGTTGCCGCCAGATCTATGCGCGACCTGGATCCGGGGCAGGAGGCGCTGCGGCTGCGCCTGTCGGGTCGCGAATGCGCAGAACAGACACAGCGAGTTGCGCCGCGCAGACAGTGCGTGCATCGAGGCGGGACTCTGCTGCAGTCAGACTGCCCCGCAAACCATACGGTGGTCTTGCGATAGGTATGGTACTGGCGCGTCCAGGTCGACGACGTCAATGCACAAAAAGCTGAGCCAAGCGCCGAGTCAGTTTGGGCACCTCCGGCCGCATTCCGCGACAGGGGTCCGTCCTTCGGTGCTCTGCCCGCAACACCATTCAAGCTGCGACGAGCCCCACAACTGTCGACGTCGCGCATGCCGTCCGACGCGTTACTCCGCAGGACCTCTCCATCGACTCCGTGACGCCTCCACTGCGTCTGCAGCTCTCGCCGTCCTCAGCATTCCTCAGCATCCTCCCGGCGCCGGTAGCCGTACCCCGCCAAGATGGTGTCCATGATCGAGATCCAGCGAGAGCGTACGTCCTCGTATACTGCGTGCATGCTGCCTGAGGCGCAAGTTGACACGTAGTGCAGTGATTCTCACCACCGTCCGCCAGATGGTCCGCGGCGATGTGCGCACCCCTACCCCCAACGCGTGGCCGTTCACTGACACAGCCGCAGTGGAAGATCCTCATCCTCGACGAAGACTCGAAGAAGCTCATAGACAACGTCGTCAAGGAAGATGACATCCTCAACTCCAACATCACGAATATCGAGAAGATCGAGGATCGCCGCGAGACGCAGCGCGATATGGACGCCATCTACATCCTCACGCCCAAGCCACACATCGTCGACTGCGTCATGGCTGAGCTCGAGGCGCGGCGATACCGAGGCATGTTCCTTGTCTGGACGACGCTGCTCCCACCACCGCTGAAGGAACGCATCGACCGTTCGCAGATGGCCCGCGAGCAGATCAGGGCATTTAGGACGGTGCACCTTGACTATCACCCGCAAGAATCCCACCTCGTCACTTTCAAAGACCCCTGGAGTTTCCCCATCCTGTTCCACCCAGAGTGCAACAACCAGGTCGTGCGGCACATGGAGGAGATGGCCGAAAAGGTACGTCCACGTCAGCAATGTAGGCTGAGATGCTGACCATGTTTTCAGATCACTGGTGTCTGCGTTGCGCTGGGCGAGTACCCCATCATTCGATACTACCGACCACGAGCGCCAACACACGAAGCAAGCGTTCTCTGTTCGCATCTTGCTCGTTTCGTTCAGGACAAGCTTGACATGTACGCTCAGTTCAACCAGGACTTCCCCCCGCAATCCAACCGCCCCCGTGGCGCTCTCTACATCACAGACCGATCTATGGATTTGCACGCTCCTTTCTTGCACGAATTTACGTATCAGGCCATGGCAATGGATTTGTTGCCCATCAACGACACAGACAAGGTTACATACCGTGCAGTAGTAAATGAAGACGATCCAGGAGCCGAGGAGAAGGAAATGGAGATCAGCGACAAGGACAAGATCTGGGTTGAGAACCGACATCGCCACATGAAAGACACCCTGGACAAGCTCATTAGCGACTTCCAGAAGTTCATTGCGGACAATCCGAACTTCACCAACCAGGACGCACAGAATGCAGCGGGCATGAACGGTCTGAACGCGATCAAGGACATGATTGCCGGCCTACCCCAGTTCCAGGAGATGAAAGAGTCGTACACATTACACTTGGGTATGGCAGAGAAGTGTATGGATATCTTCCAACAGCATAAGCTACCTGATCTAGCGTCTGTCGAGCAATGCCTGTCTACTGGGCTTGATGAAGACTACCGCAAGGCTAAGAACATGGCCGATCAGGTAGTGCGAACGTTGGACGACCCGGCAGTGACACCGGCTGATAGACTGCGACTAATTGCACTCTACGTCTTGTTCCGCGACGGTGTGCTTCCGGCAGATCTACAGAAGCTCATCTTCCATGCGCAATTACCACCACCAGACATGGAAGTAGTTCGCAACCTTGATCTTCTCGGAGCACGAGTGGGCAGGCAATTGAAGGAGAAGCGCGACCCCACACCGCCTCTGTTCCCACGCAATGCTGTACCACCCCCAAATGCAGAAGAGTATGGCCTCTCGAGGTTCACTCCGGCGATGCAGGACATGCTCGAAGCCCACGTCCGAGGATCGTTACCACAGGATATCTTCCCTTTCACAAAAGCGGCACCTGAGGATATGAACATGCAAGAGAGCGCACAAGCCTCGTCTCTCCGCTCCGCAAAGCCCACTTGGGCAAAATCGCGACTGACAAGCGTGGAGCCTCGACAGCGTGTTATTGTTTTCATGGCTGGTGGCGCGACATACTCGGAGTCGCGAGCCTGTTATGAAGTCTCCGAGAAGACATCGAGGGACGTCTTCCTCGTTACCTCGCACATGATGAAGCCACAGCTGTTCCTGCGCCAAGTCGGCGACCTCAGCCAGCGTCGTGACAGACTCCATCTACCCTTGGACGGGCCACAGCCAACAGCTCCCAAACATCTCTTCGAGAAGCCAGAGCCGCCAAGACCAGCACCTCCACCAGCGGGCTCAAAGCCAATGCCGCAGGGTCTGCCGTCAGGACCGCGAGCCAGCGGGCCTCGACCGGGCGCGCCGCAGCCGCCGATAGCAGCGATGGGGCAGATGAACCTTAATGCTCAAAAACCGCCCGCTCAAACCTCAGCGCCAGCGCCAAGCAGCGGGAAGGTGCACAAGGAAGATAAAGAGAAGGACAAGAAGAAGAAGAAGCACCACTTCTTCTCGTCAAAACACTAGGCACGTTTGACGCTGCAGTGATTGTGCTTAGTTCTATGTTGATTTACTTGTTTTGCATCAGCATGGCATGGCGTTGTATAGGATACCCAAGAGGCATCCAGATTTGAGCATGGAGTAGCATAGACAGCAGGTTCTGGCAATATCGAACATTCTATAGCAGCCTTCTGGCACGACTCTCAAGCCTCTTCGGATTCGCTTCAACGCTGATCATGAGGCTTGATCAGACTTACAAAAGCGCGCTAGTGTGGGACGCCTCAATAATGGGATCGCCTTGTTCTGGCTAGGCAGAAGGCTGCAGCAGCCTTACAGCAGATCTGCAAAAGTCATAAATCCCTAGAGTTACATCAGGGCCACAGTTTCAGACTCAACACACGCCCGTACGACAGACTGCGCCCCAGTGCAAAAAGAGCTAGATTTGGATGTTCCGTGCGCAACTTCAGGACTGCGTCGTACCGCACCAGAGACCAACAGAGCATCAGGGGCCTCCAATACAACATTGTGCGCACCTTCGTTCTATCCCTCGAAGAGTGAAGCCACGCTACGGACAATTCAGATAGGGTCGCACTACATCTGCTGTCGATCAGGCCTTTTATCACGGCCCTCTTGATAATCCTCTGCGCACACCACCACCGACGATGCCATCGTTCCTCAAGAAGCTCCTCCTAGGTAAGGACCTCTCAAACCCTTACATCAACCAGTACCACCCCGGCCACAGAGCTACCCCACAGCCCATCCAGCACGTCGCCAACTCAGCCGCGCAAGCCATCAAGTCCCACCCCACAGGTCTTAATCTGTCAACAAGGATACCGCCCTGCCCAGTATCACGCCCAGTATCACCAACATATTTAGAAGAGGCGCGCCGCATCGCAGGCAGAGACCCAATAACCGGCCATGCTCTATCACCTGAGCAGTATCCTGCATACGATCCAGCCAGCGCACAAACGGCTTCGCAGTCTGCATGTGGAAGGCAGCAGCCGTATACGAATGAGCAGATGCGGTATAACCCGTACGTCACCAGCGGCCATGCTGCGGTGGGTGGTGACTGGAGCTCTGTAGTTCAGGAACGCGCGGAGCAGGACCGGCGGACGGCGACAACGGATGTCCAGCGGGAGAGACACGATGTCGCGGTCGCAGAGGAGCGAATGCGCAGGGCGAAGGAGGAAAGGGTGCAGGCGGATGTGTGGAGGGAGAGAGATGTTGGCGGGTACTTTGCGCCGGAGAGGAGTGTGAGGGAGTACTACGGGGGACCGTGAGGGTGCAGGATGGGTCTGGCGGTGCGGTGTGTACAGTCCTGTGATGGGATAGGATGGGATGGGATGGGATGGATATGTTTATACCCCGTTTTTGGAACTTTGAGAGGCTTCGTGTCTGCGACAGGGCTCTTCGGATAAGGAGACGTGTGGCTGTTCGTTTCGGACGCGTGTAGATAGCGGCAGAATGTTGAAATTGAGCAAGAGATGTTTCACAGTCATTCCAGGGGCGGAGACAGACACGGAGCAATCAGAATTTGTTTCGAAATGCGCATACGAGTCACTTGAATCCGGCAGCGGATGCTCTCGAGACATGGACATACTTGTGTGCACTTTTTATTGCGCAGGAACGCTCTGCATCGTTGGAGCTGCATCGTTAAAGTCGTCGAGCTGATGAGGCAGATATCAGGGCCAAAGTTGTGAGTCGAGACACAATTCTGCGAAAACCTTCCGTTGTGGAGATCCAGGCTGGACGTGTCTGGGATGTGCCGGACGACGCAACGAGCCAACACGAAGCAGTGAAAACATAAATGGTCTCCCGGGGGCATATCGACAGTAGGAGAGCGCGGATTGGAGACAAGAGGATAGATTCGTCGAGCTGTTGGGAACAGATGCCAGCCATTTGTGGGTATGAGGTCTAGCGGTGTGTTATACCACACTGTTTCTGCGTACTTGTTATACGCTGCGCAGAGGAAGGGACGGGCATATTTGCACGAGTCTTCGAACGTTCGATGTAAAGCTCAGTACCATAAAAGCTTGCAGGATCTTTCAAGTCGAAGTGGAGGGTAGGGGAAGAGCGAGGAATCATGATGGTCTTTCTTCGCGGAATCATCGTTCTATATGGGGTTTGGTTTGAAAACGAGACATGTATGGGTCGGCTCGTCAGATAGCGTCGAGATTTACTTCGTAGGTCAGTACAGAACATTGCTGAGAAAATACTCTCCGTGCAAATCGACCAAAGGCTTGTGGCCATGGACTGCTCCGAGATCTATGTTAATTAAGAATGGCTCATCGCGAAGAAGTAAGGATGAAAGTCCTTGAAGCAAAGAGGACATTGCGCAGAGTTGTGGGCATTTTGAGATGTTGGTAAATGGTAAGGGGGTCTGATTGGTTTGGCATGAGGCGGAGAGTTAGGCTCTTTACAGTGTGAAGTCGTAGTTTACATTTGTGGAATTTGCTGTTCTAAACAATCATCAGAGGTGATTGCGAGAAGTTCGGGCTAATTGACCTGGGGGCACAATCTTTAGCGTCCGTCAGCCCGGGTTGCCAATCTGAGGTTGAGTCACTGTAAGGTGATCGTGGTGTTGAGAAACTTTCGCGTACTCGGATGACATCGGCGATTGTAGGGTTGTTAAAGGATTGCCCAACTGAGTGCATAGTCCGGCGAATTAAAATACCGGTACCACCATGAATGTTCACCATGAAGGTCTCGATGGCAACACGATTTGCCATCAAGGTCCTCAGAACGAAGCTAATTAACAAGGTCGGCTATCAAGATTCTCTAAAGCTATACTACTATAAGGGTCGGCCATCTTCCCCTTCTGCGGACTGTCGCCTCCCCAAATTGGTCCATCGCGTTCACGCATCCCCAGACAGCAACGCTGACCTTGTCTTATCCCCCCTCGACGTAGCGACACCAGCCCCCGGCTAACGCAAGGTCTCGGTGCTATTCCTAGGGTTCACGCCTGAAGCCACAAACACCTGTGGACTTCCCTCTGGCCCGCGCTAAACCACATCGTCTCACGACGTCAGCCCCAAGGCTTCCCCGCACCCGCAACCACGGCATAACACCGCGACCACTTTTTGAAACAAACAACGATGCCTTGGCCGTCTAGCCATGGCGATTTTCGATTTGAAGTTGCAGATCCGAGGCGCGCGGCATAACCCAGGCATCCAGGGAAACTTTGCGGGTTGAAGTCTCATCGACCTGCTCAAGAGTCCGGATCGTCTGCTACCACCTGTGTTGTTGTCCGTTCTGGAGATTGGGAGGAAATACGAAGCACGCCGTTGCCCGGTAGCGGTGCTTTGCTCCGACGTATGGTAGCTACTGTTGCTTGAGCAGCTTCGCACAATTGCTTGCTGGAAGCTACCCCGCCATTGTTGTTGCGGTCTTGCGGGTCCAAGATACCTATTTCCTATCGGCATTTAGGATCTCCGCACGGTAACCTGGGAGCCGCATGCAGTGAAGCTGATGTGGATCTGCCTACAAGGTGAGGTAGTATCGCTATTGGACAATGACTCTCGCACTAGTAATGATGAGAGGTGCATTGTGAGATGTGGCTTGCCAGTCTGGTACGACAGCTTGGGATAACGTTTCGGGCGCGTTCGACCGCCCCGGTTGGCAGGTGTAGTCGTCCAAGTCCCCGACGCGATAGTGGATTTCTCTTACTCACATGAGCTGTAAACACAGATACGGTTGGAGGATGGGAACGCGAGGCTGGCGCATGTTAAAGCCATGAAGTGTACGGACTGAATAGACGCAGGACTGACGGAGGTGAGTTGCGTGTACTTGCTGTTCGCGCAGATCATGATCAATTGAATCAATCCCTTGATTCTGAGAAAATTTTCTTTAATTCCTTCGTCGTATTGCACGGCCGTGGGCATGTGTTGAGCTGAGCAAAAAAGATCAGGAGATACCAGCTGCCTGACGTCAAGCCACCCCGCCTCGACTTGCTGTCTGTTCACCCCTCACGCCACAACAAACGCGCCTTTGACCCTAACTCTGATGTACACACTAATGACAGGTCACGTTGGCCCATGCTTTTCACGGATAGTTCACTCCACTGATGAGCGTCTGCAGCGTTCAGGTTCGAGTCTCGCCTCCCGTCCGACGCACCATCATCCGACATGTCGTCCAGTCCTTGAGGATGTACCCCTCGCTGAACACTGCGCCTCATGATAGACCTTTTCAAGCCAATGGCGACCCTATCAGCCACGGTATCGCTCCGGCTCGCCGAGAGGGACACTCGGAATGGCCGGCAAAGAGGAGCTTGTCACTGACCAGAGCTGTTGCTGCCCAAGATAGTAAGTGCTCGAGCTATCGAAACCCTGGCCCTGGGAAAGTATACTGCAAGTGGGGTCACAGTCTTGAGCTCACTGAATACTCGATCGCAGGTATATAAGTCCTCAGCCCACTCCTGTCAATGAATCATCAGCCCTCGATCGATCAACTCACTACTACTCTCAACACTTCTCTTGATACCCAAAGTTCTCAAAACTCCCCCTCAAGACCAACATGCCAGAAATTCCAAAGGAGCAGTGGGCGCAGGTCATCGAGAAGACCGGCGGTCCTGTCGAGTACAAGAGAATTCCTGTACAAGAGCCCGGTCCAGATGAAGTTCTCGTCAACATCAGGTACTCTGGTGTCTGCCACACTGATCTCCACGCTGTGAACGGTGACTGGCCCCTGGTGAGCTCAACATTCTTATAATCTTCGATCACATGATCTGACAATTGTATAGGCCACTAAGCTACCTCTCGTCGGTGGCCACGAGGGAGCCGGTGTTGTTGTTGCCAAGGGCAACCTCGTCAATGATATCGAAATTGGTGACTACGCTGGTGTCAAATGGATCAACGGAACCTGCCTTGCCTGCGATTTCTGCCAGCAGTCTGACGAGCCCCTCTGCTCAAAGGCCCTCCTCTCTGGTTACACGGTGGATGGTACCTTCCAGCAATACTGCATTGCAAAGGCTGCCCACATTGCCCACATCCCTAAGGAGTGCGCTCTTGATGCCATTGCCCCTGTTCTTTGCGCCGGTATCACCGTCTACAAGGGTCTGAAGGAGTCTGGCGTCAAGCCCGGCCAGTGGGTTGCCATCGTCGGTGCTGGCGGTGGTCTCGGATCCCTTGCTTGCCAGTACGCTAAGGCTATGGGCTGCCGTGTCATAGGTATCGACACTGGTGACGAGAAGAAGAAGATGATCACTGAGGAGCTCGGTGGTGAGGTATTCGTCGACTTTGCTTCCTCAAAGAACGTCGTTGCCGATGTACAGAAGGCTACACCCGATGGTCTTGGTCCCCACGCTGTCATCCTTGTCGCTGTAAACGAGAAGCCCTTCCAGCAGGCTGCTGAATACGTTCGACCTCGCGGTACCGTCATCTGCATTGGTCTTCCCGCCGGCGCATACCTCAAGGCTCCCGTATTCGAGTCTGTCATCAAGATGGTCAGAATTCAAGGTAAGTTGCACATCCCAGCCAGTCATTTACAATTGCTCACGACCGTCACTAGGTTCCTACGTTGGCAACCGCAAGGACAGTGCAGAGGCCATCGACTTCTTCGCTCGTGGCTTGATCAAAGCACCATTCAAGGTCGTCGGTCTCTCCGAGCTCCAGATGGTCTACGACAAGATGCGCGCTGGTGCCATCGCTGGACGTTACGTCCTTGACACCTCAAAGTAATATTTTTGCAGCAGCTTTGCGGCGAAGGGCGCCAATCCTGATAGGAGAGACCGGGGATAGCTAGCTTTCGTGTAAATAATGGATTCTCGAATTTCCACCTCTAACATGTCTTCATTCTCTCGCAGTGCAAGCAGTGATAAATTCGTGCCAAGTATTCCTTTCGGACATTGCTTACCAGGAATGGAGAAAAGAAGACGGGATATTCAAGCAGTTCTAAAGCACATGGCCTCCCAAGCTGTGCCTGAGAAGTAAGGCACAATCCTAGGTCGAACAGTCTCCCGCAATCCCACAATACTGTAATCTTTGGTTTTTCATATCTTACTTGCTTGCAACTCTTCTTCGATTCTTTCGTTTACTCGAGCTTGTCACCGTATTTTCGAAGACACCATGGCAAGCAATGATATCCTCCTATATCCCTACAAGCCCTCCAAAGTGACATCCATCCTCAGCGTGATAGTGTTTGAGATTCTAGCAGCGCTCCACATGTTCAAGCTCTTCAAGACCAAACATGGCTCGGTATCCCCTTTTTCATTGAGCTGATCTGTAAGCCTTCAACGTCTCACCCACTCCCTACGCAAACTCATACTATCTAGTTGAGATCCTACGCTACCTAGCCAGCGTATACGGGCACTCGTACTCCACTGAGCTAAACCCATACATCGCCCAAACACTTCTCATCCTGCTCGCACCCATCCTCCTCCCCATCTTGGTCTATATGTTCCTCAGGCGCATCGTGCCTGCAACAGGACACACAGAGAAGATCTTTCTGAGCGGTGAGACACCGTGCTTCTTAACACAGGCGGCTGGTGCAGCGATGCTGGCAAAGACAGATGCGCCGAAAGCAACGAGAGATTTGGAGAAGATCGTCGAGCTTACCGGGCTGTCTATCCAGCTCTTCGTGTTTGGATATTCGTGGAAGTGACTACAATTTTCTCATAAAGGACAGAAAAGTCGATAGGTTAAAAGGCGCCGTGACGGCGTTCAGCTGGCAGAGGTACTTGATTATGCTCTATGCTGTCGCTGGGCTGATCACGATTCGCAATGTCTGTCGAGTGGCCGGTTATGCTATGGTGGTGTGTGTAATCTCGCTGTCGTTGAGAACTCGGCCAATTGTAATATAGAGGAAGGATGTCTGCTAGGACACGAGTGGCCGATCTACATGTTCGAAGGCCTACTCTATGCTGTGGCAGTGGCTATCTGCACGACATGGTATGTTGGTCATATCGTATCGATGGCTATGCAGGCGAAGCGTACGTAAGATGGAAGGCGGCCATAGCAGTCGAGAAAACACAGGCTGCGGGGAAACACCGAAATTTCAGCAAACCGAGATGTCTAGGTCACTGTAAAGAGAGCGAGAGGATGATACCAGTAGAGGTAGCAGCATCTGCCGCTTCATAGTCATGATCATTATTGTATCGTAGTATCAAGTCAAGATCCTTCTTTGAAGACCACTCATGGATTGGAGCATGTCGTGGTGATCAAAAGCGAGTACCATTTCTAGAGACGCGCTATTGAACCATAACATCTGCACCCTCGCCGTTGTGACTCATGGGTCTATCTTCAGCGTCTTGCAGGCCAAGTGGCATGATAGGTGGGATGTCCTTGTTGGCCTCTCTGGCCTTTGCTTCAGCCCACTGGCGCAGGCGCACCAGGCTCCTCAGGCGCGCCTCTCCGCGAGCTCCCATGCTCATGAGAATCGCTTCGTTGACCCTGCTGGCAACGTCGCGACGAAGTGATGGTTCGAGTAGCTCAGCGAGCTCCTTCTGCAGCTTCCCGGTTACCGGGAGGAAGATGAGTAACGTCATGGTGAGCTCAAGGTCCTTCAAGAAGTCCGGGTTGGTAGCCGCGCGAGGAGCGAGTTGCGATGAAGCAAAGCTCAACGCGGGGGTAACATCGGACGTTGCTGATGACGTGCACGACCGGATAAGCTCGATAAGCTGCAGACGGAGTAGTGCAAAGTGAAGTGCAGCGTCTGTGTCAAGGATCTGATTCATCGGTTAGCAAAGCTCGACAAAGCTATGTAGTAACCAAACGAAGTGTTTGTTTGCAATCATACTGAGGACTGAAGGTTTGATTATCATCAAGGAAAATTATGCGTGGTGCATGAAACTGAATATAATCCTGCAAGAGGTGTGACGAGATGCGATGATCTAGCTTACCTGGGGGTTCAGATCGTTGATCTTGGTGACGGCAGTATCAATGTCGCCAGCGTGAATAGCCTGCCGTATTTCTACGCGAGACTGGATGGACTCCTCTTCGAGAGGAAGGTGGATGTTCGCTTCTTTGGCGAACTTCTCTGCAGCTCGGGGGTAACCTTCGCTGACCAGATAGTCCATGACGACAAAGTTTATGTCACTGAGAGTCCATTTAGCTAATGCTTCTTCGCAGGTATGGTAACGAGGACGATGTGGCAGAGCAACATACGTTGCTCGAGATCAGTCCACAAGTTATGTTGTGCTCTACACGGAATTTTCGGAGAGATTCCCAACTAGTTTTTGATCGCATCATATGAGAGGGAAGGGTGGAGGAGACTGAGAACTTACGTCTTAGAGGGTTTGACATCATCAATCTTCCTTTGGAAAGGATGTTGTGTTGGCGTTGCAGCCGAAACGGAAACGGTGGATGAGCTCTGCGAGGGAGGTCAGTATGCGGGGCGCAGCTTTCAGGGCTTGAGTACACGAACCATGGTGAAGCAGAGGCTCTTCAACCTCATCCGACGTCCATCAGGAAAAGTGTGAAGCTGCTCGACCGGGGTCGAGTGTCGTGGGCACGCGCAAACTCTGCGGGCTGTTTGTGCAAGAAGGGTTGAAGAGTCGAGGTTCATGAAGAGAAACTCAAGCTCGCTTCCTAGCGCAGCTTGGCGATATGGCTCGTGCGGCTCTCTAGCGCTGCGGGCACCCAGTCAGCGGGCGGGACCGAGCAGTGTGCTCAAAATCCGTCTTTGCAGTATCACTACATAGTCCTTACATATCTTTAGTCTTTCGTTATTATACACCTCGCACAACATGAGGTGATTGCATACTATACTTGGACATCGATAACCACACCCATCACCATGTCTACGCAAGGCCGCCGAACACATTACCAGCCGCCATGGGGCAACGCCAACATTATCGGTGTAGCTGGTAGCTCAGGGTCTGGTAAGACATCTCTGGCGATGGCTATTGTGGCTTCTATGAACCTACCTTGGGTGGTGATTCTCTCGATGGTGCGTCACAGGCGTTTCAAATTAGTCACGTGCGCAAATACTAAGAATGCTAGGATTCGTTCTACAAACCGTTGACCCCCGAGCAATCAGCTATGGCTTTCAGGAACGAGTACGACTTCGATTCGCCGGAAGCTATTGACTTTGATATCCTGGTCGAACGGCTAAGAGATATCAAGGCTGGGTATGATCATTTCCATGTCTGTAGATTTTAGCTAATTATGGACCAGCAAAGTTGCCGAAGTGCCTGTATACTCTTTCGCGAAGCACTCAAGACTTGAGCAAACTACCACAGTCTACTCACCTCATGTTGTGATTTTAGAGGGCATCTTTGCTCTGCATGATCAGCGAGTCTTGGATATGCTCGATCTTAAGATATTTGCCGAAGCAGACTCTGACCTCTGTCTGTCACGACGCTTGGTCCGAGACGTCAAAGAGCGTGGTCGTGACATCGAAGGCTGCATCAAGCAGTGGTTTGGCTTTGTCAAGCCCAATTTCTACAAATATGTCGCACCGCAGCGTGAGATCGCTGATCTCATCGTTCCTCGAGGTATCGAGAACAAGGTCGCCATTTCTATGGTTGCTGATCAAGTGCGAAAAACACTCAAGGATAAGTCAGCACAGCATCAGATGGAGCTCCGCCGTCTTGGGCAAATTGCTGAGGATAGACCTTTGCACGTCAATGCAAAGGTTCTGGAGCAGACCAATCAAGTGAGGGGCATGCATACTATGCTCATGAATCGAAGCACTTCCAAGGAGGACTTCGTGTTCTACTTTGACCGGATGGTTGCACTGCTTATTGAGACAGCGGTAGACTTCATGCCTTTCACACCGAGACAGGTCCTCACGCCACAGGACAACCTTTACATGGGCCTCAAGAAAGAAGGTGAGGTCAGTGCAGTGGTTGTCCTTCGTGGTGGTAGTGCATTCGAAACCGGTCTGCGGCGCACAATACCAGACTGTGTTACAGGACGAGTTTTGATCCAGACGAACTACCGCACAGGAGAGCCTGAACTACACTACCGGGCACTTCCTCCAAACATCGCACAGCACAGCCTGGTACTGGTTCTTGATCCGCAATTCTCCTCCGGTGCTGCGGCCTTGATGGCAGTCCAAGTCTTGGTGGATCATGGTGTCCCAGAAGAGAGGATAGCATTCGTCACATATGCAGCTGGTCGCGTTGGTATGAATCGTGTGCTGAGTGTCTTCCCGGAGATCAAGATAGTGGTAGCGAGGATTGGAGATGACATGGAGAACCGCTGGGTTGAAACAAAGTATCTGGGATGTTGAGAGAAATGCATTGCTAGAAAGGCCGAGAATGGACCCATGGTTGCATTTACATGCATCGCACGCGCTCCCTAGAGTCGCATTAGGAATTCTCTCTTTTTTCAATGCAATTTCTTCTAAACTACAAGGGTCTATGCAATGCCTGCCAACTCAGGTCTTAAATTGCTCAAACGCCCTGCTGATGATTAGGCAGACAATACCGTACGCCGCATGCAACTCTAGCCCCAATGCCATGTCGCACAAGTACGTGCAGTGGGTATCATAAGAAGTACTCTGTTGTCACATCCTTGCCCTGCTGTTGTTGCTGCTCAGCTCTGTGCAGATCATTGTCCGGACTTGCGTCGAAGACGTTGAAGAAACGTTCGCCGGTGTCGCTAACCTCCAGTACGCTTGCCATATTTCCGCAACGGTAGCAGTAATTGGGCGCACTCCATACAGTACTCAGTCTGTCGTCGAACAGCACCTGGAAGCCTTCCTGGCATAGCTGATGCGCTCGTAGAATATGCGACATAGCGTTGACCTCCAGGAACTTCTTCACTACTTGTGCGCCGAATGTATATCCAGCTCCTCGGGGACTGAGCGAGAACTCATCTCGCTCGGGATCTGGGTCGCTCCATACCAGATCCGCCATTGGCCCTTCATGTGGGATCTCGCGGAAGCGATCAATGATCTTGATCTGATCGATAGAATGTATGGAAGGCGATAGACCGCCGTGTACGCAGAAGATCTGGTCGTTGATAACAACTGACAGTGTCAGGAAGTCGAACATGTCGGTGAAATAATGCCACACGTTCGCGTTGCCGTACTTTCGAGAGCACTCGGTGTAGAAGCCGTACGATTGGGTAACGCCGCGGGACTCGTGATTGCCACGGATGAGGTGGACTCGATGTGGGTAGCGCAGCTTCAAGCACACTAGCAGTGATATCGTTTCGACTGAGAAAAGACCGCGGTCAACGTAGTCCCCTGGGATCTGTCAGCCAGGCTGGTCGCGTGTCACTCCTCTAAGCTCGTAACGTACCCAAGAAGAGGTAATTCGTGTCTGGACATGGACCTCCGATCTTGAAAATCTCCATCATGTCGAAGAACTGGCCATGGATGTCACCGACAACGGTCACCGGCGCTCTTATGTGCACGACGTTGCTCTCCTTCATAAGGAGCTCCTTCGTTTTGGCGCATATTGCCTCGATCACGGACTCGGCGAGCAGCTCTTTCTTCGACAGCCGCGATATGCACTCGTCGAGGTCTACGGTAGCTATGTACGGTCAGCGGCCGAACGTCTGCACATTCGCACTAGTGCGCGACGTACAGGGTAGACCAGGCATGGTAGTTTCTGTGAAGTCGGCGCAGCGAGGGGCGGCATAGACGACAGGTTCAGGGTATCGTGGCTAAGGTGGTCGCTAGCAGGTGTCGATACCGTACAATCATCCTCGGAGACGCATCGGGGCGTGAGAAACTGGAGATGGCGCAAAGGCGAACATTGTGCTGTCGCTTCCTGGCTGCCGCTCCGTCACCATCCCGCCTTTGGGGCTCGAGCTTGGCTGACTAAGAAATCTATATCAAGTTGCGACAGCAACCCCTTCTTCCTAAGGGCTCGTTGTCAGTCGAGCATGGTGCTCCTGTACAACAATTATTCCTATATCATTCGATTGGCCAGTCTTGCGTTGTTTTCCCGTTCGGTCGTCTCAATCTGTCACCGCCATTTGCTGAGGGTTTTGTTAGCTGATGTTCATCTTCACATCAGCAGGGCTTCCTACACCAGCAATCTATCTCAAGTTCGTTTTCAATCAAGTCAAAGTCATAGTCTGCGATTATCCATCTGGTCTGCCAATTCGTCTCTCCGCGCAAGTGGAAGGTATCAGTCCATGGGTGGTCGTGCTTTCCTGTCCTATTGGCACGTGCGCTCGACCAAATTCGAGGAACGCGCACCTCACCCTTCAGCAGTTCTTTCCTAGCAAGGACCACAACAACATCCAGTTCGACAACGGCCAGCCCAACATAAACGCTCCTCGGGCGCTATAGAGTACTGCCATCATTCAGTCCTGGCTGTCGGATCACGTGCTCTGCCGGCGGAAGAATGTCTTGGAACGGGCCTGTAGCTGGTGCTGCACCATACCAAGCGCCACCATATGCCAACGGTCAACCTAGCTATGGTCAGCACCCACCATACCAGTATGGACAACAATCATCTTATGGCCAGTATCAAACTGGACCATCGTACCCAGGACCGCAGCAACGAACACAGGACAACAGGTAAGCGAATATTTATCTCTCTTCATTAGTGCAAGCACTTTCACCAACGCGCGCTGGTGCACCAATTGACATGTGTTGATGGAGTGCCAGGCCACCTAAGAAGAAAGGCAATCCGATAATAACACGTTACCCACCTCCTCCCGGGTATCGTGGGCCGGCGCAGCCTCAAGGTTCTTTCAATACGCATCAGCACCCTGCACAGTATCATCAACCAACGCAGCCCGGCTTCCCACAGGTCCCTCCAGTGCAACCCACCTATCCGAGTCAAGGATATATAGGAGCAGCCCCTCAGCAAGGGTTTACGCCACAGAGCTTTAGCGCTGCCAAATCAAGCTATCCATCATCGTATCCCCAAGGACAGAACTACCAATGGTCTCAGCAAGCATACCAGGCGAGCCAAGGTCCACCTCAGGCACCTGTGTACCCTAATGGCCAAAACTACGGAGCTCCACAGACGTCATATCAACAGCGCCCTGCACTTACCGCTGCAACAGGTCCAAGCCAGCAAGGATACAGTCAAGCTCCGGGGTGGCCAGCAGCACATGCACAAGCCCAGACTACTTATCCGCTACAGAGTCAATACAATTCGTACAGCGGTCCAGCTATCAATGACCACCCAATGCTGGACCCCAACGCAACTCCAACCCAAGCCACTGCTCAGCCGGTCTCCGCTCCAACAGTCTTGTCGCACTCATCCGCCAGCACCTCGCATGATAGTGCGACAAGCAAAAAGCAAGAGCTATACTTGGCATGGGACGACTGGGACTTTGACTTCGACGGCGCCATCTGGCCTAAGAGCAACGAGCCTGTAGATCCAAACCTCAGCCTGGGAGTCATCATATGGCACCCCGCCAAACAAATGACTCGAGCGTTGCCCGCAACCTTTGAGGAAGCAGAAGAGCAGTCTCTTAAGCCCGTTCCTGAGAAATTTGGCAACGGCGAGTCAGTGTCGATCTATTTCACAGCAGAAAACTCTCACGAGGCCTTCCTGAACGTCAGACAGACTGACGAGTGGGACTACATCAAGGATGATCCCGCCTTCGTCATCTTCACTGACGAAGAGATGCAACAGAACTTGATGCCCGTGGAAGACTGCATTGCCCAGCGCGATCGACCAGATGAGTTTGTTGACGAGGCTGCGAGACACGAAGATGCCGAGATGCGTGAAGCTGACTGGAATATTATGGACAATCTCGAACAAGCATTGTCAGGAGGCGGCGATAAAGCTGAAGCAAGACCTGCAGGTCATGTCAGCGTAGCAGAACCCGCCATGCCACAGACCCAGGAGGACATTCTTGCTGCGCTAGGAGTCACCGGTCAGCCCAAGCCTGTGTCTGAAGAGCCGATGACAATCCCCGTGCCAACACAAGACGTCAAAGCAATTCCATCGCTGCCTGAGAAACCGAGGATCTCTCCACCGCCCCCGTGAGTTAAGTCCAGTCTCCGTTGATCTTTTTGGGCTAACACCATGCAGTGCAATGTCTCGACCCCCAGCAGAGTCACAGAGGTCACAGTCGTTGGGTGGTCCACGTGCCATAAACCCTCCTGCTGGACCGCAACGACCTTACGGCTCGATGTCGTCGAACATTGGGCGACCTCCGCCTCCTCCTCCAGAACGCGATCGATATGACCCCTGGAATCCCTGTAGCCGCCATCAGCAATATCACCCCAACGGTTTCAATGGCGGCCGAGGCAGTCCAGCACGATCTGAAGCTAGTGACGGCACAGCTGCTGGGTCCGACTTTGGGCCTGAGAAGCCTGCTGAGGCTAGCGAGCTTGCTGCCACACCAGGTGCGAAATTCGAAAGAAGCGATAGCTCCGTATCGAGAAAGAGGAGCTATGGTGATACAGATGCCGACGACGAGCGACTGCGACAGCATGATGATCACACGAAGCGCAAGCGACGTTCGCAGGTTGATGCCGCATACGGGTAAGACCATTCTGAGCTTTGACGAGAGTCTGCGTTGTCTTCCGTGGATGTTACTAACAAGTGTCAGCCGTCGTTAGGTCCGTCGCCGGTTTTCTCCCACTCCAGCACATTCATGTTTCCTCCCAGATCACATCTTGAGCCCTTTAAGAGCTTACTAGCGTCCCGCCACGGGACCTGGAAGTACCGCAAAGCTTGACGTAGCTTACATTGCAAGCCGTCCTTCTTGTCGTTCTAGTCTACCTTTGTACATTTGTTTCCATCCATGAGGCATGGCGCGGCGTTTTTCAATCGACACCGGATATTGGTTGGACGTTTTTCACATTTTCACGACCATCCGGCCAGTCAAGAGGTCGCCTATCTTCAATGTTTTCAATGCCCTTTCACGACTACTGTTGTATTCTATTTCTTACCTCTTTTCACAAGTATCTACTATTAATCTCTCTGCGCCAGTTACGCGCCGGTCAATTGTCAATCTGTCACTTTCACGTACCAGTCTTGCATTTGTTCACTTCGTTACATGTCTTATAATGTGACACAGGTTTTGAAGTCGTAAATTACAGAGTTTTGAAAGGTCAGCACTCAGATTATCATGGCAGATGCATTGGACAGGTGTCTCGCTGCATCACGTTCTATTGCTCTGCGGCATCGCCGCACATGGCTCAGCGACCTTTCGTGACTCGTATATCATGTTATGGCACGATTGATGACCATGGCCACGATGGCCCGGGCAAGACACGATGGGCGAGCTCCGCCTCTGCGCTCGGCATGATGGAAGTCGCGTGCCTGTGACTGAGTCTCCGTCTGCTATGCGAATAGACGATAGTGGTAGCTTATGTATTCTGATGGCGTTGTACGCCAACTGGCCTTATTGGGATTCACTTAACGAGCCGGTCATTCTCGTTCCCACTCTCGCTTTCCGTCTCATACTCGCTCTCTTCTTCGCTTTCATCGTCCTCGTCGTCTTCCTCGTCGTCCGTCTCCTCGCTTCCGCTATCCTCGGCCAACCAATCATCAAGCGTCTTCTCTTTCTGCGGCGCCTTCGCAGCATCCACCCCATTCGCCCGGTAACTCGCAATCGTCTCCGGCATCCGCGCCCTCTCGCTGTCCACCTGCGCTGCCGCATCCAGCCGCTCGCTCGCGCTCATGTTCTTCGCGACCTCGTACGCACTCACATACGCGCTCTCCTTGACCTCGTCTCGCAGCGCCGCATCAGGCTCTTTCCCGTCCTTGACCCACGGCGGCAGATCTTCGTACCCTCGCAATCCGCCGACGCCGCCTTGGTCGCCGATGACCAGCGAGGCGCTCCCGAGAACGTACGCCTTTCGCGTCTCCGAGGGCGAGGGAATGTGCGGGACGGGTTTGGGGGCTAGCAGGAGGAGAGAGGCGAGCTGCGTGCTGCTCGGGGACGAGAGGAGCGATTTGTAAACACGCGCTCGGTCGCGTAGGTCGTAGGATGTGTCGTACCGGGTCAGAGCGAGTATGTAGTTGTATAGCGCTTCGATCTGGTGGATTTCTTGCTTCTGCTCGGGTTCGAGCGGCGGGGGCTGCTCGAGCGCCGAGTCGCGGAAGCCGCCTTCTTCGTCGGGCATGTCGAGGAGGGTGGTGCTCTGCTCTGGCGCGTCGGCTGGTTTCGTGGGAGACGGCGGCGGGTTGGCGTGGAGATGGTGGATGTAGACCTTCGCAGCGAGCAGCATGATTTGCAGTTTCGCGGGCTCGGCTTCGTCAGCGAAGCCCTTCGCCAGAATGCGCAGCACGTCTGCGGCAATGTTGTTTTCTGGATCCAGACCGGCGAACTCGCCGACGAGCCAGATTATGCTTGCGCGTGCCTGCGGACTGGTTGCTGCGTCGAGGTGCTTGGCCAGTCGGACGACGGTGGTTCGGTGTGCGTCTGGGTTGCGCTGGATGAGGTGGCGGATCACTTCGAGGGATTCGGCTACGAGATGGGGGTCTGCAGAGCCAATGTGCTTGAGGAGCAGTCTCAAGCACCGCGCTGATGTCTGTGGACTTGTGGCGGGGCTCTGTGAGCATCTACCGATTGCGCGGACGGACTCTTTGACCAGCGCAGGATCCAGGCTGCCAGAGTGTGAGAAGTGGCTCAGCTCGGCCAGGATCAGACTTTGTAGCCTGGGTTGGGCGTGAGGAAAAATGAGTGTTAGTAACTCCAGCTTGAGGCGCCAGATGTGCGGGGCATCTGTCGAACGGACCAGGAAATGCGTGTAGTACTTGACGAACGACTCGGGATGTGACAGGCACACTTGCACAACGTTGTAAAGTGCAATGTGCTGAATGTCACCAGCAGATCGCAGAAGAGACACTAGCGGTCCAATGGCCAGAGAAACGTAGTCAGGAGTGCCCAGGTACAGATATGCTCTGGCCACCGCTATCACCACTGCTGCATTCCGCGATTGCAGCAGAGACAGACAATTCTTCAGTAGAAGCTCGAGGTCAGGATCCAGGACGGCAACTTCCTCAAAATCCTGCTCGTCTTCTTCCTCCTCCTCTCCCTCGCTTTCGCTGTCATAGAATCCTCTCGTGGATTTCGCGGGCTTGGTGTTTGTGCTCGGCTTCGAGGTGGGCTTCTTGACCTTCCTTGTCCGCCTGGGGAAGCACTTGCGCGAATACACCATGGTAAGCTGCAGCGTGGCCAGCTGCCCCCACTCGTCCATGTCGGCCAGCTTGTGCACCAGCGAGCGGTAGTGCGGATGTATCAGGTCCAGGCGGTCTGGACATATTTCTAGGAAAGCAGCAACGGCGGCGCCGGCGACGAAGTACTGCTTGTCGCCCAGCAACGTCGAGAGATATTCGAGAAGCTGCGGCTCCGTGTTCGGGTCCAGTCTGTAGCACTTCGGGATGGCCAGGGCTGCGGCTCTCCGCACGTAGGGCGACATGTCGCCAGCTCCGCGCTTGATGCCCAGGCTGACGATCTGGCTGATGACGGGCACGCGTATGCCGGACATGACGCGCAGGGCGAGGGCACGCAGCTGGGGGTTCTGGTCGGTGAGCGACTTCTGGATCGTGTTGATGGAGAGCAGGGCCGTGTCGGGCTCGTGCTCGGCATGCTGGAGGAGGTATGTGTAGACGAGCTTCTTGACGGCGAGCGACGGCGAGGCGACGTTCTTGATCACGTGTGAGAAGAACGGCAGTGTCTGCGAGGGCGGCTGGCGGTAGGACATCTGGGTGCCATGGTCAGCAAACAAGGACGGTCCCAGCTCCGGCGTGCTTCATGGCAGCCATGCGCCATGCGCCGTGGCGGGGTAAGCGTACAGTGACGACTCTCCGCAGGCCCTCGAGCACATCGCGCTCAGAGCGGCTGTCGAGCAGCTTCTTGAGCTGGGCCGAGGGCAGCGGGCGGGTCGGGGCTTTGCGGGCATTGCTGGCATCGCGGGCGGCTTCGAGGGTGAGGTCGCGGGCTGTGGAGAGGGACCAGTGAGCGAAGTTCGACGGGTGCATGGCAGCAGCGCGCTGGGGGAGGAGAGCCCAGACAGTCGTGCGCGTACGCTGTCACACGCAGCGCAAATTTGCAAGGCTGGGGACAGAGCACAAGCACAGAGGAGAGTAGCGGGCCCGCACATACCAGTCTCCAGCAAGCTCGAGATGCGACTGATCGACTCCATGGCGGCCGGCGGCGCCCCGAGAGCACTTGGTTCTGCCGTTTGACAGGCCCCAGCGATAGGATACGTGCCTCAGCTTCCAGAACGGGCGGGGATTATGCGGAGTCGGGCAAGGGAACGCCGTGGCGGGCAGATCTGTGAGGTGGTGTGCCAGGCCTGCGTGAAGCGTGTGATGCAATGTTGCTCGCGGTCGACCGCGGGGGCGGAGACGCATCCTATTCGACCGTCATCGTGCTGACCTCCGACTGCAAGCCACCACCGCTCTTCCCCATGAGCCGGTCGGCTGCATGCAGGAAAGCTGATCACTTTACGACATGGCCCTTGAGCCCACCGTTCTCTATCCCCTGACGCTGCCTGCACTGCTCGACTACATTCTGTCGACGCAATCTGCGTCCTCTCCCACCACCCTCATTGTGTGCTCAGATCGACAGACGCTCCTGGGGGAACTCGCGCATGCACTCAAGGAACAGCAGGAGACGAGTCAGAGCAGCAATCTGAAGCAACTGCTCGCCCCAACTCTCCATAATCTTTCAACTACAAGACATGTCAAGCTGGCATTCTGCGCGTCCGTTCAGGCGCTGCTGGCTTACCTGACGGCATACGATCGGCCAGGCTATGTGCACGTGGATGAGGGTGAGGCCAAGGAGAGACTGGTGCTGGTGAACTTGCTAGCTCTACATAAGCCAACATCGTCTTTCTCGGCCCAAGGTCTCTCGAGGACACTCGCGACTGCAGTGGACACGGCGCTGCGAACGGGAGCAATGCTGCATCTTGTCGAGTGTGAAGGCAGACGCAGGACGTCTGAGGCAACCTCTAAGGACGACATGGCCATGGCTGATGGAGAGGAAGAGGTGCTTGTGCCTGCTGCAGAGCAAGATCCATGGGACCAAGACGTCTCCATCCTCAACATCTCTGCACGGAGATTTGGCTCGGGCGCTGGCGAGCGCGCATGGGCTGGCTGTACAGTCAAAGCAAAACGAATCGCAGCAAGGTGGTTCAAATTCCATAATCTCGGCGACCACCACGCGAACGGAGGGCTCGGCTGAAGTCAAACAGAAAAGACAATGCAAGTCCAGATATGTAAATGTCTTGGTTTCGCTATGCTATGAGTCGTAATGTCCAACTCGAGAAATCAGTCTGGGGATCGTCGACATCGTCAGCCATGGGGTCGTCCTGTAGAGGTAGGTACCCTCGATATCCGCATCCGCCGCTTGATCCAGATCCAATACCAGCTGAGTGGCCCGCCACTTTGAATCAGATATCGCGTCCGTTGTCCGCTTATGCCCAGTCCTTCTTGATGTCAAAGGACCAGGTGAACTGCAGATGGGTCTGGTTGTCGTCGTCGACGAACTTGGAGACGGCAGTGTAGTGGCCACGGCCGAGCATGCCAGAGGGAGCGGTCTCGGGTTCGACTGTGACGTGTGTCAGTCGGCACGCGGATATGTGACACATCGGCTGCACTTACACTTCTTTTCGTAGAACGGCTTCTCTTCGGTGCTGGGTCCGTATGAGCCCTATTGAGACGGTCAGCTTCTGCCTGTTGCTCCACAAGCTTGTTCCGTACCATCATCTCCTGCATCTTGTTGCTGACACCCATGCGTGTGACTTTCTGCAGGTACTTCAGACCAGCCAGAATCTCGTGCTGGACCTTGAACTGTGCCTTCATGCGGAACGTGGCGCCCTCCTTGATGGTGAACGGCTTCTTCTCGAGAGCTTCGAGGGCACCGGGCGACTTGAGGTCGATAATGATGTCGGGACGGCCGTCAACCTCGAGTCCGAGCGAGTAGATGATGCATTTGCGGGGGTCGCTGGGGTCTGAGATGTCCTTGCCCTGGCCGAGACCGAGGGAAGCCTTCCACTTGTTCAGAGCCTCATCGTCCTTGTCTGTTGCGCAGAGTCAGCAATTACTGTGCTCTGGGGTCTCGAGGGCCCAATATGCAATTACTCACCCAAATTCTGGTACTCATCGAGCGTCTTCTTCTCACCCACCTTGAAGCCCTCGGTCTGCTCTGCGTGGAGATCGTCGTGCTTGTCGGCCATGATTGCTGGTTAACGATGTGTGGATAACAGTGTGTGGATAACAGTGTGTTTCTGGAGAGCGCTGGAGGCAGTCAAATGTGTCGTTGGCAGCTGCTGCTCGAGCGAGGCCTCGACGTGGTGGGGCACTGCAGCTCGACTTCACCGCCTCGTGCCCGCCAGGGCCCATTGGCTCTTGCCCCTGGATTACGAGGCGGTGCTTTTGTCGTTTCAGCTCTGGTGCCTCTCCGGTGGGCGTGTTGCTCGAGCAGAGCTCAACAGTCATGAAGATAACAATTTGCCTGTCTGCATTGCAGACTTGCGCGTGCGCAGTATCGCAGGGACATGTCAAGACTGGGCCGGGACCCCGCGTGTTCTGTTGCTAACAGCACAAACCCTGCAACAGTACCAAAGCAGAGCTCCTTGCAGCTTCGAGTTGTACAAGTGTGGTGCAACGCCCACCGCTGCAGAATATCGAACAATGGCTAGCGTCATTTGCAGTTGCCCTAAAGCCGGTGGGCTCTTTGTCCCAGATCTCCACACTGCAAATCGCTCATGGCCAAGAGTTCGCTTTCAGTTTCAGAATCTGCTACATTTCTCGGAAGCAAGCAGAGAATTGCCGGTGTTGTGGTCTATGAAGCTTAGTGTGTACACGTCAGTGCGCTCTATTGACATTGGTAGCTTGTGGTCCGAGAGCTTCTGTGAGAGTTCCAAAAAGACCGAAGTGCGTGAACCTGACTGGCAAACCTCTGCGCCAGCTCCTCTGGGACCAGAGATTTCGGCAGGATTCCGCTGCAATGCGCTCTCATCCTTGTAGAGAACAGCTAGAGACAGGGCAAGCTCGTTTGCGTGCGATGCAGCGCGCCCAAGGGCTGAGCGCGCGACCTGTCTGATTGGCGACGGCTGTTCACCGCGTTCCTGGACAAGCACCACTGATTCGGTGCTGGACTGGGTTTCAAGGCCCAATGACCAATCGGCATGTCTCGAGCAATTAGATTGTTCCAAATGGGCAGCCAGAAATTTTGAGCCCGAACGCGATGAGGCATGGACGACTCTGGGGATCCAGCCACCGTCCGCTAGCGTACATTGCAGGGACACCTCTTTCTCCCACCCGTGTCGGACAAACCTTCAAGCCCAAGCCCTAACGTCAACGCGCGCGCAGCTACACTTCGCCTCCCACACGTCGCGTCCGAGCACTTTCCAGCTTCAGCACTTTATTGTGTGTCAGTCTTCGACCCCTCGCCTTCGCGACAAGCTTCTGTTCCGCGGTTCACGCGTTACGTCGTCGTCACGCTCCCTCTCCCGCCGCGACGCCGCGCTGCGCGCCTCTGACCACCACTACATCACTTCTACTATCATTTGTTTTCGCGACAATGTCTTCGACGCGTCCGTTCCCCGAGCGCATGAACCCGCTCCTCGAGCCGACAGATAGCACAGCTAGTACGTAACTGCGCGCATTGCGCATCGCCTTCATCGCGCTCCCGCAGCTGACCGCGCGTTTGCAGTCGAGATCCTCATCGAGAGGCGTCGCTTGGGCCAGACCAACCTCGGAACAAAGACTGGCGCCACCGGTCTTACCAGCGCGACGAAGCCGCAGCACAGCGGCCTGTTCGACTACGCGCACCTGCGCGTGCCCTTGCCCAAGGATCTCTCTGGCTCGGAGATATTCATGCCTGGCACCAGCGGATACCCGGTATCCTACTTCTTGATGGTACGAGGATGACCTGCCGGCGACGCGCAATTGTTGGACTAACGAGGTGGACAGCGCCGCAGCAGCGACGGCTATATCAGCGCGACTGGCATGTTCAAGGCCGCTTTCCCCTGGGCCACATTGGCTGAGGAGGAGGCGGAGCGCAAGTACCAGAAGACGTTCCCGTCCGCCGGTCCCGAGGAGGTCGCAGGTAGCGTCTGGATCGCGCCAGAAGAGGGTATGTGGAGAGTTTCACAGGCTACAAACGCAAAGCTGACCTCGTGTTCACAGCACTTTCACTTGCCGATGAGTACTCTATGCGCCACTGGGTTCTCGCGCTTCTTGACAACGAGCCAATTGAAAAGGGCGCAAAGGACAAGAACAACATACACATCCAGGCACCTCCCAAGTTCGACATGAGCAAGGCTCAGAACGTCAAGCTCCCTCCCCACACGTCTGCTCTTCGTACAACTCGCGCGCGATCAACCCGAAGTGTCTCGCCCAGCAAGATGGCCACACCAAGCCGCAAGATTGCAACTCCCCGCAAGTCGCGCGCCACACGCGGCCGTTCTGAGGCTATGAGGGCAGAGGAGATCTTCCAGAGCACCGCCACTGAATCGCCATCTTCCGCTCTGGTTGCCAACGGCATCAAGCAGTCGGAGTCGGTCGCGTCCTCGGTCAACGGCGACCCCAAGGAGGCGCAAGATAGCGAGGCCAAGTCGGAAACTGTACGCATTGAGGTCAAGGAGACGGTCGAGCAGAAGGGCGACTCCGAAGTCACGACAACAAATGTTCAAATCGATGTACCAGCTTCGCACCCTGAGCTGCGCGAGCCTGAAGACCCCGCCAAGATGATCGAGGAGGCGAAGCGCATGGTCGAGGAGGCGAGGGAGCTTGACGCTGGCGCTTCCAGCAGACTCACATCATCGAAGCGCAAGGTCGAGGACGTCCTCGATGATGAAGAGCTCGAGGCCGAGCGACCGAGCAAGCTATCCAAGAAGCTCTACACAACAGAGCAGAAGCTTACAAAGGAGAAAGTAACAAGGAGAGCGCTCTTTGGTCTGGGAGTAATGGCAGTATTCGGGTAAGCATACTCTTCGCCCCTCTGATGGAGCGCAAGCTAACAGCTTCCAGTACGGCCATTCAATACTTTGCATAATTGCTCTGTCAACTTTTTCCTTTCTTCATTCACGGTTGGCATTCTGTCTGCATTACTAGTGTTGGATTCTCGAATTTCAGTCTGTACTATTCGACCACCACTCGATTTATTTACTGCAGATACCTTCTCGATCTTCTGCTCATTTGGCGCTTGCATGTCCATGGTTGGGCGCTGTACACTCGTTCTGTACAAGGGCGGGCGGATAGCTTGGGGTTGGGCGACCACCTCCGGCATCAAGTAGAGTACTCTAATTGAATTCCAAGGGCGGCATCTTCAGAACCGCCCAAACTACTGTTCTTGAGCAGCCCTGCCAAACGTGCTTTGCACACCCATGTAGACTGTCTATTGGATGCCTTGACGGCGTTATTCTTGTCTTGACCCTCAAGTCGGAAAGCAGCGCATTAGGGTGAGGGCAAAAGCGCTACGCAAAGAGCTCGAGAGAGGCTGGCATGAAAGAAGCACAGACATGCCTGTTCCTTCAAGAGCCCGCTGACCGACGTACAATCACTTCATTCGTATCCCCAGACTGTCAATAATTGTTTTACATTCTTACAGCGCAGTGTGTGTACACATCGAGCAAGCGTGCCACACTTGCTGAACAAGCCACCCGCCATCAAACACCTCAAGATAGCCACAGTATGCACGAGAGGAGAGTCGTCAATCATCAAAAGCCCCAGCCAGCCTCCAGCCCTTCACTCGTATCCAATTCCCCCTAGTCATCCCAAACAGCCTTCTTCCTCGCCTCTCTCTCCTCCCCCTCCCGCCTCTCCCTCTCCTTCTCCTCAGCCCTCCGCTTCCTCTCCTTCTCCCGCATCGCGCGATCGTACTCTCTCTCCTCCTCCGTCCGCCTCGGCGCCCGCACACCCAGCGCCCCGGCAATCATCCGCCCCGCGACAGCCGTCGTCTTCTCCGGCCGCTTCTCCAGCCCGCCGCCGCCAGACACGACGCCAGACCCCGCTCCACTGTCGCCTCGCAGCCGCCCGGCGCCGTAGGGCGACGTGACCGGGAACTCGAAGGGCGTGGGCGATGCGGGTGTGGGCGGCGGCGCCTGCGGAGGGTCCGTCGACGTGCTCGTTGTAGACAGCGGTGCGCAAGTCTCCGTCTCGGTGTCGGAGCCGGACGAGGCCAGATCCCAGCTGTCGGCGACGGGCTTGGATTTTGGCTTGTGCAGCGGCTTTTGCGGTTCGGTGGTGGAGAGCTTTAGCGTCGAGAGGGTGTTTGCTATTTCTGGGGTGTGTTAGTGGTGGGCTGTGTGCTGTGTGGAAGGGTCGGTGTGGTGTACCTGTTTCGCTGGGCGTTTTGCGGATTGAATCTACGGTCGACATGGCTGGAAGAGGCGTGACGGCGGTGTTCGAGCGCCGTGTCGTTTGCAGAGGATTCAGTGTTGTGAGCGGGAGGTTTTGCGGGGTAGGGGTCTTTCGATCTGGGGTCCAACGGTGTGGAACGATCCAGCCTCAGAAGCACGATGGCAGCAGCAGTTGACAACAGCAAGGAAGACGGCGTATTTTGTATCTCTACACAGCATCAAGGAAGAGTCCGTCCACTAGGCCAATTCTGTTTGCCAGCCTGGCGTGAAACACCTCTCCTCCACGGTGAGTTCCCGAGCAGTCCGCACATGCATCCCATACGAGGTCGTGGCCCTGTCCATCGACGAAATTGTGGGGAGAGGTGCGCGTCATCTAGCATACCCGAAAGCAGCCAGCACGCGCGCCACGGGCCCTGCCATCCCAGCCAAGGTCAGATCGATACCAGTTGCTGCCAGTAATTAGTGCCCCACTGATTCCGATATTCGCCGCGGCCTTCTAGACTGTGGCTTTGAGTGAGTTTAGAACACTCGGCGGTCTGGTCACTGTGTTGGGAGGCCGTCAGTGAGGCGCGTTGCAAATGTGGCGGGAGACAAGGGCGCGTTGCGCGTTCCTGCATTTCAACAGGGAAGGGAGGCACACAACCGGGTCGGTGGAGAGAGGATGCATCGGTGGGTGATCAATTGGCGAGTCCTGGAGAGATTCGAGACCGTCTGGATGCTTGACGTAGCGCACATCAGTTCCATTGTTGGAGCTGAGCCTCAGGAGAGCATCCACCAAGCTTCAAGATCGTATTTAGTTGTGGAGTAAATGACGAACTTTGTGGCCGCGCAAAACGTGAGTGGACGTTGACATAGTCTATATATAGCGAGCGTCTTGTTGGACTGTCTCGTCACATGCGAGATGGAGATGGAGATGACGGCTGTAGACACGCGAACGATATTCTTTTTCACATGTTCTTAGGCAATTCTGTCGGCATCAACATCGTCACTCGAAGCACACGAGCAGCCTCAGCATGTGCACGGAAACCTGCACACGGAAAAGCATGAGGCTCCGCCGAGAGCCGGTTGCCATGAGGGGTTAACCCGGTTACTTGCACAAGTAGCCGCCGGTTATGCTCAGAGCTCAATCCGAGGCGCGTCGCCCAAAACCACAGCTCTCCCAAAAATTCTTTGAAGCGTTGAAACGAGGCCTGTGAAGCTCAATTGGACATATTTGACGTGCATACGAGCTGTATTGCTGTCACAAGCCGCGAGTCTGCTTATTTGCTTCCTGACATCCCCTTTGTGGCTGGTGATGGGAGTTCGAGACTGCGTCATGATCTCGCGACACACAAGCTGCCTGAGCAGCAAAGCACTCAGATCTCAATGTCTTAACCGCCGTATACCCCAAGCAGCCTTCTCTACGACTTCAAGACGCAGCGGCTACGATGATACCATCCAGAATCTCAAGATTGGCACCCATACCCGCGTCATTTTCCAAGGCTTCACTGGGAAGCAAGCCACAGCCAATGCGCAGGAGTCAATCGCATGGGGTACAAATGTCGTCGGTGGGACAAACCCGAAAAAAGATGGTCAGGAGCACCTGGGCCTTCCCGTCGTTGGCACCGTACGGAAGGCTATGGAGCAGCTGAAGCCAGACGCGACCGGTATTTACGTTGCAGCACCTCAGGCTGCGGCTGCTATCGAGGAGGCAATTGAAGCCGAAGTACCTCTCATCGTTGCTGTCGCCGAGCATATCCCGATTCACGACGTAATGAGAGTAAGTAAATCTAACCCTTGTGTGAGGCAGTGCTAATTGTAATCAGATACACTCCATGTTGAAAACACAGTCCAAATCACGACTTGTCGGCGCAAACGCACCAGGCATCATCTCGGCAATCGGGCGTTGTCGAATCGGCTTCCAGCCCTTACCTACCTTTTCGCCAGGACACATTGGTATTATCGCGAAGTCGGGCACATTGTCGTACGAGACAGTAGGATCTCTCACAAGAGCCGGCGTAGGCCAGAGTCTGTGTATTGGTATGGGCGGTGACGTAATTGCCGGAACCAACTTCGTGGACGCGCTGAGGGTCTTCGAGACGGATGACGACACAGAAGCCATCATCCTAGTCGGCGAACTTGGTGGTACCAATGAGGAGGAGGCTGCAGACTGGATCAAGGACTACAACAAGCGTGTATCGAACCCCAAGCCGATTGCTGCTTGCATTGGCGGCTTCCAGGCGAAACCGGGAAAGGTCACGGGGCACGCTGGAGCATGGACTGGTCTGGGAGAAGGTACATCGGAGGACAAGTACAGGGCACTCGAGGCTGTCGGTGTTACTATGGTCGACCATCCAGCCAAGTTCGGAGGTGTCATGAAAGACATTCTGGCAAAGTCTGGTCGCAACGTGAAGAAGATTGTAAGTGTCAGCTTCAGCAAAGTACCTGGTACTGCTAACTATCTCACAGGAGCAGTCAGCCGCTCAAGCGCGTCGCGGATATCACACATCGGCTCGACGACCAACCTGGCACGCATCAAGGACATCACTCTTCCAACAGAAGCGGTCTCTTCAACTTTCAGCCGAGCAAAACGCCAACCTCCTCAAGAAGTATGATATCAACGTAGTCTCGAAACCCGAAAACCAACAGTCAAGCCATTACTTGGGCATATCACCGCATCGCGTCAACCGCTCTCCATCCATCATCGCCGCCCCAACCGCAAACCCCGACCAACTACACCAGCGCGTACGAAGATTCCCCTTCGATTATCGGGAAGGCCCATCTCCTAAAGCCATCAACGACGCAATGGCATGGCTGCAACTCGACGCTGCACCACCCAAAGCGAAAGCGCAGGTAGCCTCCACCCTCTCAAATCTCTGGAAGCTTTACACGGAGAAAGAAGCCATCGACGCCCACGTCAGCCTATCGCTCAACCCCAACGCCGACGAACTCCAAGTCTACAACCCATACCTCTTCTTCGACGACGCCGCATACCGCTCCAACCAGCGGCAAGCCGATCTGCACGCGCTGCGCGACAAGCTCACGCCTACCGAGCAGGAAGCAGAAGAAGCAGGGATCGTATACATTCCCCTGACCACGCCGCAACCCGACGGGCGCCTGCAAGCCAGCACCCAGACAACATCGCGCCTAACAGACAGCGAGCCGCGCAACCTCGTCGGCACGCTGGTCAACGGCGCAGGCCTGGCCATGAACACAAACGACGTGCTGCACCTGCGCCTCTCGCAGCCGCCCTACTCGACCGCCAACGCCAACTTCCTCGACACGGGCGGTAAAGCAACATCCCAAACAATCAAAACGAGCTTTAAGCTGATTCTGTCCGATCCGCGAGTGGCTGTCGTCTTCGTGAATATCTTCGGTGGCTTGACACTCGCAGACATGATCGCTGAAGGCATCATTCTGGCGTTCAAGGAAGTCGGTGTTGATAAGCCGGTTGTCGTGCGGCTGAGGGGGACGAACGAGGAGAAGGGACAGCAGGTGCTGAAGGAGGCTAATTTGCCCATTTTTGCGATCAACGATTTCGAGGAGGCGGTTAAGAAGGTTGGGGAGCTGGCGAATGGGGGGAAGTGAGGAGAGTGTCTTGAGGCGTAGTTTGTAGATGGCAGGCTTGATGGCCGGTTTTGGCGTTTACATGTTGCGTATACACATTCAATACCGAGCCTTCGAATTACAGGGTTTGAATCGCAATAGCACCGTGTCTGCATGTCGAGTTTTTGTCAGTTTCGTCGAAATACTAGCAGGTTCTTGAGTACAGTCTTCATGGGCGTAACACATAGTGTGCTGGGAAGGTCATTCGGCTACTAAGGTCGCTGTGCTGCTGGGTGTGGTTGTGGCCTCAGATGCACATCTTATTCTCTCCTGAATAGCACTGTTCAGCACAAAGTATAGGAAAGTAAAATTGAGCTCGTGTAAATCGCTATCGCGGCATATGACGTTTGTTGAGGACTATATGCAAGCACGATCGGCATTCCAATGATCCCATAACGCCAAATCCGAATCGTCCAGGTCGTAACTGAGAAGCCATCTTTGTACCACCTTCGCCGGCGCTAAAAGCATAGGTCTTCACCGATGTCTCCAATTCATATGGCGTGTAGTGTCGAGCAGGTGGGTGGGCAAGAGTTATTGGCTGCGTCTGCGGTGCTGAGCGGCAGGCTGACTTGCGGTGGCCGTCTAAGACTACCAGCTACCGCCGATCTGCTCCTGGTGGACCTCGAGTGTGTCGCCGTCCTGCATGTCAAGCTGTCTTTGTGTTAGTGACGCGCTCTCAATCTCTGTACAGCCCATGAGACTTGTTCGGGCAGCTGCGGCTGAGAACGTACAATGTCTGGGTTGTCGGTGGGCCCAACACGAGTACCCTCGAAGAGAAATCGCACGCTGGAAATGTTCTTGCCCTGACGATCGCAGAAGGCATTCATGAGCTTGCCAAGCTGGGTAGTGCGTTTGATCTTGAAGAAGACCTCGTTGTTGTTGTCGGTGACCTTGATGTTCAAGTGCTCAGAGGGACCGGCATCCTCTGGCTTCTGGGCTGGCGAACCGTTATCAGACATGGTGTTTGTGTGTAGCTGTGGTGTGCGGTTGTGGAGTTGCGAGTGCGCGGTGGGTGGCGGATTCGAGGCGGCGCAAGGCTATTTCTCGCGTCAGTGGGCGTTCGAAGGCAGTGGAAGTGGAGAGCAAGATCGTTGAGCGGCGGGGAACTACCTTCTATATGTCACTGAGGTAACCGTATGACCGATGGGTTGCGAATTGGGTCAGGTGATATAGAAGCTTGGTGAATATGCGCGGACGCGTCGAATTGCTGCAGAGCACGGCGGCAAAGTTAAACGGTAAGAGTACTGGGAGGCGCAAGCTGCTGTCGCGAAGAAGTGAGGTGCGCTGCGACCGGTGGGGCTCTTTACCTACTTATGCGCTAGCAGCCTGACCAACCGAGTGAGCCCTCACCTTCACTCCCAGCATTGCTTGCAGCGACCAATTGATATCGCATCAATCACGTTTCTGATTGCGAGTTACCGAGTTTCTATTTGGTACAATAGTAGGAGCTGAAATCTTCTCGCGCACACGACAGAGCACTCAATCATGGTATGCTTATGATATCACTCATCATTACGCTGATATCGAGACTGACGATTGGAAAAGGGCGAAGTCGAGAAAGACCTGAAGCAAGATCCACCATGCCACTCGCGAGCTTGTGCGATTCAAAGTGCGTGGTGCTTGACCTTACATGGACTCAGCTGATCAAGACCCCAGACTGCATACAAAAGAATAACTTCGACGAAGGCAAATGTCGAAAGGAGGTACGTGTCAAAGCTATTATCCTCGGAGGAAATCGGCAATTCAATTTTCGAGTTATAGAGCTTTGCATATTTATTCGTCGTGTTTATATGCGGGCTTGTAAGTAGTACTGACAGCCGTTAAGGTCGATGCTCTGTATGAGTGTTGCAATGCCTTCTACAAAGAGCGGGGAGACGACGCAAGATGCGTGACATGCCCTAAACCAGATTTATTGAGGTGTGGATTACCAAGAATTAGTAGGGCAATATGCTGATTGAAACAGAATCAAAATGAAGCAACGAGCTCAGGGCATATCATAGCCTCTCAAGAGCGGGTTTTATCACAACACGCCACGATAAGCTGATGAACCAGCGTCACATTATGTACAACCGCTATGATGCAATTGTACCGAAATGTACGAATAAGTGTTGTTAAGCGACAATCATTGTCCGGTGCTCTTTGGATATCCATCCAGCGAATCTACTCTGTTATATCGAGAACGCAAGAGCACTTCAGCGCCAGATTGCCAGGCCTCCAAGTTTCAAAGAAATCGGTGACGATCACGATGATCATTGTGTGTGAACACGTGGTGAATACCGGCGAGAATGAGAACAGCCGGATAGAAGTCAGGTCAACGGGAGGTAGACAGTACTGATTTGCGACTCTTTCGCAGTCCGAAGAATCCTCTGATGTCGTCAAAAGGTCCAGTGCACCAGGATTCTTTGCCAGATCGTGGACGTCAAGCAGCAGACATGTTTTTCATCAGCCGTGTCTCAACTTCCATAAGGCAGGATGTATTAAACTGCGACTTTCCTAAGTGCTCCTAAAATAGTACCAAATGCACTTCGTATCAGAATCCTGGGAGGCACTCAGTAGGATTTCTGAGATGCATGCACAACGGAACAAGCCTCCCAAAGACCACAACGCCTTTGCTAAGTTGTAACTTGTAGTTGCGGCATCTAGAAAACCTTCAAAGTGCGTGTAGAAATTTGTGCATGTACTACAAGTGCTGCACTTGAAATTTGACCAAGTCCTCCACGCCTAGTTTCTGCGGTATTTCGGCGAAGACAGTTCTGAAGAACTGGTATTCACTCAAAGGTTCTGCAACGCGACAGATGGAGCGAAAGGATGTCATACCTCCCTTTTCTTATCCACCACTCCGCGAGGGAGTACGGTGGGTTCACTGGGAAGTATAATTTCTCTAAGAAATACCGAGCGTCTCGTGGAGAATTGAATCAGCCTGAGATGACTCTATGTGGTATGTCTATGGGTATGTTATACATTGTAAGGAGCAGAAACGGGGCCGGGAATTCGAAGATTTTTGTAGGCGCACTAGCGCGCCAAGCGGAAACGCGGCGCTCGGTCGTGTCTTCACCTTGGACATGGAGCTACGCGACTGTTTTGTCTGTGTACGGCCGCAGCTTGAACTACCACCAACGCTTTCGCAGCAATTCAACTGGCTCCTGCTTCGCCGATCAGCTGTGCGCTCTATCAATGCATCTCGACAGATAGCGTTTACTTCTCAATATGGCTCCCTTCTCTTTCGCGCGCCGGGCGCAATCTGCAGCTCAGGTAAAAACCTCAAAGCTTCAAGGAACACAGCGGTCCTTTTGTACTGACATCAAGCTCACAGACGAACGGTGCTGCTCCGTCGCTCTTCAACGATTCACGCGCATCTAATGGCACCACCTCCACCGACCCCCTGCAGCCGTTGCGCGCAATGGCCGACCGAGTAGGCAAAGAGGTGGAAAAGTTCGCGGAGAGAGTCGACTACTGGCACACACATGGGAAGGGAAATGCCACAGACAGGCATCAGGCGACTGTCAATATGGTGGGACACTTCAGGGATGTCGCCGAGTCGCAGGTATTAGAGCTGAAGCGCACAAGCGGGTCCGAGAACCAAGGGGCGCTGAACAAGAGCACGCGTCGTCGCGTACAAAACATGGAAGAAGGATCATTTGGGCAGTCATTCCAAACTCTCGCCCAACCTTCCGCACCGCTCGACTCCGCAAGCGTGCAGGAATTGCGCCAATGGCAGGCTGAATTAGCAACATGGGAGCTCTTGCGCATCCTAGTCGATCACCACCACCCCGAGCCCGGTCGCGATGTCGAGGCAGAGAAGCAAGCGCGGCTAGGACAAGTCGGAGGAAACAAGCGCTACAGTCCGAATAGCGAGATTTGGGACCGATTTCTGTTAGAAGACGACCAGGCAAAAGAGAAAGATTTGATACTGCGCTGGTTGGAGCAAACTGCGCAAGACAGCGAGAGTGACATTGAGTCAATCACTGCGGTCTTGGAAGAGAAGTCTGGCAAAGGCGCGAATACCTGGACGAGTGGCTGGCTGGATACCAAATCGAAGATCAAGCAGGCCAAGCGTATAGAAGGCTCAGAAAAGCCGCTAAAGCCACAAAGTTCGACATTGAAGACCGCGGATCGATCAGCGCAGCTGGTTACTCAGTTGGATCCCGATGCGCCGTCGCGTCAGAAGCGCGTATTGGAGAAGTCCGACGAGTTCTACGAGAAGGCTCTTTGGCTAGTCTGTTACGAGATGATGCGCCGTGGTGTCCCTTGGAACGAGATCTGCGACTGGGCTCTAGAAAGAAACGAAGCTTGGCGCGGAGTGAGCATAGGCGCTGCATACGAGTCACAAACACCGGGTAGTCCAAATGTTGCTGGTGACACAGTCGGGTACCTGTTCCGCCGTATGTGTTTCTATGCCGCTCAGGGTACCAGATTGCAGTACGAAGGTGCTGTGTATGGGCTTCTGAGTGGAGATCTAGGCAAGGTTCGAGAGGTTGCGCGCACCTGGGACGACCATCTGTACGCGCACTACAACGCGCTCCTACTCTCTCGATTCGATTCGTACCTGCAACGTCAATACTCGAGCCGAGTCACACAGAGCCTGAGCCAGAGGTTCGTCTTCCACGACGCTGTAGCCAATCTTGGAGAATGGTCGAATTCTCCCAGATTGGTCATCGACGCGTTGAAGCAGCATAAAGCCTCATCAGCACTCGCAAGTGCGCCGATTAAGCTTGTCCAGGGCGCTTTGATCGGTCGATCCGTGGAAGAGCTTGTTCACACTGTTGGTATTGCGCTAGCTGAGCTACAACAGAAGGATGGTGGACTCAAAAACCTCATGATCCATCCTGATTCGCCTGAGAACGATAGAGGGCCGCAGGCTGCGTCTGGACAGCTTACTGCGACGGCGGACCAGTCCTGTCAGGCACTTGTCAGCGACCCACACGCCTTCCGTACCCTTGTACATATATTCATCGCGCTTAGGGGCGGTCTGGGTTTGCTTGATGCAGAAGACAGGTCACAACGCTTGGCGATGGACAACGTCATTGCTGGCTACATCGAATTCCTGCGCCTCAGCAAGCGCATCCAGCTTATCCCTCTCTACGCGGCGCAGCTAGAGGAGACACGGCAAGCCTACTCACTGGCACGCGTGTTGCCAGACATCAAGAACCGAGATGAGCAAAGGAACTGCATCGCCTTGCTGGACTCGTACGGCGTCGACAATGTCGAAGTCGTGGCGCAGGGCTTCCTCCTTGCGTTCAACCAGAGCGGATTCATCCATTTTGACGATGACGGCAACTCTGTGATCACAAGCCCCATCAAGCGTTTCCAGTTACTCGAGTCAACAGAGTCAATGGATCATAACAACACGCTTCTGTGGCCTGGTCAGCGGATCAGGCCCCAGTTTGAGGGGTCTCAGGTTGAGTCCAAAGATGAGGGCATGATTGATGCAATCTACTGGTATAACTACCTCAACAAGGAAGTTGATGCAACATTCGAACACCTGAAGAACGCCTTAATGATCTTCCTCCGTACGTACGATCCAACCAAAGACGGTGCTTTTGCTAACACAGTCAGTCAACGGCCGCCTTGCCGCTGCCGAGAGGATGATTGAAGAGGTCAACGTCGAATACCTCTCCCTATCCAGAACCGAGGCACTCTGCGGATACCCCTTCGATTTCAACGCTCCGGGCGCCGAAGTGCAGAACGAAAGCGTACTGCACGCCCATCGCGAGACACTCTCACGCGAAGCTCGGAGCAGACTGCCTGTATCGCAACTGCCTGATGCCAAGGAGCATGAGCAGATTGTGGAATACCTAAGGGCACGCAGCGCACCGTACTACGACCTCCAGCAGCTCGTCCGCATCATCGCCATGTTCCGCGACTGGCGTGTTCACGAACGGGAAGTCATCAAGTAAGCCCGCCACCCACCCGCAGTCTGTCAAAACCCCCCGTCTAACCCACACCCCAGACACCGAACACAACCAAAGACAAACACCAAACCAATCAAGGAGCTCCTCGAGAACATCACCACCGTCTTCGACGGCCTCATTCCCTCGCTCGCCGAGTCCCGCACAGCAGACACCCCCGACACGCTCAACCTGAAGCGCGCCTACCTGCCCGAGATCGTCATAACATACCTGTGCGTGCTGCAGTCAGCCTCGTTCCTGCTGCACCGCGACATCGCCCTCAAGGCCATGGAGATAGCGAACCTGGTCGCGGACCCGGCCAACGAGTGGCTGCAGGATCTGTTCCTGCAGACGGGCCGCATGAGCGAGCTGGTGCAGACGCTGGCGCGCGTCAGTCAGGCCATGCTGAACCTGAACGAGTTCGAGGGCAAGAAGAAGGAGACCAGAAAGCGGGGCAGCAAGGGCGAGACACTGCGGATCTGGGATTTGAACGCGTACGACCGGGTCTAGGCGGCTGGGACGTAGAGGGTTTTTTTTGGAGTGGACGACGTATAGGCATTGTCGTAGGCGTTGCGCGGTAGCTTGGCATTGGCATAGCGAGACACTGCATCAAGAGCCCACGAGCAAACATTCGCATAGCATCACTTCACTTGGCAGGCCCAGAATGCTGGAGCCACTGCATTCCCGCAACCAAGACTCGATTATGAATTGTCAGCCTCATCTAGCTCGGCGGCGCAAAAGTGTAAGTGTCGGTATATGATATTCTGCTACCAACCCCAGTATCGAGTATCCAGTCTCCAGTCACCAACGCACCGCACGTTCCATAGCCAGAGCCAAGATGCACCCGTGCACACGAGCACAGCTCTTCAAGCACAGCTCTTCAAGCACAGCTCTTCAAGCACAGCTCTTCAAGCACAGCTCATCAAGCACAGCTCTTCAAGCACAGCTCTTCAAGCACATCTCTTCAAGCACATCTCTTCAAGCACATCTCTTCAAGCACATCTCGTCAAGCAATGAGAAAAAAGAAACCAATGCGGAAACAAATACGCCGGGCCGCAATCCAAAGGCCCAGCCCAGAAACGCCAGGAGTCGTAACGTCGTCCGTACCCCGAACCAAAGAGTACATGCACGCTAAGTAACAACAAGAAGAAGAAGAAAAAAAAAGACGCTATGCAAACTGTGAACATGCCGTCTATGATGCACTGTGATGATGTTGGTGCCGCACGGGTGGCTCAGAAGTCGACGCTCCACCGGAGTCGCGGATCCTTCTCGACGACGCCGTGGCTGTCAAACGGCGCACGCATGGGCTCCTCGTTGGCCACGCTCCAGCCGCGGCTCACGGCGAAGCCGCTGCCGTTCCACTGGTCTCTCGCACTGGCGGCCAGGTCGCCGTTGGAGAGTGGCAGGCGGATTTTGGCCTCGACCAAGGGCGCGGAGACGAAGCGCGAGCTGAGCAGCGCGCGCGGAGAGACCGTGTCCTGGAGGCAGTTGAGGCTCGAGATGTCCGACGAGCTGAGGGGTGCGCGTTCGCGGCGGGACATGATGCGCGGTGCGGGGAGAGAGTCGGTGGACCGAGTGGCCTCGCCGTGGTGGGTCTGCTCGGGCCGTCCGGGCAGAGCGTTCTCGTCGCTGTGGTGGGGGTTTGGTGGGGATGCATTCGCGCCCGAACCGCTGGAGACTACAGTCGAGAGCGCAGGTCGGCTTTGGCGGACCGAGACGGTGCGGCCGGTCGTGGGCGTGGTGCGACCGGCCGTGGGTGTGGTGCGACCGGCCGTGGGTGTGGTGCGGCCGGTCGTGGGCGTGGTGCGGCCGGCCGTGGGTGTGGTGCGGCCGGCCGTGGGTGCGGTGCGTCCTCGAACGACCGAATGCTGCGAGTCGGTAGTGTCTGTCCTGTTCAACGTGTTGGCAGTGTCGAGGCGCTTCCTCGAGCTAGTCGACGACGGCGGCCGCGCCTGGGGCGTCCTGCTCCTGTTGCGCCGCTGGCTTGATACCAGGTCGGTGTATGAGCCATGCGGTGTCATCGACGGCAGCTCATGCGTCTGGCCTCGCTCGAGCCGGTGCATCAGCTGCCGCGTGCTGACATGCCTCTGCAGACTCAGCTCCACGCGGCTGCTGGCGCCACTCCCGCTGCGGCTCCGGTGCGTGGCACGCTCTCTGCCTGCCATGACGCTGGCCTTGGGCGGGGGCTGGAGCATCCAGCGGTTGTCGGCCACGTCCGAAGACGGCAGGCTGACGACGGGCGGGTGGAGCTCGTTGACTGGCGGCGCGCGCGCCGAGTAGTAGCTGCCCGACCGCGAGGTGCCTGGCCGGCTCGTCTTCAGTGCGAGTCCGAGCATGCTGCCTGTCCCGCTCGACGACGACGCCGACGTCGTCTGGTGCACGGGCACAGGCGCCTCGTCCAGGCCCCAGAGGTGCTCGTCCTCGCGCTGGTAGCGCTTCAGGTTCCACGTGTCGTCGTCGAGCGAGTCGTCGCTGAGGCGCACATGGCGGGCGCGTTCCCCGTCGACGCTGCTGCCGCTCTGGCTGACGACGGCGCTCTGCAGGCCCGCTTTCGCGGCGCAGCGGGTGCTGCCCGTGTTGGTCCTGCGCGCGCGTCGCGACGGCGGGCCTGGCCCCAGTGCGATCTCCTCGTCCCAGAAGGGATTCGTGCCCGTCGGCTCCGGGTGGTAGTACGTCTCGGGCTGCTCGAGCACCAGCTTCTCTCGCGCCTTGCGGGCTCGCTTGGCTTCTCTCCGCCGCTTTCTGCTGTCGTTGTATCCGGTGCACGGCGCGCACGAGGCGTAGTGGAAGATGGCGCTCTGCCGCGGAACATTAGCATCGGCACGGCCGCGTGCACACATGGGTCGGGTGAGACGTACTTGGACTCCGCGCAGGAACCACGACATGCCGAGCGCAGGCAGGGTGGCTCTGGTGCGAGGTGCGGCGCGGATCTACACAGCTGGGTATAGGAGGCCGCAGTCTACGGTGTCGCTCGCGTGCTGCGCTGCAACGGGCAACGGGGAAGCGGACAGGCGCCGGTCGGGCAGGGGGACGGCACAAACACACTGCGCGGGTTGGGGTGTCATTGCAGCCCTCGAACAGAAAGCTGGCAGGAACGGGTGCAGTATCATGGACAGAGTCAGTCGCAGTGGGTGCGCAAAGGCGGGCGCACGAGTGTTTCGTGCAGGAGCGGCCGCACAGGTAATCCACCGCAGCTTCTAGTCGCGTTGGCGAGGCCTCGGCGTTGAGCAATTTCCCCCCGTCGTTCTCTCGTGTTGGCGAGATTATGGCAGAGAGAGGAGAGAGCGTCGTGGCATTGTGGGCATCAGCAGGACACTCGAGTCCCGCAGCAGCCTACTCAGTCCCGCAGCAGCCTACTCGAGTCCCGCAGCAGCCCACTCGATACGCAATTCCGCAAAAGGAGGCCGATCCCCACCATGGCCTCTACATGTGGACCCTGCGGTTGCAAGACCCGGTGCACCGACCGAACAGGCACACGCCCAGCTCTGCCTGCGAAACGGCCGGTCGACTGTGTGTGTTTCTCCCGAGCCTTGTAGCGCACGAGGTCAGACGTCTCACATTGAAACGAGCCCTCGTTCCCAAACAGGTTCGTCTTCCTGCTCTCTTCCTTCACCTCTGGCCGTGTAACGCGTTCGTCCAAACAGCCTCCCCGTCTGCCCCATCCACAGTCGTGAACGACGAGGTCCAGCCCTGCGGGCCCGCCTAGCCGGACGCGGTATTCCGTGTGCTGGCCGCTAGTGGCATCGTGGTTCTTGGGACTGACCCGCACCCCTCTGCGTCCAACGGGCCCAATAATGCTGCCGGTATCCGGCATGTGTGAGATGAGATCATGGCATGGCATCGCGAGCATGCTGACTACGCACCTAGACGTCTTCTGTCTTGATGGCATTTCAATTGAATTGTTGCTAGGCCTTGTTGACCTAGCGACCACCCGGGCGCGCTTAGTGCACGTCTAATCGCGCAATGCAGCCTTCGGCCCGTCTCCTACCAGTCCGGCCAGAATGACCATCACGTGATTGGCACAACGGTAGCATCCCATCTTGTGGCCGAATCAGTAAAGAGACGATATCTTGTGGCCGAATCAGTAAAGAGACGGTATCTTGCGGCCGAATCAGTAGAGAGACGATATCTTGCGGCCGAATCAGTAAAGAGACGGTATCTTGCGGCCAAAGTCGGTAGAGAGGTGACGTCTTGTGGCCGAGGTCGGTAGAGAGGTGACATCTTGTGGCCAAGGTCGGTAGAGAGATGGCATCTTGTCGTCCCCAGAAACTCAAGCTGCTCGCAAACATGTCGCGGACAAACACCAACTACCTCCCATTCCCCTGTAGATTCAGCACTTGCAGTCGCCAGTTCTCTACCTGCTCACCTCTGACTTCTGACTTCTGACCTCTGACCTCTCACCTCTGACCTCTGACCTCTGACCTCTGACCTCTGACCTCTGACCTCTCACCTCTCACCTCTCACCTCTCACCTCTCACCTCTCACTTCTCACCTCTCACCTTCCACCTCTCACCTCTCACCTCTCACCTCCCACTTCCCACCTCTCACCTCTCACCTCCCACCTCTCACCTCCCACCTCTCACCTCTCACCTCTCACCTCTCACCTCTCACCTCTCACCTCTCACCTCTCACCTCTCACCTCTCACCTCTCACCTCCCACTTCCCACCTCTCACCTCTGACTTCTGACCTCCCACCTCCCACCTCTCCTGGACAACAATCAGCTGCTGGACAACAATCAGCTGCTAGACGGCAGTCGGTCGGGTCTTCTCCAACCGCCTTACGCCAGGCTATGCAGAGAGCCTGTTCCAGATCTCTCCGAGGATGCTGGCGGCGGTAGCAGCCCGTCTCCACCAGGGATACCATCTCGCAAGCGCCGCAAATCTCGAGCTGCGGCATAACAGCGCGGAGCTTGTTCTCATCGAACCCCTCGCGCGCCAGAGTGTTTGAACACAACGCCCGAAAGAGCTGGGCTCACTGGTAATCATACCAGCTCCGCTCGTCATACGTAAACCCGTGCATCCCGCCCACGCCACCGCCCGCCCCGTTCAGCGCAGGATTCGCGTTCCCATTCGCACTCGCATTCACGCCCGCCCCGTTCATCGGCACACCATTGACATTATACCCGTTCGGCGCCGTCGCCGCGCCGCCAACCGGCCCGCCGTTCATCGTCGTGTGCGGAAACGCAGCGGCAGGCGACGCGCCCGTGCTCGCGAACCAGCTGGCCATGTCGCCAAACTCCTGGTTGCTCCAGTTGTCGAACCCGCTGGCGAGCTGCGTCTGGTCGCGGAAGATCCAGTCCTGGCCCTCGCGCATCAGCTGGTCCACGCCGCCGAAGAGCTGCGACGGCGACGCCCCCGCCGAGCTCATGCCGTCCAGAGACTGCCGGGCTTGTGTCGACGCCGGTGTCGCGGGCGTGTGGGCGTGGTTGGGCGTCGCGTAGTTGAGGGGGTCCGAGGGGTGGCGCTGGAGGCGGGTGTGAGTCAGGTCGGTTGGGGGGATGGAGGAAGGGTCGCGTGTAAATGTCCAAGATGGGACGTAGGAGGATGCGGTGGCTTGGGGGTGGCTTACGAATGCGGTAGCAGCGCTGCTTGTTGAGGCCGGGGTTCGGGCAGGGAAGTTTGGCGTTGTGACGTCTGTGATGCTCATGCCGTAGACAGCTGTTGGCTGTAGGCTGGGAGAAAACTTCTGCGTTGGACTTGTAGCCTGATGTCCTTCTGCGATCATGGCCGGCTCGGCACGAGTAGCCTTTGGAGTGCTGATCTCGTTCCAAGGACCAAACTTTTCATCCGTCCGTGCGAGTACTGCTGAAGCTTCTTCGGGAAGGTCGACTTTCCAACGCTTAGCCAGTACGCTCAGGATGCCCAATGTGCGGCGTGCGCCAAGCCACCCTTCGGCAATCTCTTCGAGATGCTTGATGCCGTGGATGATGTCTCGTTTAGCGTTCTTCTCGGGAAGGTTGAGCAAGTGTATCGTGCATGCCGAGTGCGCAATGTAGACGCAGATGTTGCAGATCTGGCGCAGGCCGTGCGAGCGCTTGTACAAGCGGAGGAGCTTGGAGATCATGGCTGCCGCTTGCGTGCACTGCTTGCGTGGCGAGATGTTGGGCGGCAGAGGCGAATTGTCGGGGTTGTACTTGAGGAAAGGCCGGAAGAGGTGGATGTAGAGGAGCTGGAAGAACATGCTGCGACGAGGTTTAGCACCGCGCAAACATTCAGAGCGGTGGCACTTACTGCATGACGAGCATATGCGGCAGCCCGCCTTCTTTGGGCTCGAGCTCCTTGGGCAATTCTCTTCTCCACGTTTCCAGTCGCACATGTATCTCGCTGAGCTTCTTCAGCTCGGCCTGCTTGCCCTTTGCCTTATCCATGTCGATGGGGTTGTAGAAGAAGTTCATAAGATCGCTCGAGATGTGGCACAGCTTGGAAATCTGCAGCGCAACGGCCCTCGTCCGCGAAGGCTGCGAGTGCGCCTGGCTGATTCCAGAGTCTGTGTACGCACTCCACGTCTCGGCGTCTTCGACAGGGAAGACGTCGAACTTGGGCACGGTGATGATGTTGTTGGCCAGCTGCGGCATGCGGCCGAGGTAGTTGCTCCAGCACTTGTCGAACAGGAAGCAGCCCCAGAAGGTGATGCGCCGGGCGTCTTCCTCCTGCTCGTCAATGGCGTCCCTGGTGTGCATGCCGAGGTTGAGGCCGAGGTCGCACGCCATGCGGAACGACATGCCGCTGTACACCCAGCCCTTTGCTTCCCGGCCGCAGCCAGCTTCGCGGACGGACATGAGGGCCAGCGCCTGGACCGTGGGCAGCGCGGGCACCTCGTGCAGGTCTTCTTCCATGATCAGGCGCTTGGCCTCGCGGAAGAAATGGTCGCCCGCCGTGGCCGAGTCGTCTCGCACGGCGCGCGCGGCCGGCAACGACGTGAAGTGGCAGCCCAGTGCCAGCATGGCGTTTACCAGCAAGGGCGTGCAGTACTGCATCTTCCTGCCCGACCCCGGCGGCGGCTTCCCTGCTTGGAACTCGTGCAGGAACAGGTGCTTGGACAGGGTCGTGAAGAAGCTGTAGTGCCAGCAGAAGTACATGCCGATGAGGTGCTGCACCAGCTCCGGGTCCGAGGTGACGGTCGTCCAGGTGCAGTAGGCGTCCTCGACCTGCTGGCACTGCTCGTCTGGCTCGGCGTACGGGTCCGGCGAGTCGGCCGCCTCGCTGCGCTGGCCCAGGTAGATCAGGTGCGAGGTGCCGCCGATGTAGCGCGTGGAGCCGTCCTCGAGGCGCAGCTCGCCTATCTTGCCGCTCAGCTGGCTCTCGAAGGTCGGCTTGAGGGGGGCGACGGCAGGCGTGGCCATGGGACTGACGGGCTCGTCGTCGTCGTCGTCGTTGCCGCCGCCGCTCTCCCTCGCGGCGATGGCCTCTGCGACGGCGTCCAGGCTCTCGCAGGTCCGGATCTGCTGCACGAGCGCGGCGACATCCTCCTCCGGGTAGTTGAGGATGGCCTGGACGAGCGTCTGCAGGGTCGAGTTGCGCGTCTTGAGGCTGTCCAGGTCCTTCTTGTAGACGCCCTTGCGGCGGTGGTCCGAGTTGGGGTCGTAGAGGCACTCGGTATTGTACACGGCGGCACAGGCGGAGCAGGCGGGCGTGGTGCCGTCACACTTGCTCTTCCTCTTGCGGCACGGCACGCAAGCGCTGGAGATGCAGCGCCGCTTGTTGCTGGCCTCATCCTCGTCGCCCTTTTTCTTCGCGCGCCGGCCTTTTTTGGCCGGCGGCGGCGGTGGCGGCGTTGCGAAGCTGTCGGGCGCGCTCGCATGCGCGTCTCCGGCCTCCATGCTCGCGCTGGGGGGGGGAGAGGGGGGGGGGGGGGGGGTTTCCGACGGCGGGGCCGCTGCAGTGTGACGGGTGACGGAGCCCTTGAGTCTCAGCGCGACATGTATCAAGCTGCGGCGGACGGGGACGGTCTGCCGCACTGTCGGTCGTGGTTCAGCGCAGGTGTTGCTGCCAACATGGCTGGCCAGCGGTTCGTCGCGCGACAGGCTCCCTCACGCACGCCGGCCCATGGAGGGAGTCGTGCGGGAGTGAATGCTATCTGCCCGTGTGTGATTGGACGCGCTGCTGTCTTATCTGCCTGCAGGTCCTGCGCGTTAGGAACGCCCGGGTGTGGCTACGTCGACGGCTGCAGCCGAGCTGAATAGGTATGCGACAGGTTCCTGCGACGCCTTCAGATGTGTGACTTTGCTCCCCACGGCCAGCCCGATGGTCCGCATTATTGCGGAGACGTCAACGGTGGGCCTGCTATTGGTCGGCCCGATCTCTACATCGTGCCATCGATCCACCAGAAAGCATCATCACCACCAGAAAGCATCATCACCACAATCTGCCAAAGAGCGTGCTGCAGAGCTCCTGCCACGATGTCTATCCACTGAAGAATGACCCACGATAGAGCACGCCAGGGTATCTGGCGCCCAGTCGTAGGAAAAGCAAGCATCGCAGAAGGCCCAATGACGGCTGCGGTAGTAATCAGGAGCTTGTCTCAGCATCTCGAATGCCTCCAGACTTCCATGAATTCCCGCCTCACACTCGACCACATGGCCCAAAACCGCACCAAAAGTAGATCCTCAACACATCACCGCCTCACGGTCCCATTTCGTCACCCTACAACTCGTCCGCGTAACGCTCGTGATCATGGTCAGCGTAGAAGCCACCAGCAGCATCAGGGTTCTCGACCAAGATGAACCGCTTGCCCTCGCCATCCTCCTCAATGCTGCCGAAGAGGCGCACGAGGTCTGCAATATCGAGGCTGGAGGTAGCTAGTCAGTCAACTGCAACGCCCAAGCCATCTGGCACGTGACTTACTTCTTGGTCCGCTTGCCGCGGTCGTCCATGACCTCGTCAATCTCCTTCTGCTTCGTCCTCTGCATCTCGATGAGGCGCTCGTCGACCGTGTCCTTGACGCACATGCGCGTCATGAACGTCTCGTTGTCCTGCCCGATGCGGAACACGCGACAGAAAGCCTGCTGCTCCGAGGCTTGGTTCCACCAGGGGTCGATGATGATGACCTTCGAGGCCATGGTCAGGTTGAGACCGAGACCGCCGCAGCGGAGAGACGCGAGGAGGATCTTCGACTTGGCGTCGTTGGCGAACGCCTTGATCGACTTGTCGCGAGCTGCCAGAGTGAGCTTGCCGTGATACTGCGTCTGTTAGCCATCCGGACTTGGTTGTGAGACAGTCGCCTGAGACATACCTGCTCGGTCTTCCAGCCTTCTTGCTGGCAGACTTTGGCCAATATGCGAATCCTGGACGTAGTCAGTGGAAGCGCTCCGACTTGGGGAGTCATCGACCTACATCGCCAGGAACTGCGTGTAGATGATGATCTTGACGCTCGGGTTCTTCTTGATCCAATTGAGAATCTGTGCCTTGATGGCAACCGTCTTAGCCGACGACAGGACCTCTTCGCCACCCAAGCTCAACCAATCTTCGGCGATATCCTCCCGGTCGAGACGCTCCTTCTTCTTCTTCTCTTTCGCTGCCGCTTTGGATCGAGTGCCGCGGCCCGCTCGAACATCGTCATCCTCCTCTTCGTCGCAAGGAGTGCAGGCGTAGAACGTCTCGCCGCAAGCCTTGCAGGTACCGTTCGTCTTGCCCCCTTCGGCAGCAGCGTTCATGACTTCTTCATAGCAAGGTTCGCTGCAGATGAAATGTCCGCAGGCCGTCTTCCACGGCTTGTAGGGACGCTTGCCGCATTCTCCGCACTTGGCCTTTTCTTTCCTCTTCTCCCAGGCCTCGCCCACGGTGAAACTGTTGACGTAGGGCTTGAAGTCGTAGCTCTTGCCAAAGTCTCTACCGGACTTGTTGCGCTCTGCGCCGCCATGGGCGCTCACAACCTCAGCTTCAGCTTCAGCTTCAGCATCAGCATCAGCATCGCCGTCACGCGGAACTGGGACGGGTTCGTCGTCTTCCTCGTCGTCTTCGCTCTCGGGCTCGATGTACTCGCCACCCTGTCTAGCTGCCAGTTCCGCAGCAACCCTCTTGGCGGCTTTGGCAGCAGCCTTCCTCTTCTCCCTCACTTCGTAGGCTTCGAGCTGCTTTCGAATGCCGAGGATCGTGCGGCCCTGCCTGATGTTGCTGGAAGCAGCTTGCTCCTTGACGACATCCTTGATGCGCTCGATATCCTCACGCTCAAGCAAGTCCCTCATGACGAACTGTAGCATGAGAATGTGACCAGTGAGCTGTCGGAGGCGGAGCAACATGACAAGGACGTTGCTGTAGGAGCGGTCGAGTGTGCCCTTCTTGGCCCACATGTTGATCCTCGCGGCGAAGCGCTGGTGGACGATGATGTAGATGCATCGCTCGACGCCGTTGAACTCGCACCAGTAGGTGCTCTGGTTCGCCTGCAGAAGCTTCAGGATGGGTGCGTTGAACATCCTGTCCGCGTGGGTGCGGCGAATCATAAACTGCGAGAGGCGAACCAAGAGACGCTCGGCGTTCTCCCCGTCGCCGGCACCACAGTAGTTGTGCTTGAAGATCTTGAAGCTGCCCGTGTGTGGAACGCTGAGGAACTTGAAGTACGGGTACAGTTCATCGAGGCCGTTGAGGATCGGTGTCCCGCTGAGCGCCCACTTGTGGTCTGCCATGAGTGCGCGGCACGCAATAGAAGTCCGCGACTTGTGGTTCTTGATCGCCTGCGCCTCGTCCAGCACGATGCGCTTGAAGTGCACCTGGTGGAGAACACCTCGGAAGTTCTTGTACGTCTCTTTCCACCACGCAATCTTTTGCTCAGCGGTCTGGCACTCGACAGGTGCTTCGTTCTTCGGATACGACTTCATGACCTCGCTGTAGCTCGTGAGGATGATGTCGTGCGTGTTGATTGTCCCAATGATGTGGGTAGAATCAAGTCGGTGGCCGGCTCCGTACCGCATGACCTTCAGATCGACGGCAGTGTGTTGCGTAATCTCAGCGGCCCACTGGTTGAGCAGGGCAGGGCTTGCAACTAGGAGTGTAGTCGTTGATCCGCGGTCGTTATTTCGGATCATCGCGTCGCGAGAGTTCACAATGTTGGCTGGTCTTGGTTAGCTGAAGGCTTCCACGAGTCCACCAAGTGAGGCAACATACCAAGCATCATCAACGTCTTACCAAGCCCCATCTGGTCGGCCATCAATCCACCCCTGGGCTCCTGTCCATCGTTCTCACGGCGACGCATGAAGGCGGTGCCGAGAACCTGGTAACCCTTGAGGGATGTCTTCATTCCCCTCACCAGCCAATTGCCCTCAGCAGCAAGCTTGCACGCGCCTCGACCGTCGAAATCTTTCGAGGCTTGCAACAGAGTATTCATGTCGTTTCTGGCCTGCTTCTTGTCCGCAACAGGCACACTGGCGATGAGCTCCTTCAGCGCACCAGCCTTTCTCCTTGTCTCGAAGACTGGCTGATCTGCGGCTCCGATTCCAGCCTGCTGCTCGAAAACGTTGGCATTGAACAAGGAAGTGGCCTGTTTCGTGGCGCGCTCGAGCTCTCGTTTGTCTTCGGCCGTCTTGCGCGAGCCTTTTGTTGCTGATTTCCCGGCGACTTTGGCTCGGGGAGCTCGCGAAGCGTTGGACTTGGAGCCTCGGCTTCTGGAGGCTGGTTGTGAAGCCGCAACATCGCCATCGCCTGCACTGCCCTTCTTCTTCTTCTTCTTCTTCTTCTTCTTCTTCTTCTTCTTCTTCTTCTTCTTCTTCTTCTTCTTCTTCTTCTTCTTCTTCTTCTTCCTCTTCTTCTTCTTGGGCGTGTCTTCGTCTGCTTCCAGAGCAACACGCATGGCCTGGAGTTCGGCATCCTGGAAAGAAAACGGCTTGTTCTGCTTACGAGGTTGGTCATCGCGGCGGCGTTTGCGCGAACAACTCTCCCCGTAGAATTCGCCATCCGACTCATCGCCCAGCTCGTCTGCACCATTGCGTACTGGGGGAAAAAGGTCTGGCTGATCGCCTTGGTGGATCTGTACGAGCTCACGCTGACGCTTCTTGCGCCTCGCATCTTCGGCGCCTTTGATCTTCATCCATTCGACATCGTGTCGAAAGCCAAGGACCCCGCCGTTCTGCCGCTTGAGCTCTTCATAGTGCTGCTTCTGCTTCGCGAACTCGCCCAGAGCCACTCTGTGCGCCCATCTCGTCATCGTCAACCTCTGGCTGAGGAAAATCTCCGGTGGAAGGCCTGATGCCCGCTGTGACAGCGTTCAGGTACGTCTCAGAGTCGACGTCCTCGGCCATTTGCGATGGTGTAAATCTGCTGAAAGCGGCCTTTCTCTCTTGAGCCTTCTTCTGCATTTCACGTATTTTGGCAAACATGGACTGATTTGGGCCGGCTGAACAAGCAGGCAATGTTGCCCGGCGAGGTGGCGTAGGGTTCAAATGTGGTGGTAGCGGAACCGGTGCGGGAGAGCGAGACGATGAATAGCGTTCTGAGACAAAGAGGGACGAGGAGTCATTCGCATTGATGTTGTGTTGGTCGGGGGAAGAGATGGCGACCGCAGTGGCTGACACTACATGGTCGGGTCCGTTGGCAGCGTCTTCCATGAAAGCGTCGTGGTCGATCGATTCATGGGATGTTCGATGTGCGTGTTGCTCAGGCTCGAGGTCTGCATCTGTGTGCTCATGCGGCTGTGACTCGGACTCAAGACCATCTTCGATAGACTCATAGATGTCATGCTGCTGCTCCTGCACCTCATTCGGATCCATCTCCTCCTGGCCCTCAACACCAAGTACTTGCTGAGTAAAGGCGGCATCGCCTTGAGGCAGAATCGCAAGAGCAGCAGCATGTCCATCATCGGCGGAAATCTCGTCTTCAACGTCGTCTGTGGAGGCAGTCGGCTCATTAAACCGGCCTTCAAAGCCCTCGTCCTCCTCATAATGCTCGTCCATCTCGGTGGAGCTTGTCTGCATCGGCACGGGTTGGTTGTCGGGGACGTCGTCGCTCATCTTGCTGATATGTACTCGTAGAGACAGTCAGTACAAGTTTGAGAAATGTGGGCGCCAAACCTACAGTAGTACTTCGGGAGCTAGATGTGTGATTTAGAGAGCTGGAGTTGCACTACTCGAGGTTAGCTGCGCTCAGGAACAGAAGGCAAGCGTTCCTACCTCTCGAAAGCGAGGCGAGACAAGGACTGTGTGAAGCTCATGAAACACGAGAGCTGATGCTATCGAAGCTTCAAAGGGCGGGTCAAGAAGGCCCGTAAGCGCGCTGGGCTCGCAGGAACAGAGTGGCGCAATTGGCGATCGTAGTAAGGCTATTAGCGGTTGCTGTGGCTGATGTAGTGTGCCAAATGCTATATGTCCATGTAGTTTTACTGTAGCCATCATAGTGTTATGTGCAGTGAAGAGAGCTACAGCTGAGTTGTCAGGAGGGATTAAAAACCATGGTGCGTAACACGATGACAACGTACTGTTGGTAGCTGCTGGAGGAAATTGTGCCCCTGTCCCAACACGCGATGCACCCGCCTCATCAATATGGAAAATTGCAGCAGTAAGTGTTGGATGCTGATTGTTTGCATTGTTTCAAAACATTACTAAATGTACTGGGTATTGAGCGTGTGGCTTGGAGAAGAAGATCAGACTGCTTGCACGCCAGTCCATGTGCTGCTTCCCGCTTTGATCCATGACTCCAACGACATGGCAGTCTGGTGATATACTGACAGAGAATTGTGACGGTAGGAAATGAAAAAATTGTGAACACTTAGCACTGGTTCTCCGCAATCTCGGGGTAGAACCAAGCAGCGACTGCAATGATGATATAACTCGCCATGAGTAGGACGCCTTCGAGCCAATCTGCATGTACGTTAGCTTGTGAATTCGCTACTTGCCAATGCATGTCGACTTACGAGACTTTCCATCCTGGATAAGGTAGTTGACCAGAAGTACCGAGACGAATAGAGTGGCAATCTGGAAGGTGTCGAAGTACAGGGTCATGCAGTCTTTTCCCATGATCCAGCCGAGAATTATGATGAATGGAAACACAAGAAGGGCGATCTGCATGGACGAACCGACGGCAACACCAATGGAGAGATCCATCTTGTCCTTCATAGCGACGGTGACAGCAGTGGCGTGCTCAGCGGCGTTACCGACGATGGGGAGGAGAATCAGGCCAACGAAAGTAGTAGAAACACCGCCGGTGGCAGTGAGACCGTCGATACTGTCGACCATGAACTCGGAGCAGAAGGCGACAAGAGTGGTCGAGATGGCGAGAGTGACAAGAGCGCCGATGACGGATAAAGATGGAGTCTCGAATTCCTCCTCCTCCTCCTCATCATCGTCGTTGGGCTGCTTCTGCAAGAGATTCTTGAGATTGACGCCTCCGCCAGACGCAGCAGCTGTACCAGCACCGATAGCAGCTACACCACGTTCGGCTGCACCTTCTTCAAGCTTAGATGACTTGCGCTTGGGAACCTTCTGACTCGGAGCGTTGTACATATTGGCGTGAGTCTTCAGCTGGAACAAGAGGTAGCATCCGTAAACGATCAGGAGGATGACCGCGGTTCCGTGAGAAAGCTCCTGATTTCTGAGAGCATCGCCTTCGTCGACATTGTCTTCGGCAATGGTATTGTGGAAAACGGTAGGAATGATAAGCGAGGCGATACAGAGCGCAAGGAGTGACGCAGCTGTCTGTGCGACTGTGACGTTGAAGAACTGCTCGGGACGGTTGACGCCACCCAAGAAGAAGGACATACCGAGGACAAGAAGCAAGTTCGAGAGCATACTGCCAATGAGTGAAGTCTTGACGATGGTAATCTCGTTCTTGATCAAGGCCTGGATCGACACGATCAACTCGACAGCGTTTCCGAAGGTGGCATTGAGTAATCCACCCATCGTCTCGCCGACTCTGATGGCCAACTCCTCGGTTGCATTACTGAGCATAGCCGCGAGCGGAATGATAGCGATGAAGTTGATGATAAAGACGGGAACAGGTTTGAGACCAGCGTAGAAGACCGCGAATCCAACTGGGACAAAGACCAGGAGGACGTTGATCCATGCGCCGAACAAGACGAAGCGGACCTGCTGCCCGATCGGAATCTTGCGCTTGTGTGCCTTGCGCTTGCGTTCCTCCAGCGTGAGGTCTTCGGACTGTTGGTTCGCAAGCGTATCGTCGTCTGTGTTTTCGTGCTCGTGCTTTCGCAGCAGCTTCTTGAATTTGCCGCGCTTTGTTACACCATCTGATCCCGCTACAGTACTATCACTCCCGTCTCTAACATCGCCATCCACCTGTAGCGTGGCTTCTGTCTCTGGCTTGGATGGCTCTGGAAATTGCGGAGCTCCATATGCTGTGGTTGGTGATACCTGGGCGGGATCTGTAGGGTGATGATGCGGCGTTCCGAACTCTTTGGCGGCTTCTCTGCTCTCGAATCCTCGTTGCTCCTGGATGACTGGAATGTGATCGGCCTCTGATCGTGTGCGAGTCAAGTTCTCTTCATCGTAGGCCTGCTCCCTTGATCGTGTCCGGGCGAAAGGGTTGTAGTTCATGGCTCCATTACCGCCATGGGACGCGGCGCGATGCGCCTGCCTTCTTACTGCGTCTAACATTATTGTTAGTCGTTGTTACTTACAAAACGCTGTGTTGTTGCAGAAATTTGACGTCGAAAATCGCAGATCTACTTACGCATAAGTATGGGTCTGGTGGGCAACTGCGCTGACGTGGATATCCTAGTTATGGAGAAAGGAGGACTCGATCGATGTTCCCACAGTGGAGCTCAGACGTGCAGACGCTTGCGTGAGCTTCGTGCGAAAGATTGGTGCCTCGGTCGATTGGGGCCGAAAGACAAGTGGAATGCTGGGGGCTTGTTTGGACAAACAAGAGCGCGCGGTTTCAAAACGATGGGAAATCCGGGGTAGTAGCGCAGGAGGAAAAGCGCAGGCAAATGCAGGAATTGGTTGCCTAAGGTTGTAGAGGAGCTTTGTGAATGAAAAGACGGTAAGAAAGGGGACACAAGGACGTAATTAAACAGGTGTTTGAGCGCTCGCAGCTACCCACGTAATGTGGCTGGTAATGGAAGTTCGCACGAATCGACAGGCGATAAAATGCCTGCGCCACAGATCTGGAGAGCCTAAAATGCAAGGTCGAAGGCAGTGCTCGTAGCGCGGGCGAGAAGAAATCAAATCAGCTTCGACGGACGCGATTGATCGCTGGCTGCTCCACGGCAGTGGCCATGTGCCATGCTCACACGTCACGATTCTCTCGTTGTCAAGCAAGCCAAGGGGCGCGCTTGAGAGGTTGAAGGCTTCTTGGCTGATCGTCAAGCAAGGAAATATGGACCCTAAGTGTCTGGGCGCGACACGATCGCGCGGCAGAGACGCTTGATTAAGTCCCACAAGCCACAGCGATCCATCCTCGAATCAACGAAGGAGTTTGTATCGCATCAGAATGACATCTTGATTTGCGTCCTGGTATTACGAAGTGTTGCATAGATCTAGAGCGATAGGTGGACTTCGGTGCATGCGCTGCGGATGCGTTGTTGACCGGTGACGCAGCCTGCGAGGCGTTCAGTGGCTAACGAGGCCGAGTGCGAGCCGTGTGGACGTGTTCAAGGTCGCCATGGAGGTCGCAAGACGCAGGGCAATGATGAGTGAAGTCGAAAGAGGGTGTATTAGCATGTCTGGGGTCGACGGCTATCTTAAGTTCTTTTAGATTGGGGGCTGTTACGGAAGTGCGGCATCAGGGCGGATACGCGGCTGTCTGTTGTGCCAACTCTCACCTCAAGTCAGACTGGGAGGCTTTCGAGATCCTCCAGGGTGCAGATGTGCCGGCTGCCGAATGATGTATTTACGCATGCCCAACGCGTGCGATCACAACGCGTGGAGAAACACGCATACCTCCTTCTGATACGTTTGTAACCCTGGAGGACCCAAGGAAAGTCAACGCATCTCTGAGGCATGCTTTGAGACGTCTCTACTTCTGCGATCAATGTGTGAGTAGCTCAAGTAACAAAGAGTAATGCGAAATGTTAGCTCTTCGAGATCAATCTTCATCAGCAGGGATGCTGCTACCTCGACGCTACACCATCAGCTCGATTAACTCATCCAATCGCAGACTGGACCTTGGAAATATTCAAAGTATTGTCAAACGGTGCTCCTGAGATGTGCATCTTCTTGCAGTTCAATGCATGTCGACACTGACGACACTCAAAGCATCGAGATGTTGCGAAAGGTTTCGTCTAGGGAGATCTGCGCGCGACTGACATGTTCAAAAACTTCTTACAAGTGTTTGCAGGTTGGCTCGCTCGACAATCTCCTCGCTCCAGTATCAGAAAATGCACGGTGGTTGTGACAAAGTACCTAGTACGCGGGACTTCGACGGTGGATAGATACGATCTGAGTATGCTCCAACAATACATACAATGCAACGACTATAAGAGCAAGACGCCCTCGCTATCGTTTCCCAGCTCTGAACGCCCCATGTACGCAGCCATGATCTCACAACATCTGACCATCGCAAAAACCCGTCATGCCCATTCTATCGAGCGCGCGCACCTATGGACTCTGCACCTTGTGGTCGCCCTTGATCACATCCGCGTAAGAAGGAGGGCCCTCTGGCTCCCTGCTGCTGCCCTCACCACCCAAGTGCTGTGGCGCATCTCCAGGCCTGCTCGCACCGTTCGCCGCCTTTCCACCCTTTGTAGCCTTCTTTGGGGCGTTCTGATTCGTGACACCCGTCTGCTGCTGCTGCGGCACTGTTCCGTAGTTCATGCCACCCTGCTGTCTCGCGGGCCCGGTGTGGCTCACAACATAGTACGTGGTGCCCTGGCGGCCGCCCTCTTGGTCGGGCACAGGGCCGTAGCCGTCGTAACTGTCGTATGGGTCGGGGTTTTGCAGGATGATGTACCAGGCGTGTAGCAGACCGGGAAGGAAGGCGAGACAGCAGAGCGCGATGTTGATGAGAGAGTCGGCGGAGCAGATACCGCGCTTTACCCAAACTGTGGCATGTCAGTGGATGTGCTGTGCGAGTGTGGGCGCAAAGGCGGCTTCAAAGGCGGGTGCCTAGAGCCGGCTACTTACCTCCGATGGGTGGGAAGAGGACGCTGAGGAGCATCAGGAAACAGTCGGTGCCGCACATATCTGCAGTTACGTCGGAGCTGAACTGAGCGGGTATGCGTGTAGTTTGAGCAGTTGCGATGTACAGTGCAGAAGCGGGGATGCAGATGCTGTGATTGTCGCCTGAGACGCGGCTGCAAAGACGTCATGTGTTGTGGCTGAGCAACAAGCGCCACAGCTTAGCCGCGGCTACGAAAGTGCTGGAAATAAAGCCAGCGATCACGAAGACATGGGGGCTTGAGCATTTGAGTTTGATCTGTTCATTTTGATTTGTCTATTCTTTGCCACCCAAGTAACGGTACACAACAGAGAAGTCCTTTCCTTTGCAGTCTGGTGCTTTTTCTGCTGCTTCGTAGAGCTGTCTCGCAGACTCTCCGAGCGCAAGCTTGACGTTTGCCTCGGCGGCAGCCTTGAGAGCAAGCTTCAGGTCCTTGTTGGCAAGAGCAACTCCAAAGCCTCCTTCGTACCCTCTGCTGGCGGGCGAGCCCTCGATGACACCAGGCACAGGGTTGTTCACCTCACTTGGCCAGCACTTGCCGGTGCTGATGTTGATCATGCCCGCGAGAGCCTTGGGGTCGAGGCCCCATTGAATGCCCATGTTCATAGCTTCCGCAGTCGCAATGTTGTTGAGTGCCAAGAGATAGTTGTTGGCAAGCTTGCCCTTGAGTCCGGCACCTTGTTCACCAAGGTGCAGCACTTTTCGGCCCATCAGGGATAGCACTTCGGTCGCACGATCGACTACCTCAGGCGCAGCGCCAATCATGAAGGTGAGAGTGCCAGCTGCAGCGCCAACGACACCACCTGACATGGGGGCATCGATGAACTTTCCTTGACCAGTTGAGTGTGCACTTTCAGCGACTTCGGCCGATGTCATCGGGTCGATGGTCGACGTATCAATAAAGAGACGCTCTTTAGTCACAGATCCGTCGGTCAATAGTGTAGGTGGGTCAAGCATAGCTTTGTACACGCCTCTGACATGCTGAGGCTCTGGCAGAGCTGTAATGATCACCTCCTGCTTACAGTCAGTCTCGTGGTACCTCTGAGGTGAAGAGCAAGGACGTGTATGTTGGTTGCATCAGAGGATTGGCTATGAAGTGTGAAATCAGGAGAAGAGCCACAAGTGACCCCAACTTAGATCATAAAATATTTGGAAAAGGAGTTGTATCATCATGCAAATTGTGTGACAGGAAGAGGTAGAACTCACAGCTTTCTCGGCGACCTCCCGGACGTTCTCAGCGACCCGCACACCAGTAGAGTGCTCCTCGAGAAACTCCTGGCTGGCGGCGGTGTTGATGTCGTGGACGAAGAGCGTGTCCTCGGCTGGGACTTTTGCTCGAAGGTTCTTAGCCATGGAGTAGCCTGTCAATAATTTTAGCGACCTGTGCGGTCATGTGAGCTTGCTGGTAGACCACATACCCATTCGTCCAAGGCCTATGAAGCCCCATGTAGCTTGCAGATCTCGGGTGCTTGAGAAGCATCTCCGGGAGCTCTGGCGAGCTGCACATGGTGCGACCCGCCTCAAGGGCGTCGACAATGCTGTGATGGTCCGCATTGTGAATGTCGAATATTAGGTCGGCTACACTGGTGGGCGAACGTTGCAGGTCGACCGCTGCAGTGGGATGCGGCTGGTGTCGGTCTCCGCACTCTTGGTATGTTCAGCCGAGGTCGCGAGAGCCAAAGGATGGGCCGCTCTACCGGCGACTGCGCCGCACACCCTGCAGTGTAGAGTACGATCCATAACGGTGGTATTGGAATACAGCTTGTGCCGAAGCGCTGCTGCTGTGAGCTGGGACGATCAAGGCATGATGGTGTGTGGCCTTGTAGGGAGAATGTCCGAACGGTTTTGTGGAAATTTTTGCGCCTACGCACGGACGTAAACTAGCGATATCGATTGACCTCGAGCACGAATCTTCGTGTCAAGGTCAAGACAACATTGACGGTTAATTATGGGAGACGCTCGAGGCTGGAGACCAATTCTATTTCAACTTCACAGATTTCTGGTGACTACGATGCACTGTCAATTGCTCGTCTGCTTTCCTGAGACTTGAGAACATGCACTGAGGATCAGCAAGACATCGAATCTACAGGCGTGATCTGTCAACAGCGCCGTCCAGACGTGACCACCTCAACGGTCCCTGAACTCTACTTTGATGCATCCCCGAGTTCTCAGTGAGAGAAACATTGTACCGTCGATGTGGCTTATTGACATGCGTGAAACCCAATCCAGCCCAATGCAATCTATGATCGAGAATGTAGATGTGCTCAGCTCATCTTCGGAAGCGCCGTCTGCTTGCGAAACTCGGAAAATTGCATCACCTTACTCTGATCACAACATCAATGGCTGTTTCATCTGCTGTCAAAGACGAACTCGCTGGGCGCGGCTTGCTGACATAGAAGCGATCACTTGTGTGACCCATCGAGGGCCGAAAGCAGTCGAGATCAGCACCTTTTTGCGCCGGGGCGGCTGAAAAGAAATGTTGCCGTCGTTAGTTTAGGTAATCAAAAGTCTTGTTAGCCGTCGCGTGCCACGAGCTAGCACAGTATCATTCACAATGTCTGAAACCACTGGATGCCTGTCTGACTGTGCAGTAAGACTGCTGGGTATCTCGATATATCTTTCCTAGTAAAATGCAATGCGAACTCCGAGGCAATGCTTGCTAAATCCAATTTTACTAACTCACGGTCTCATCTTCCTCATCTGACTCGTCTGAGATCTCGATTAGCTCTTTCTCTTTTGTCAAGTTCTTCCGCTTTGCGCCCTTGCCGGCTGAAGGTGCGCTCATGACGTCGAGAAACTGGTCGTTGCTGAGATTCGACCGTAGCTTTGGTGCATCGATGGTGGTCGGCAAGAAGAGGCGTTCAGAATAGGAGTCGTAAGCAAGTTCGGACTGCAATTGTTAGCACCGGGTCTACACTCGGGCGTTCGGCTACTCACATCCTCATCCGAGTACTGCAGCTTATGCCACAGCTCCACGTTCGCAGCCTTCATGAACTGTTGTGTCAGCTCGGCCGCTGTGTCGCCGCCAGCCTTCTTCACGGTGGGGATAAAAGCTTTGGGCTCTGCTAGCTTTGCGCCTTCTTGCGACTCCTTCTCGCGTCGCCGTGCGACTGCCTCCAATTGCGCGGAAGCATCGATGTGGTGGAATTGTGTTCGAAGCTGGACGACTCCATTCAGGCGTGTTAGATGAAGCTGGTCTTCAAATCGTCAGCATATAGTGATTGAAGTTGCGGCCGGATTGAGAGCTTACCATCGCGGAACGTTCCCAGCATGTAGCTTGGGCCTTTGCCATCATCATTCTGGATCTGTCCGCCAAAAGTCTGCGCATTGAGTACGTGGCCCTTTTCGTTGGCATCTTCGAAATGTGTAACGTATTCTTCAAAGTTGTCATCGTCCTCCGCTGTCACTACAGGCGCAGCAGGAGCCCCTTCGGCGCCAGGCCTGTTTCCAGTGCGCGGCATAGTTCGCTCGAACCCAGAAGCAATACCATAGGCCTTCTGCCCGAAACCCTTTGTCTTGCGCATGGCTTCGCCCCATCGTACACCGTTTACTCGGTTGTAGTTTTGGCGAATGTTGATGGGGACGTCAACTTCGATGAACCCAGACTCTTTCTTCATTCGCAATTCGGCAGGCAGGCTACCGGTAGCTTTCGTGAAGGGCTGGTCGGGCAGTCTGTTCAGATATTGCAGGACGTAAAGTTGCTGCTCCTCTGCTTCAGGTGTGATGTAGACATCGTACTCTGCAACCACTGGGTCGTCGTCTCCTACGTCTGATGCTGCTGTAGTGGCACTCACAGTTAGCAGGGGTAATCAAATTATGCGTAGGGTTCGAGGGTAAGCCTTACGAGCCATCGTTGTCGCAGGATTGTGATTGCGACAGTGAAGGTGACTGACTCGGCCGGCCAAAAGTTTCCCAAGTCGAGGTTCAAAAGCCCCCGCAACGCGAACTAGCGCGTTGCTTCGGGGATAATGACGGAATACATCCGAGAGCTTGAGGCGCTTGAGCAACACCATTCGCCTCTGTCCCTGCTACCTTGAAGGCCTCCAGAGGTGTAAATTGCTGAGGACTGTTCATCATGGCGTACATTGCACCCATTCACAAGCCGAGCAGCGTCCGCCATGCGCTGAAGCTCAACTTCTTGTGTGCAGAGGAAGACTGTCTGGTAGTCGCGTAAGCATGTCATGCTGGGTATTGATAGTGGTACTGATAGCTGTGTAGGAAGGCGAACAGGCTCGAGTTCTACTCACAGACTGCCGATGGCCTGGCTTTGCAGCACCAGAAAGCCGTCTATGGCAAGGTCACCATGCTCCAAAAGCTGCGCCCAGCCCTATCCCAGACCGACCACCTATTCGTGGGGACTGACCGGTTCACGTACTTTACCCTTTCGTGGGACGCCGAGGCCAAACAGCTGCAAACAGAAAAGTCCTTCGAAAGCGTGGCCGACAATGCTGCTCGAGAATCACAGACGGGCGAAAGATGCCATGTCGATCCCACCGGTCGTCTCATGACAGTCGAAGTCTACGAGGGCATAATCACAGTCATACCCCTGGTGCAAAGAGGCAAGAAGAGGAAGCAAATGGGACAGTCCGACATTGCTCACCTTGGGGAACCTGTGCCTGTTCGATTGTCGGAGATGTTCGTCCGCTCATCAGCCTTCCTAAAACCTGCATCGGTCGACGAGAACCCCAAGATCGCCCTCCTGTACGAAGATACTCACTCTCGTGTCAAGCTCAAGATCCGCGAAGTCAAGTATAGCGGAGACGAGGTCGAGCTTGAAGAAAGTGAGATTTGCAAGGCAGACATAGAGCTCGGTGCTAGCCACCTGATACCGGTGGAGGACCCTTCACACGGTCTGATCGTGATTGGCGAGACATCTATTGGACACTACGACGACGAAAGTGGCGAGCTACAAGTGGAGCCATTAGAGGAAGCAACCATCTTCGTAGCTTGGGAGAAGGTTGATTCGCAACGTTTCGTACTCGCGGACGACTACGGTCGTCTTTACCTCTTCATGCTTATTCTGGATGACAAGAATCAGGTCCAGTCGTGGAAGCTCGACGTCATTGGGCAAACTTCTCGTGCGTCAGTACTGGTCTATCTGGACGCCGGATATGTCTTTGTTGGCTCACATCAGGGTGACTCTCAAGTCATCAGGATCGCGGAGAAGTCGATGGAGGTTGTGCAGGTCTTCTCCAATATCGCGCCCGTGCTCGACTTCACAATCATGGATATGGGCAACAGGTCAGGGGAGGGCCAAACGAACGAGTATTCCTCTGGCCAAGCCAGGATTGTGACTGGTAGTGGCGCGTATCAGGACGGTAGCCTTCGAAGTGTCCGCAGTGGTGTCGGCTTGGAAGACGTGGGTTTGCTAGGGGAAATGGAGCACGTCTCCAACCTGTTCAGCCTGAAGTCGAAACCCTCCTCCGACTACGTCGACACACTGCTCGTCACTTTCGCCAATGAGTCACGCATCTTCAAATTCGATCCTCAGGGGGAGGTGGAGGAAATTGAAGAGTTTGCGTCGCTCGCCCTGGACGAGACCACGCTTGCCGCTGCGAACATCTCACAAGGGCGCATTATTCAAGTGACGAACGGCCGAGCACGTATATGCGACCTGGATGGCGGCATGGTTGTTTCAGAGTGGATGCCATTTGGTGGCCAACAGATCACTGCAGCCGCCATCAACGACAGCCATCTGCTGGTATCGTTGGGCGGCGTTACGGTTGTGTCTCTTACCCTGTTGGCACCGCCCTACCGCATTGGCGCATCAACGGCAGACGGTGGCTTGCAAGTCATCAAAGAGAAAGCTTTTGGAACGGAGAGCCAAGTTGCTTGCGTGGCGCTGCCACCCCGCTCCAGTCCTGTATGCTTCATTGGATTCTGGAAAGAGTCTGACCTCGCCATCTGTTCACTGGATACACTAGACGCCGTGAAGACAGTCCAGGTCTCAGAAGATTCTGTTCCACGCTCGTTGCTCCTAACACAAATCTTCTCAGAGCAGCCGCCTACCTTGTTTGCTGCTCTAGCAGATGGTAATGTGGTAACCTACTCATTTGACGCAGTGACCAACGAGCTATCTGGGCGGAAGAGTATTGTTCTGGGAACGCGCGAAGCTACATTCTGCGCCTTGCCCCGTGGCAATGGTCTGTTCAATGTCTTTGCGACATGCGAGCATCCTTCGCTGATCTATGGATCTGAAGGCCGCCTCGTGTACTCTGCAGTCACGGCAGAGAAAGCCACAACCGTTTGCCCCTTCAATTCTGAAGCCTACCCTGACTCCGTAGCTATCGCAACGCCAGAAGACCTCCGGATAGCCCTTGTCGACACTGAGCGAACCACTCACATCCAGACCCTCAAGGTCGACGAGACAGTGCGCAGGATAGCGTACTCACCCAGTCTCAAAGCTTTCGGACTCGGCACAATCAAGCGCGTTCTGAAGGGCGGAGAAGAGTTCATGATCAGCCACTTCAAGCTCGTTGATGAAATTCAGTTCAAGGAGCTCGACACATATCCGCTCAACGAAGACGAACTGCTCGAATGCGTCGTCCGCTGCACTCTTCCTGACGGCTCAGGTGGAACAGCTGAGCGCTTCATCCTCGGCACGGCATACCTGGACGACCAGCAAGCGACAGAAGAGCGTGGCCGCATCCTAGTCCTGGAAGTCACGGCTGAGCGCTCACTCAAGCTCGTCACCTCTCTCGCCGTCAAAGGTGGATGTCGTTGCCTTGCGATCTGCGATGGCAAGATAGTGGCTGCACTCATCAAGACAATCGTGGTCTACAACCTCGAATTCCGCACACAATCAAAGCCCGAACTCGTCAAAGCCGCAACTTTCCGTTGCTCCACGGCGCCCATCGACATCACTGTCAACGGCAACGTCATTGCGATAGCCGATCTGATGAAATCCCTTGTCATTATCGAGTACAGGCCGGGCGAGGAGGGGCTCAGTGACAAGTTGACTGAGGTCGCAAGACACTACCAGACGACGTGGGCGACAGCCGTCGCGGAGGTAGACACAAACACATATCTTGAGAGCGATGCTGAGGGAAACCTGGCGGTGTTGGTGCGCAATCCGGAAGGCGTGACAGACGACGACAAGAAGCGGCTACAGACCACGTCTGAATTGCTGCTCGGAGAAATGGTGAACAGGATACGTCGCATCGATGTCATCGCGCACTCAGATGCTGTAGTCGTACCCCGGGCGTTCATGGGGACCGTAAGTTTCCTGCTTTCCATCACCTGGACTTGGCTTAGTGCTAATGCTTTGACAGGTCGAGGGCTCCATCTACCTCTTTGGTCTGATCCAACCCGCGTATCTCGACCTCCTCATCACACTGCAGAGTAATCTTGGTTTGATCGTACCGGCACCAGGCAACATGGAGTTCGCGCGGTACCGAGCTTTCAAGAACCAAGTTCGGGAAAGCGAAGAGCCGTATCGTTTCGTAGACGGCGAGCTGGTAGAGAAGTTCTTAGACCTGAATGAAGAACAGCAAATAAAGGCGTGCGAAGGGCTAGGGCGAGATGTTGAAGAGGTGAGGGGGCTGGTTGAGGGCTTGAGACGATTGCACTAGGGATGTCCAGAGCACGACATAGAAGATTATACGAATGCACGGACAGGGTGACGAAGCAATTATGTTCCCATCTGAGCACCTATCTCAACGTCCCATCGTCATCACTCCTCTCACTGCTACTGCTCCTCCGCCTCACGCTATCAAGCTCATGCCTACTCCCCACATCATCCTCGTCTCTAAACTCATTCGCCTCGCCCTGCGCATTCAGCAGCGGTCCATCCCCATCACTATCTCCCGTCCCAGCGACCTTGTCCTTGACCCCCTCCTCCCGCATCCCCACAATCACACTGCCCGCGACCAACATAGCCGCCCCCAGCCACCACAGCCCCGGCAAGCTCTCGGAAAAGATGAGCGCGCTCATGACCGCCGTGATCATGAAATTTGCACTCGTATTGATAACACTGACGCGCACAGTCGAGCTCGCGAGCGTAAGCGCGCGCGTAAACAGACCCCACATGACGGCGTTGAAGAGCAGGTTCATTCCGAAGAAGACGGCGCGGAGTGCATATTCGAAGAAGGCGCTGCGAGGGTCGAGGCCGAATGCGGAGGCTAGCGAGGCGGACCAGGAGGATGTGAGCTCGGTTGTTGTGCTGGTGGATCGGTTAGATTGTTTGCGCGGAGCGAGGGAAGATGGGCTGGCTTACAGCTTTGCGAAGACGCCGTTGAAGGCTGCGCATGCGCCGCTCGTGATGGCGAAGAAGAGCCAGGCTGATTTTGTGGGCGGTGACATTGTGGGTTTGGGCTTGTGGAGTGGTGAGGTGACGTGTGGTGAGCTTTGAGGTCGTCGCTGCAGGGAGCGGACTTCCGAAGGCTTAGTCAACGTTGAAGAATGTCAATGATGTAAGTTTACGAAGAGCAGCATGTTGAGTTTGGAGTATATCTGCTCAAGTATTGATTCTGCAATCTTCATTGTTTTCTGCACATGTGCATGTAGCCATCCTCCACGTAAATCATGATGTGCGCCGTAACCCCAACTCCAGACCATGCCCGTGGTATCGAGGTCCAACCTTGTTCCATAACGCCCAATCAATGTCAAATAGGCCTCCAGCTAGCCCAGATTCTGTTCTCCTCGGCGAGCTCGTACATGATGTCCTCCTTCTATGTGCTCTTCTCTCGCATTCTCAATTTCTCACGGGCCCTTTGTTCTTCGACCTTCTTCGCATCGCCTAGATCAACTCAGCAAACACAAAGTATAAGCAAAGCCAGAGACTCAGCTCTAGGCTTCGCCCGGACGCTTCGTGTTACAGCTGACGATCTTGACGCGATCGGCGTGGACCTGGTTCGTGTTGTCGAGCTTGAAGTTGATGTCCTTGATAATGAACGTCCAAACGTCGTCGCAGAAGCGGTAGGTGTCAAGGTGACCCTGCGCGCACATGTCAATACTCGCCGCTGCTGCCTCCAAGCTCCCTTCGAGCTACTGCGAAGTCACCGCAGACGCACCTTGAACGTCAGCCTCGCCTTGACCTTGTCTGCGAGCACATCGGCAACCGCCTTGTCGAAGTTTGTGAGGATCTTCATGGCCAGCTGGGGCTCGATGCGGCGCTCGGTGATCAGGTTGTCCAGCGTGTCCGTGAGGGCACCGCCCAGACTGTCTGCTGTCAGCCCACGTGCTCCGTGCCACTCTCCCAGGTGCGCGCGCAGTACCTGCTTCGGCGGTAGAGCTCGTAGTACTTGAGTTCGGCGGCCATGTTGACTGCGACAAGGTGGTGGGCTGTTGTTCGGGCGACGGGTGATTGCCTAGGTGGAAGCCGACGACGTACAGGTCCACAGGTGGCTTGGCAGCCGCACGGACATGCCCAGGTGCGGCAGCCATCATCATCGCAGCTTCCAGCGCTTGAAGGAAGCTCCCGTCTGCCACTCTATCCATCCATCACCGATCCCACGACTATCTGCGACGATGGTACTCACATACGGCACTGGCGGTGCGACCGCCGCCTTGACCGTGGTCGGCTTGTGTATGTTCCGCGACGATGGGGCCGCAGGCAATAGCTAACGGCGGACAGACATGCTGTTTAACGGCGAGGGCGAAGCATTCAACGTCGGAAGATTCCTCGAATCCATATCGCCATACACGTGGGCCAGCTTAGGCATCGGACTGTGTATCGGTCTTTCCGTCGTGGGGTCGGCGTGGTACGTTTCCACAGGCGCCAGGAACTGGACAGGCTCTAACGGCACCGCAGGGGTATCTTCACGACCGGTGTGTCCATCGTCGGTGGTGGAGTCAAGGCTCCCAGGATACGAACGAAGAACCTGATCTCAATCATCTTCTGCGAAGTCGTCGCTATCTACGGCGTCATCATGGCCATCATCTTCTCCTCGAAAATGCAGTCTGTCAACGACACTGAGAAGTTGTACTCTGGCTCCAACTACTTCACCGGATACGCGCTGTTCTGGGCTGGTCTCACAGTTGGCATGTGCAACCTGATCTGCGGTGTCTCTGTTGGCATCAACGGAAGTAGCGCGGCGTTGGCAGATGCTGCTGATCCTTCGCTGTACGTACCTACGAGCCAAGTCCTCAGTCCATTTACTAACAGATCCACAGTTTTGTCAAGATTCTTGTTATCGAGATCTTCAGTTCCATTCTTGGTCTCTTCGGTCTTATTATTGGACTGCTCATGCAGAGTGCCGCAAAGGACTTCGACTGAGCGCTGAAAATGTTTGCGCAATGAACGAATGCAGCCAAGAGTGAAGAAGCTGATAGATCGAAGAGGCGCAGCGGAAGCGAGTGCGTATCACATTAAGCACCCCGAGGTAGAGGGCAGTTTTGGGAAGGATTCGCCGAAGTTGTACGATGTACATACATAGAGAGGGCGCTTGTATAATGCATGTATCACGAGCGAGCATTGGCGTTAGATATCAAGTTTCAATTACGGCTCAACTACAAGAAATCATGTATCTTGGAAGCTGCTTAGGCTACGGATACCCAAAAGCCCAGGCCCGTGCGCAGAATACAAATGATAGATGCGGGACAAGAGCTCCACCATCAACGTCACCTGTTCACCAACACGAGCACCATGCAGTCAAAGCTGAAGGCCGCTATTCTGATCGTGTCAGAGACGGCATCTCAAGATCCTTCCACCGATAAGTGCATACCAATTCTCAAAGACGTCTTCGGCAGCTCCGGGAGCGACCAATGGGATGTCGCAGAGACCGAGATCGTGCCAGATAGTGTACTCGCAATCCAGAAGACAATCAGGAACTGGACTGACAGAGCCGATCCTATCAACTTGATCATCAGCAGTGGAGGGACCGGATTCGCTACCAAAGATGTCACACCAGAGGTACAACGTGCAGCGTGCAGTGCATGGTCCACGGCTGACGATGCGGGCAGGCGATTACACCGCTGATAGACAGACATGCCCCAGGACTTGTGTGAGTGGCACTCTCGTGTTAACTATGAATCTCATGACTAACTTCACTTGAGCCATGGCATGCTCACAATATCGTACGCTGTTACGCCTTGTAAGCAGTCACTCTTACTATTTATGGATTTACGTGCTGATCGCCGCCAGTCGCTTTGATGGCTAGACCAGTAGCCGGAACTCGAAAGCAATCCATTATCATTACTCTTCCCGGGTCACCAAAGGGTGCTAAAGAGAATCTAGAGGCAGTCATCAAGTTGCTACCACACGCGTGCATACAAGCTGCCGGTGCAGATTCTCGGCCGCTTCACGCAGGCGGCGTGAAGAAGCTGGAGAGAGAAGCTGGCATCTCTCCCGGCGCGACGCCCTCAGGTACATCAATTTACCCTCCCTGAAGACTGAATTAATTCAACAGAAGCAGGCCCAACCAGCGGTTGCCACCACCATCACCATCATGGACACTCACACGGCCATGGTGGCCATGCAGCAGTGCAGCCACGCACAAAGCCTGAGGGCCGACCGCAATCAAATGACCCTAGTGCAGGACCTACTCGTAGATATCGATCGAGCCCGTATCCCATGCTTGCAGTCGACGATGCACTGAAGTTGATCGCAGAGCACACGCCTGCCCCGATCGTTCAAAAGGTCCCTGTCAACATGGAGCTTGGAGGCTCCGTCCTTGCCGAAGACGTCAAGGCTACAGAGTCTGTACCCGCGTTTCGAGCCAGTATTGTAGACGGATATGCTGTCAAGATCCCTGCCTCTGGCAAGTTTGAAAAAGGAGTCTATCCCGTTGCGATTGTTTCGCATGCCCAAGCAGGCAATGTGAAGGAATTGAAGGAGGGAGAAATCGCCCGTATCACTACTGGTGCACCGCTTCCGCCTGGTGCCGATGCAGTTGTCATGGTCGAGGACACGGTGTTGAAGAGCCAGACAGACGACGGCAACGAAGAGAAAGAAGTGGAAATCTTGACAGACGAGATCAAGGCTGGAGAGAATGTGCGCGAAGTTGGCAGTGATGTCGAAGAGGGTGATACGATCTTGAAGAAGGGTGAAGGGGTGACAGTCGTCGGTGGTGAGTTCGGACTCCTCGCATCAGTGGGCACAAGGGAAGTCTCTGTCTACAGACGACCTGTCGTCGGGGTCTTGAGCACAGGTGATGAGATCGTTCCGCACGACAGGGAAAGCCCGCTGCAACTGGGTGAAGTTCGAGACACGAACCGCCCAACCCTCATCACAGCTGCTCGCAGCCACCGCTTCAAAGCCGTCGATCTCGGCATCGTGTCAGACAAGTACGTCCACCATCTCAAGTCAATTTTAGTTGTACCACTAACCACCTAGACCCGGCTCACTCGAGCAAACTCTCCGCGACGCCCTCTTGAAATGCGACATAATCATAACCTCAGGCGGCGTCTCCATGGGCGAACTCGACCTTCTCAAACCCACCATAGAGCGCTCGCTGGGCGGCACGATCCACTTTGGCCGCGTAAACATGAAGCCAGGCAAGCCAACCACCTTCGCTACAGTGCCCACCAAAGCACCTGATGGCACGCGCATCTCCAAAGCTATATTCTCGCTCCCGGGCAATCCGGCATCGGCCGTGGTGTGCTTCCATCTCTTCGTCTTGCCTGCGCTACACCAACAGGCTGGTATTTCGCCTGTTGGCCTACCCAAGGTAAGCGTGCTGCTTGATGAGGATGTTAGAATGGACAGGGGAAGGCCGGAGTATCATCGTGCGCTTGTCATCGCAAAGGATGGGGCGATGTATGCTTCGTCAACCGGAGGGCAGAGGAGTAGTAGGATTGGCAGCTTCAAGGGGGCCAATGCGTTGTTGGCCATGCCGATGGGCGAGGGAACCCTGAAGAAGGGCGAGAGGGTCGGGGCGCTACTGATGGGCAAGCTGGGTTAGACACTACATTCGCACTCAGCATGCCGATCAGATCTCCACTGAGACAGATCATCCTCCATCGCGCCTCCTAGGTCAATCCATGCGCCCCAGCAGCCACAAGATTGACAGTCTCAACCCCATACAGCCTCTTGCGTGCAACACGCACACCAACCCATGCTGCTTGATTCAACTTGCCCCTTTGAGTAAGCGGGCACTTGCCTGTCGATTCCAGCGTGTCACCTGTCACTGCCCCTTTCGGCGCGTTGCGGCGCGTTGAGCTGCACACGCCGACAGCGCTTCGGGCAGCAGCGTACAGGTGTGAGCGTGGCATGCAAGCTAGACCTGGTTGACTCCACTCGCGCCGGGCTCGCAGCCGTAATACTGTCATTACAAACTTGAGGGCTATACGCACCAGCAGGAATAGCCCCGTCGTCGCTCTACTGAGCATCGCAAGCCTCGAAAGCGAGACCGGCCACCCATCTGCTGATCATTCTGAGCAGGCGATGCAAAATCATCCCTGTCCACCGCGCGCATCCTTGCATCACGTCTGCCACGCTACCCAACCTCCGCAAGTTACTCTGCGCAGCGGTAGCCAGCACGACAGCCAGCGCCTAACAGTTATTTCCACTCCCCCTCTCTAGTGGAGGGACATGCATTGACAGAGCGCAGATCCGTGGCTCGCTAATGAGCTGTTCCACGACGTCTTGGGGTGCTGTTCCACGCCGTTCCAGGATGCTATTCTAGCCCCGCGGCGCTGCTGCTGGGATGGCGGCTGATGCGAGACAGGGAAGCGTGGGAGATCGCTGGAGCGAGTTTGTCCGCAGTCGCAAGACTATGCGGGGTTGCGCAGGGTATGGGGCGATGCGTGGGTGCTCCGAGGGACTCGCGTGTGGTTGCTAGGTATTGGGGCACGGGTGTGGTGATATACTTGGCTGGAATGGGAGTTTGAGTAAGCAAAAGTACCATTGTGTTGAGGGTTGATGAGGGTGCGAGGCAGCGAGTGGAAGTGTCGGCCGGGTGCGTGTAAATGCCGGAGAAGCAATTGTTGAGTCGCTCATGCATGTTGTTGATTGTTTGGTTTCACTTGCGTTACACGGAGTGGAGGGAACGCCTCGGCTTCTGTGGAGATCTTGATATTGTCCGAGTCAGCTTGCCTCAGGTACCATTGCTGGACTGTGTCCGCAATAAATCATGTATGCTGTGGCCGGTCCAACTCACACCTTGACAGTTCGTGGTCCGAACACGATGTGTCATCTGTGAATCCACTGCGAATGTCTCTATCTAGTGTTAATTCAGACCAGAGCCAAGACGGCTCATTCGCGGGACGTTGACCTTGATAATCGTAGTGTACTTCGTATATGTACCTGTAGTTCTATTGTCAAAGGTGAAGCTGATAAACTTTATCGACAGGCGGGGCAGCGTTGATCTTCTACAGCCTGAGAACGGTGCTGCAGCATCGCGATCTTGCGTCGTATGAAATGGTAGTGTTCCGTGTCTTCGCGTGCCTGATAGACTTTCCATCTAATCAATAATGAAGCGCGTGGGGCCCGTCAGCCAAGAGGCGTTGTAATCTGTGCGGGAGCTGCCGGATTAGGCTGCTCGCAGAAGCGCATTAGACAGGTCACGGGTGGGGTCCGAGAACTCGACAGTGACATGTCGAAGCTCGAAGGCGACGTCAAACGCAGGCACAACCTGGTCGGGGACGGAAGGCGTGTCGACACTACGCTAGCGGGTGCCGACCATCCAATCATCGGCCGCTCAAGGCTCGGACGCGCCCCTAACCCTCAGACAAGTCACTCCTGGGCATCATGTCTCAGACCGTAGCCTACGAGCACAGCCATTACGAGCCTTGTCTCTGTTTTGCTCAATCCCTTGTGCGGCTAAAGCGTCCAACAGCTTTCATGGAGAGGCTCCGCAACCGCAGGACTGCAGCAACAAGCACCTTTGTTCGCCCGGACTTTGCAATCCCCATCGGCTCATCCAAGCACAACATCGCCCTGTCCGAAGTCGACCAGTACTGCCGCATACCACAAGCCTCAGGTCGAGCCTCCATCGACTAGCGTGTTAGCTGCGTTACCCCAGCGAACCGCTACGGGGATGTCGCACTGACGTTGCCGGGTTTGATGACATGTTTCACACGCGCGACGAGGAATACCTGTCGAGGCCGCTGCCTCCCAGGTAAAAGGGTCGTACAGGGCGCTCCACGCATAATAACATTGCAAACTCTCTTTTCCTGATACTTATTTCGGAGCCTTGTACGCATTTGTAGCGCAACGTAATCGCCTTAGGGTTTCGTTCCCTCGTCCCATCTTCAGATATATTCCACGACTCTGGTTGAGTACGGATCTTGACCCCCTGGTTCCTTATAAGTCATTCTCTTACAATATTTTCTAATATGCTGTCGCGATCATACCTCATCTCGTTCGTTTACGCGACATCTTTGGTTGCTGCAGCGAGTCAGAAATGCTACAGCCTGACCGGCACACTACTCAACGACAGCTTCGCGCCATGCAACCCGACTGCTAGGCATAGTGGCTGCTGCGCCACAAACAAGACGTCCGGAGCTGATATCTGCCTGGATAGCGGCTTATGTACGGCGACGCAGAACGAGTTCATGGGTACCATATGGCAAAATGGGTGTACCGATTCCACTGGCAACGCGACCGAATGTCCACAGCTTTGTCCTGGCAGTACGTCCACTCACGTCAATTCTTTTCAATCAGATGATTCGCTAACAGAGTCACAGTGAACAAAGATTTCGATGGGCTGACACCAGTATCTGCGTGGAACATTCAAACATGTGACTTCGGCACTTATTGCTGCAGGGGAATTGATGACCGGCACAACTGTTGCAACAACTCGACGGCACCGAGAATCACAACAACTTCCATCGGTGCCTTTCAGTTGCAGACTTCTACGGCTGTATCATCATCGACCTCGTCCACATCGTCTGCAGCAGCGACTGCGACCAGCTTATCATACGACCGCGAAGCGACTCTCACATCCAATGCAGATGTTTGCAAGAGCGAAAAGCACAAGACGACTATCATCGGCAGCGTAATTGGAGGTGTACTCGGGACTGCCATGGTGTGCCTGTTGGGTGTTGTATACTGGATGGCGAAGCGAGAGCAGCGACAACGCAAGTTGAAGGAGCACTACGAGAAGCAGTTTGCGCAGACCTGGGCCTATCGCAAGGCCCTGGCGACCAGCACGACGTCGGTAAAGACTGAGTCTCACCACGAAGAGTTCATGGAAAAGTCGAGCGGAAGCGAGGTATCGTGACGACAACGTGGAGGTGATGGATGTGTTTCTGCTGTATGCTGACCGCGCGGGTCCACGTCGCCACAATGACTAATGAGGGGGCGTTGGGTGTGTTGGTGGGATGGGCTTCGGTCCTTTTCTTGTTTTCGAGCGGATACCCTATTCTTATCGGCGGTCGCACAACATCAGAACTCAGAGCTGCGATACATCAGGCTATCTACATCAGTTTTGCTTTAGTTCTGGTGACGTATCTCGCATACTTGCTTCGTTCGCGCCAGATTGCCGACGGCGTTAGGGTCAGCGGGAAGGCAAGCCCCGCGGACAAACACCACAAATGGTTCTCAATCAGTGCTGGTGTGACACAGGTGTCGGTACATTATCAAGTGTCAACATTTCTCAACACTTATAAAAGGGTGTTGAGAATACCTGTCACAGGATGCTATATAGAGTGCACATATCTTCCTCTTGTATCTATCAGTATCTTTTGTCTGCCCCTAGACTACCCCTTCGAAGTAGCCTTTAACCCACATGTAAAGAGGGTTTAGGGGGCTTATTTATGGTAGTGTTGGTATTTTACCAGCGCTTTTTTCAGTCCTGCCATCAACAACCCGTATCTGCACTTCGGCCGAGGTCTGAACGGAATCAGGGGTGACGTACAGGCCGGCCGCCGCATGACGCGCTAAGCGGGTGCGGCTCTAGGGAGTTGGGCGCGCCGAGATACCATGACAGTTCCTCGACATCACAGAAGAAGCATCATAATTAGCAAAGCTGCAGCGTATAGGCTTAGGAAGACTTCTGGAGAGTCACGTTATCTGCGACAGGAGAGCTCTGTCATTTGTAGTGGTATGCGGGGACATGTTTAATCAGCCCTTTGTGTGAAAGCGGATGGTCGGGGTTTAAGTGACACCCAACTGGAGACGGCTAACAAGAACAATCAATTGCGCAATGACGCGGACCGAAAGATCCGAAGGTGAGATCAAATAAGACAGTCTGCAGGTACCTGCCATTTTTGCACTTGGTTCTACCACCTTGCTGTCTCGATTGACGCATTCTCGGGTCTCGAGTCTCGAGTCTCTACCGAACGCCTTCAAGCACAGACTCCTCCACACGTACAGAACTCTGACTGCCAATCCATGGAGAAAGACTATGAGTCTGGCCGCCCCGGCCGCCCCGGCCGTATCTCGCACTTCCAACGAGTCCTCCACCAAGGAGTACTCAACGAAGATATCATCAATCATCCCTATAAAGGGACAGGAACCGAGAGTGACCCTTTCTTGGTCATTTGGATCGATGATGACCCGGTGAACCCGATGAACTACCCATTGGCTATGAAATGGGCAATCACCATCCTTGTCGGGATGGCAACGCTTGCTGTGGCCTTCGCTTCCTCAGCATACTCCGGTGGTGTCGCTGAGATCATGCACGAGTTTCATGTCCCACAGATCATTGCCACACTGGGCATTTCATTATTCGTCGTTGGGTTTGCTATCGGGCCACTGCTATGGGCTCCAATGAGTGGTGGGTGCCTCACTACGACTAAAGTCTGTGACCCGTAGGTTGCTAACACAGTTCAGAACTTTTTGGTCGCCAGTACCTCTTCATCGGCACTTATATACTCCTCACTGTTTTCAACGCTGGTGCCGCTGGCTCCAAAAATATGGAGACTCTAATTGTGTTGAGATTCTTCGCTGGCTCATTTGGTTCCTCACCATTGACCAATGCGGGTGGTGTCATTGCAGACATGTTTCCTGCGTCTCAGAGAGGCTTGGCCATGACTGTTTTCGCTTCTGCTCCTTTCCTAGGACCTGTCATAGGTCCTATTGGTAAGTACTATCATCATGTAACAGCAGTGTTTTGAGAACAGAATTAACACTCGGCAGTCGGTGGTTTCGTCGGTCAAAGCATCGGCTGGCGCTGGGTCGAAGGCGTCATGGCCATTTTCACCGGTGTTCTCTGGTTACTCTTCACCCTCCTCGTACCCGAGACCTACGCCCCAGTCCTGCTCCGTAAGCGCGCCGCAGCACTATCGAAACGGACTGGACAAGTCTACAAGAGCAAGGCCGACATTGATGAGGGCACCCAGTCCATCGGCTCAGCATTCAAGACGGCTCTCACCCGCCCATGGATCCTTCTCTTCAGCGAACCCATCGTCCTGCTCCTATCCGTCTATATGGCCGTCATCTACGGAACATTATACATGCTTTTCGGTGCATTCCCCATCGTCTTCCAGCGGGGTCGCGGATGGTCGCAAGGTATCGGCGGCCTTGCATTCATCGGTGTGGCTGTTGGCATGATCATAGCCGTCATCTACGCGCTCTGGGACAATAAGCGCTACAACAAAGTCATCGACGCCTCGCCCTCTGGCATTGCTGCGCCTGAAGCTCGACTTCCACCTTGCCTTGTAGGCTCCATCGCTTTGCCCATCGGTCTCTTTTGGTTCGCATGGACCAATTCACGAAGTGTCCACTGGTCCGTCAGCATCATAGCTGGAGCGCCTTTTGGCTTCGGTATGGTCTTGGTCTTCCTCTCGATTATGAACTACCTCATCGACTCGTATCTGATTTACGCGGCGTCTGTTCTTGCTGCCAACTCAGTCTTGCGGTCACTGTTTGGTGCCTCGTTCCCGCTCTTCACTCCCTACATGTACCATAATCTGGGCATACATTGGGCATCGTCTGTTCCAGCGTTTTTAGCATTGGCATGTGTTCCTTTCCCATTCCTATTCTACAAATACGGCGCTGCGATCCGCAAACGTTGTAAGTTTGCAGCAGAGGCCGCAGCATTCTTAGAGAAGCTAGAGGAGACTGATTAGACAAAAGTTTCAGAAGCACATTAGATACCCAGAGATAGACTTAGAATCAAAATTCAATTAAGCAATGAATATATGTATTTAGTGTCTTTGAATGTCTATGCGCACCGAACATCCTGTGCGCGTACGATTGTGAACTGACATGTTGAGCCTGCGAACACTCTTGGCATACTCATCTCGATAGACTGATGCTATCCTAGTTGATCGTCTACAACATCATGATGCGGATCTATCGATGCGATATAGACATGCAAGGCGGAGTCAGTACAGGTGCACCCTCAACACACTCAAGCTTCGCTCAAACGCAAGAGTTTTAGCTCTCCGTCACAGCCCCCTCCTTCCCCTCCCCAACAACCATATCCTTCGTCTCCCCATTCGGCTCGGCAGCCTCTTCCTTTGGCTTTTCACCCCTACTCCCCCTCTCATCCTTACTCCTCTTCGGCTTGTCTGCCTCCTCGGGGAACAACTCCTTGAACAACTCCGGCTGAAACCTGTCGATCCTCTTCCAGGTCTCCCTCCACAACTGTTCCTTCTCAGGCTCCTCATCCGGGGACACGAGGTATCCTCCGTTACTCAGCACGAGCAGCATATTCTTCAGATTCTCGCCAACCGCCTCCTCCATGTCGCCCTGCCCACTGTTGACCAGGCGGTCCATGATCGTGATGATTTTGAGCCACAGGTCGAGGAACTCCTTGTCGGCTTCGACTTCGCTCAGCAACACGAGGTAGTGCAGGAACACTTTTGAGAGGAGGGTGGCAGCGCGGACGCGTGTCTCGCTCATGCCGAGCGGGTCGGATTGGTAAACTTCCGGCTTCAGGAGAGAGGTTATGAGAGGCATGAGGACCGAGGAGAAGATTGCGGTCCATTCTTTGTGGTCGGGGGAGGCGAGGTCAGAGGATAGTAGGGTACGCTGGATGGAGGCGAAGGCGTTGGAGCGGATTTCGCGGCAAGGATTCAGACATTGGTGAGCCAGGGTCTTGAGGATGGGTGACCAGTATGCTGTCCATGCTGTGTCATGTCAGCTTCGGACTTCCCGAGTGGCGATGGAGATGGGGTAGCTTACCTTCGGTCGTTTCGAGATGTGAATGTTCGATGAATGCTGGTACCTTGGTCGACAGCTGGAACACGATAGTCATAGCTTTGCTACCACGGACAACAACTTCCGTGCTCTCGGGCTTCTTGGGCTTCTGGCCCTTGCCACGCCGAGCAGCCTGGTCGTGCAGCTGTTCTTCGCGAGCACCGACCTGTGCTTGCGTAGCGAACTCATTGAGCAGCGCAATTGTAGCCTCGTAATTGTCCGCAGTGATGCAGGGCTGTGGCGAGGTAGCGAGGTCTTCGACAAGCTGGAAGACATCACCAGCAGCTTCAGGTACGGCACACAGTCGGCTCAGGATCGTCCAGAAATCCGGAGAACCTGCTAATTCGCTGCGGAGAGCAACTGGGCCCTTGCAACATTCCGACAAGCCGTGGAGGAGCGGTTGCGAGCACTCCTTGAGCAGTGTTTCATCAAAGCTTGAGAACGTGTGCAGAAGCACAGGCGCGCGGACGAAGTCATAATCATTGCTGGCCTTGAGCAAACCGAGGAGGTAGTAAACAGATCGAGCGATTACAACTGGGTGGTGCTTGGGCGCGTCACGAATGACACTGGACAGAGCATCTGTGACGTCCTTCGCAAGCTCCTTGACAGTTTCTTCGTCACGCTGCGCAAGGACGGTCGCCAGCTCGAGGACGAAGACTAGGCTCGGGTCATAGATGGGTCCTTTACCCTTGACCTTGTTGCCGTTCGGTCGAGGCGCTTGGCCAGGTACTTCTGGCTTGACCACAATCACCCTTGGCTCACCATCCTCTGGGATGTGTTCCAGCAGCGACTGAAGCAGTGACCGGAGAGCCTCGACGGGAAGCTGACTGATGTTTGCGAGTATGTCTTCGAAATGACACTCCTTGACTGTGTCGACAGTGCAGAGGGTGTACTCGATCTCCTGGTCTGAAGGTTCTGGCGGCTCGTCGTTCGCGAAACTCGACACGTACGATGTGAAGGCGGAGAAGATACCTGCATCAGTCGGGCGTTCGGCTCGATCGATAACCTGAGCAGGATTCTGGAGAGGTATCGGAGGTAATGCGAGTGTCTTCTGGAAGGACAGGAAATAAGGCGGGAGTAGGGAGTTGATGAAGAGGTTGACCATGATACGGATGAGATGGTTCCATCCATCTCGTATGCCGGCTTCATTGCCCTTGATGACCTGGAACAAGACGACAGTTGCCAATTGTGCTCTACCGTCTCGACCAAAGCGTACTGCGGTCTCACTGACCATGACGCTCTTCTTATCGGCCTGGACCTCGGTGTTGAGCGAGGTGCTGGGTGGCACGTCAGGTGCCAATGTACTGATGTACGAGAGGCTGGAGATGATGCGGTCTAATGCATCACTCAAGCCATACTTTGCGGCTATCTGCGCGCATTGGTCGAAGCCCAGAACGACACGCGAGAACACAGCGTCGTCAGTCGCCGACATAAAGACGTAAGACAGTGTGGCCACAATTGGCTTCCATGTTGCCGCGAACATGTCTGCGTCGAAGATGTTGGTGTCGCAAATGATCATGTTTGAGGTCGACTGGACTTTGACAAGCAGCTCTTTCCAAGCATGGTCATAAGCGTTGCGGTCGTTGTGCTCTTCAGGTAGTATGATCTCGCGCGTCTTGATAGAGTCGTAAATGGCTTGCAGATACTCAGGATCGAAGTTCTTGTTGTCATTGACGCCGCGGAGGTTCTTCGCGAAGTCCTCTACTTTCATGCGCTTGTCGCCTTTGAGGTTGGGATTGTGCTGATCGGTGTTCAACATGATGACGGCATAGGTAAGTACAAAGATTGCGTCCTTGTTGGCAATCTCTTCTGGTTGCGCCGCGTTGTAGTACTCTTCCGAGAAGTCTGTGATAATACGCTCGATGAGCGCAGATTCACCGGGAAGACGGAATGTGTGCAAGAGCAACCTCAAAGCTTCATCTAGGCGCAGCCCGCGGAAGTCGAACAGCTTCATGAAAGCCTTCAGTATAGGTTCGTTATCGCGCTTTGAGAGGAATTCCCCGAGGACCTTCTTGTCGACTCGAGTTGTGCCTTTGACGAACTCGGCAATGGCCTTAGGGTCATCTGGATCAGAGATGATACCTTGTGATACTAGGAATGCGATGCCAGCCTTTGGCTTCTCGTTGAATTTCGTGGCTCCCTGAATGATGATCTTCTTTCGCAGTCGCTGCTCGCGCAGTGCTTGTGCGCTTGTGAATCCTTCGGTCACCGGATCATCATCCAGACGATCAGCGATCGACTGCACGAAGCCAAGTAGTGCGTCCAAGCATAGTGGAGGTACGTTGACTGTGCTCCATGTCGCCGAGTCAGGGAATGCGTTGCGCGAGAGCAGACCAACAATGTCCATGCAGACATCTCCGCGATCGATCTCGCAATCGTAGTTGACAAACAACTCAGCCATGAACGAAGGTATCCGCACAAGCCCACCAAGGTTCTCGACCATAGCTTCCCTGGCATCAGGCTTACGAGCACCGCCCTCGAGACCAAGCTGCCGCCTGTCCTTGACAGGCACTGGCGTTGCGCGGCCACTGCCAGGTGCTTGTTGTGTTGCGGATTTGATCAAACTCGGGGCTTGTGGTACACCCTCGTACAAAGACTGGTCAATCCCGGGCTCTTGAGGTATCTCGACTCTTGGGAAGAGACATGCTACCACGTAAGAGAGGTAGAGTTCTTGTTGCAGCTTCAGCACATATCTGCAAGTAGCGAGGAGGGTTCCTGCGACACGGAGAGACTCATTCAGCACAGCCATATTATCTGATCTGACGAGCTGGAACAGGTGTCTGCAGAGCGTATCCTTTGCGAGGTTCGCAAGACTTGGGTGGCTCGCTATCGAAGGCCCGGCAACTTCCAGCGCAACGTCGACGATGCGCAACGCCATAACGCGCATGGTATCTGTATGTTGGCGGTCATGCGGGTCCAGCAGATCGACCAGGACTCTGAAAAGCTCTCGTATAGATGGCAACGAGTACGGCCTTATTTCAACAGGGGCCTTTTCGCCTTCTACAGTTGCGGGCAGATCTAGTGTGCTGCTCGCTGGGTTGGCTGCATCTTCGCGGTCCTCTGTGCCTGCTTCTGAGTTGCCAGGTTGTTGCGGTGACTCGACTTTGGACTGCGCAATGTCGCCCTGCCCGTTCGCAGAGGGATCCATCTTTAGGCCGTCCGGCTCGTTCTGTCCTTCCAGCTCTTCATCCAGAGCCTCGAGCTCCTCTGGCGACTCGATCTCTAGCGTCTTCAGCCTGCGGAAGATGACCTGGCACATAGAGACCATGGCAATTTCCGCGGAGCGCCGAAGCAGCTCAGAAAGCCTCGCTTGACAGCACATGCTCAGGCCTGTCTCCATCATCTCGCAGACGCTCTCATCTCCCAAGACCTGTCCGCCAGGCCCTGATATCATGCCCTCCATCAGCTTCAATATACGCAGGAGTACGATCTCGTCGGCGGCCGAATCGCTCGCTTCGAAGCGACAATGTGTGATGGCGGAAGAGAGCTGTTGCATCGCTTCTGGCAGGCGAGGAGAGTCATGGCCAATGACGCCGTAGGAGAGAAACTTGGTGATGGCGATGAGGGCGAGCGAAGTGATCGGCGCAGACGTAGACGAGGAGCGAATGACTTGGAGGAAGGGATGTAGCATCGAAGGGGTATCGAAGGTCCTGATATCTGCTGCGGCGTTAGTAGAGCCCTGGCCGGCGTCTCGAGCACATCATCTACCTTTGCAGCCCTTCAGGTCATTTCTGAGGCGCGCGAATGCAGACATAAGAGGATTGTCCTGCAAGCTCTTCCCTTTCTTCCCTCGCAGGCCCCACCTACTCGGCACAGCCTCCTCTTGCTCTCCGCCGCTGATTATCCCCTGTCCTGTACGGTCCCGCCGCTGGACAGCAGGTGTCTTATTCGATGACCCGCCTAGGATCGCTGCGACTGACGAATGCGCCCAGCGAGCATGCTTGCGCATAGCTGACGTGACTGTGATACATTCTGTTACTACAAGCGCGACCGGGTTAATTGCGACGGTGATGGGTCGAGGCTCGTGGATGATTGGCGCATCGTGGTGGAGGGTCGCGGCATCGAACTCGGTTTCTTCGCTAGACATCGTGGCGCTCTATAGCTATTTGTGTAAACGACGCGGCACAGGCGTTGCGGGCGCGATATGTATGTAGTTGTTGTGAGGGGATACAGGTATAGATATATATCCCGTTCGAAAGCTCACTAGAAGAGAACACGCATCGCTCGTAGCACGGCTGCTTGTAAGTCGTGAAATGTTTGCGCTACCGTAAACCGTAGGCTTCTGGTTTGGACACGTTAAGCAAAAGCTGCGGGCATCAATGTTGGTGAATACGTTCTAAAGTTGCACTCGACATCGAAGCTTACCTATGCCAAGTCGGAGGTCTCCAACGCTCTCCGCAAAGGCCAGGTTGTCCGCGTTGAGCTTCTAAGAATATCGCCAAAGTTCGGAACCCTTTACATGTTTCGCAGCGTAATACTATTATTACAAACGCATCGCTCAGAGCTTACTATCGAGCTTCGAACGCTTTAAATGCAACAACGGTCTAATGTATACAAGATCTACTTGAGAGGGAATATCCGTCACCAAAACTACCATCACTCTAAAACTCAAAACAAGAGACCGGCTTCCCGAGTCGTGTACGTGGCCGAAATATAAAGAAGTGGCCGCTTCCGCATCCACATAAGTCGTGATCACCATGACCTACTGTAGTTTCGGAAGGTAAGAGTTTGGTGGGCTCACCAAGTCCACCAGGGTCGTGAAGGCCGATTCTGGTTGAGCAGTGACCACTCAAGCCATACGTAACGCTCAATAAGCCATTGGAGATGTCACCTCACAGGGAAGGGATGAAAAGAGCAGAGCCAGCCAGCTCTGCCACCTGCTACTTCTGAAAAGCGCGTCTAGATTTGATTAGAGGAGCGCTTCGCCTGAAAATGCAACAAAATTACGTACAATCAACGTTTACGGCCCCTCCTTCTCTTCTCCTTTCTTCTCTTCTCCTTTCTTCTCTTCTGTCTTTCCTTCTGTCTTTTCGGCCTTCACGCGTTCCTTCTCGGCTTGCTCCTTCTCGGCACGAGCCTTCTCTTCGTTCTTGGCCTTCTGAACGAGGTCCTGGACCTCGGACTTCTCTTTTTCCCATTCAGATGACTTCGTATCGAATTGCGCGTGCATCTTCTCCTCTTTCTCCTTCTTGGCCTTCTCTTCTTCTTCCTTCTTTTTGCGCTCTTTCTCCATCTCTTCCATGTGTCGAATATCGTCGACGCTAGGCTCATAAAGATGCCAAATCGTGTAGTGGGGGAGACCAACGACGGAGAACTTCATGCGCTTGGCCATCTGCCGCAATATCAGTCTCCTCAGAACAGCTGCAATGCCTGAGGCTACATACCTTGCCAAATCCTTCGGTCTCGGCGTGCTTCTCGAAACTGAAAGCAGGGAAGTGGACACCAGAACGGAAGACCTTTGCCTTTGCCAGGATACTGACACCGCCGACACCGTCAATCTCCATCTCCATGTCTGGGTCGCCGTATGGGTCGCGAAGGTAGGCCAGATGCGGTCTCCAAGTAGCGTACTCTGCATAACCTTCGACGATGACAGCGTCTTCGTCAAGGGTATCAGCGAGCGCGAGAGCGGTCTCAGATTCTTGCCAAGAGTTGAGATCGTAAGGCTGCTCTCCACCGAGCCAGTCAGGAAGTGGGCGCCAGACGTCTACGAAGAGGTTAGTTGTTGACTACGCTCCAAGTGCATTCGAACGTACTTGGCACGATGACGTCCTTGTTGTGTCGCATGAGGTCTTCGAGAATAGTAAACGGCGCTGTCTCGACATCGACGTCCCTCCAGTATACCCAGCTGTGAGTAGGTCGCAGAGCTGCGCTTAGAAGCCAGTTACGCGCCTGAGCCATCGACTTGCGACGGCCAGCCTGCGCAGCGAAACCGTGACGGGACTCAACATCCTGGTTGACCTTCTGTCCGAAGTCCTTCTCCATAACTGAGATCTCGCCAAATGTCTTCTTGGGATCCGGGTTGGCTTGCAGCTCCTCCAACTTCTCCGTCAACAGCGCGATAGTGTTGTCCTTGGAATCTCCAACTAGAAATGCCAGATCGATGAGGTTGTGCGGGTACGTCAAGTTCTGCAAATGGCTGAAGAACATGGGCAAATGCGGCGATGCATCGCGCAGAGGGGCGCAGATCAATATCCTCTCCTCCCTCTCCCACCCTCGTGCGGTGCCTTGTACATTGTTGAGGTCGTAGTAGCGGACAGTCTCGAGTTGCGAATCATCGCTCGTGGTCAGGTAGCTTAGAGGACCAGAGCCCAGGTTCGGTCGCAGGTCGGGGAAGATGAAGTAGAATGCTGTAAGAAACACCGAGCCCAAGAGGAGTAGGCGCTGAATCAATTGCCTCCGCCGCCTGAGCGCAGGTTGTGACCGAGGCTGAAACCTGCAAGAGCACTGGTGATTAGCATCTGACTTCCAGGATTTGTCGTCGTGCAAGATCGAGGGTAGCGGCGACGGCAATGCTGTGCTGAGCATTGCGGCGGCTGAACGTACTTGTGAGGTTGAATCGAAAAGGTGCTTCCTTGCGAAGGATAAGCCCCGTTCGAGTATGCATGGCGATGCATCTTCCCTTTCGGCGATGATGAATGTAAGGGCAACATTCAGATTGCGGTACTGCAGATTGGGGTTGCGCTGCAGTATCCCTTGAACACCCCGGTCGACCTTCGACCCGCCAGATCACCAAATCGCAGAACGCAGCGCGGCGCCTTCAAAGCGGGCGCGGAGTGTTCGATGGGAGACAATGCTAGTTGCTGGCAATGCGAGGGTCCGTGAAGGTGCTGTGAAAGGCCTGGGAGGGTCCCGTGGGAGCTCGTGGTGGTCCTGCGTGGCCGCGCGATCCTGGAGGCCTCCTGGTGCCGCTCCTGCTCCTTAGCCGATGATGATTTCGCTAAGGCCACCGACGGCGTTGAGAAAGTTGCGGACGGATTGGTGGCGCCTACCGGAGCGGCAATACCGAGACAAGGAAATTGGAGACGCAAGGCTACGGAAGGGCGATATTTCTACGGACAGCTTTCCTGTGCTTGTTCGTTGATGATGCCAGCTTGCCAAGACCGCTACGCTAGCAGCGACTTCGAGTTCTGAAACGTCGTGCTAGAAGCAATGATGCGCAGGAGCCGTAAGATTACGGCCAAAATGAATGCGACGCCGTGCATACAGTGAGAGCCGCATTTGAGCTCAGAACGTTATGTGTGAAGTAGATCCTGCAAACGGTATTCGCATTGTTGACCGCCAATCTTAGAAGGAACGATCTCAGCTCGATATTTATAACTTATAAGCTGATGCCACTAGCATGCACCAACTTCGAAACGGAACGTTCACGTAGTCACAGTCAAGATAAGATATGGGTCATGGTAGTGCTTTCATTGCAGATCTACAAAGGCGTCTAATGACGCTTCCTACGCGCACTTTCGTGACGAATGAACAGTCACAGGGTTCAATCTACCTGAGAGATAGTTAGCCGCTGACTAGCCGTGCAAATGTAGAGCACAGATGGGATTTCTCAAGTTCAGAAAGCCGTGTGAAAACCTGCGCCTGGCGTTGACCTCCCTTCGCAGCAGTTCAAAACGAACCGCCGCAATCTTCGGTACTGAGACCAACATTACGCGCCTTCAATTGGTAGAGATCCAGTGCAACTCCACAACGCATCATTCCAGCCGAGACTGGTAGCGTGCGGGAGGGTGACCCAACGACAGACATTCATAGAATGGATATAACTTGGGTTTCTTCATAACAAATGGTACTGGGAGAGGGAGGAAAGATTGATGCGCTTACCATTGACCATAAGAGAGTCCTTCTAGCGGTACGGGTATTCATGTTCTGCGCGGTATGTCAGTATATGTCCGCTTCAACGTTTGTTGATAAGGTAGTAACAAGTTGATAAGATCAGACAAAGGTAAGCTTGTGGTATGGGTTTGTCGACATTGAATTCTGTAGCAGAACTGAAATTGAATACACGTCATCATTGGAGCGCGCTCCGGAGAGCATGATGTAAAAAGCGAGGTAGAGCTTACAGTATGCACGGAAGCCCACACCTGTCAAATCAATGACCAGGCGCGGGCTGGTACCGCTAAGTGAACGGACACTTCGACATGTGCTTGCGACAGATTGAACGCAAGACATGGTGGGCGCCGGGTCCGTTGTACTGTGGGGTAAGAGTAGCTTCGAACGAACGTCTCAGCTGGTGGCCGTCGAAGACCAGGAACGTCTCGTTGCACTACATGATGTAGCGAAGTTCGCTTGGGCGCGGATGTTCAGAGAGCTGTACAAAGTCAGCTGAGGCTCCCTTTTCGTCTGTGCGAAAGTTGCGAGCTGGTGTCGAAATCATTTGGTGGTGCATGTGTTCCATGTTCATTGATGATCACAGTGAACTGAATTTCAGGGGTATAATCATCAGAGGGCGTGAGAGAGGATATGGTGCGAACGTACCTAGTGCGCGTGTGTGTGAGGAAGCAAAACTTGCCAGAGAAAATTGAGAAGGCAGTCACGGCGCGCTCGGACGCGCGAAGTCTTGGCGATGGCATTATGTCATCTAGAAGAACTCCACTGCACATTCGTAAAGCTTAAGCAGAGCTATACCACATGATGGCAGCGAACACGGATAGGAGAAGAAACAATGCGCCCAGCGGAGGCACACATGCGCCGGTCTTTGCTCGGACGCTGAGAGAGCCTGCATATCTTCAGACTCTAAGACCGACAAGAACAAGAGGGCCGAACAAGCTTCGCAGGATCTGTAAGTCAACATGCAAGCTTCGAAAAGGCCTCCCTGGCTTTCTACTTGGGTCACCCGGTCGTGGTTGCGCCTTTCAACCATGCACAGGCACAGAGAAGTAGAGCAGTGGCTCAGACAGATGCTAACAATGCACCAGACTTGCAAACCGCCATTGTACCCTCCGCCTCAGGCTCTGCATACCTCGAAATACCTTCTTCCTCTTCGATTCCGCCCTCGACGTTAATAAAACCTGCGTCTTCACTTAAGATCGTGGCCTCGATTCAAGGACCGAAGCCATTGCCCCGCAGCGCACCTTTCAGCCCTTCACTTCTTCTCACTACTACTGTCAAGTTTGCGCCTTTCGCAACACGGCACAGGAGAGGCTACATACGTGACAGTACCGAGCGTGACCTCGGCGTACACCTGGAAACCGCATTGAGAGGTGTGATAATCGGAGAGCGCTGGCCGAAGAGCGGCGTGGAGGTTGTAGTCACGATCCTCGAAGGAGATGAGGACGGCTGGTGGGGCGATGCGCACGCCAGTGGAAGTGGATGGGGCTTACTGAACGTTCTGGCGGGCTGTATCACAGTTGCCAGCGCAGCAATCACAGATGCAGGGATCGACTGTGTAGACATGGTCTGCGGAGGCGTTGCAGCGCTCATCCGCAATCCAGACTCAAAGGATGAAAATGATCTGATCAGGATACTGGACCCTTGTCCGGCAGAGCACAGGGATATCGTTGCGGCTTGTGCAGTGGGATATTTGGCTTCAAGAGACGAGATCACAGAGATTTGGATGAAGGGAGATGTTGGTTCTGATCCAGATGCAATCATCGAGGGCGCGACACATGCTTCTGTGGGGAGTCTGTCAGTCGTCAAGGAGGTCCTTCTGGAGTCCTTACAGGCGAAGTTCCAGAAGCAGATCGAGAACAGTCAAGGCGCACAGAAGAGGAAGGCTCAAGATGTGGAGATGACAGGATGAGAAGACCCACGAGTTGAGCCATGGCCACATTCAGCGAGCGTACATCTGGTAGCGAGTCCCTGCTGTCCGACGTGACTGAGACGAGACAAAACGCACCCACGTACGATGCAGATTAAAAGAGTATACCATTGAAGCACCACAGGTACGCAGGTCTAAGACCCTCTGCCGAGGTACCTTCGGGACGACGCACAAGAGGTGACCCTGAGTGACACTGCTTCAGAGCCTCAACACAAGAGTTATGGCATGTCTGACCAACTACTTTGAGATGCGTTGTGTTCGCGGAAATTATACGAAAAATAAATTGTAGATGTGTCACACGTCAGCTACCTGGGCGCCAAAGTAGCTCTCCCAGCGGATTCCGAAATGTAGTGTGGGTGTTGCTGATGATCACAATGTTGAGCGCATCCCACAGTTTGTTGTAACTTCTGTGTTGTTTCTGAGAGATATGTCCTGAATACTGGCTATCAAGTCCGTCACAACGGACCGTCGCACATCTTAATGGTTCTTGATATCCCTGCTTATTCTGTCATGCTGGGTGTCATAACATCGCACAAATACATATGCGGTCGTAATCTCGGCTCGCTGTCCAGTGTCCAGTCATTCTACAGCCTCGAAATTCAGAACTTCTTGAGCATTTTCCCCTCAGCAGCAATAAACGGATCCTCATCCTCACTGCTATCTACAACCTCGGTCTCCTTGACTGCCGCATCCACCTTCCCGTTCTTCGTAAGCGGCAGACTCACATCCGAATGTCCACCAACAGTGTTCTGCGTCTCGAATCCCGAGGCTAGACTTAGCGTCCGAGGGCTGTCAGCATGCTTTCTGTTGCCAGGACTCTCGGAATCGAAGTCGAGGTTCAGTGTCATCATAGATAGATCGTTGGCTTTCTCGCCGTCGCCGATCTTCGAGTACAAGCTATCCCTGCAGCTCGAGCTGTTGCTGAGTCTCTTGACACCGGCCCACATTCTCTTCATTCTGGCTGAAGGTGGAGATGTGGGTGGGTGTGTCTGTCGTGGAGGAGTGGGAAGTGCGTCAGGCAGGTCTTTGGAGGCAGTGTTCAGCAGTGCCATGGAAGGCTCTCGAGAAGACATTGTCGAATTAGGCTCATGTCGGAGGGAATGTTCAGGGGATGGTGGGGTGGTTGTTGGCTGGGAGGTTGAATGTGATGGTGGATGAGACTGTAGGCCCAGGAGGTGGATGGCATCGCTTGAGACTTTCTCGCGGATATACTTTCGTTCGGCATCGGTAAGGCCGGGAAGCGTACCAGAGACATCGACTCGACGGACGTTGGTCGGCGAACCCTATTCTTGAGTTAGTGTATGTGTCATTCGTGTTTCCTGCTGAGAACGTGGAAGCCTACAATATCCAGTGGACATTTCCGCTCACGCTTGCTGCAGCAGAGGAAAGATCGTTGGATCTTCAAGATGACATCCTTAAAGGCCATGACTCCAATCGACTGGTCTGACGCGAAAGCAATGGGAGTGTGATGCAATTCAAAGGGAGGGGGAGTGGAGTTATTGGGGCGTTGTGGAAGGAACGTGGGTATATCGAAGCTCGAGAGCGAAAGAGGGTATATGGGCAACGAAGCCAGCAAGAAAACACAATGATCAAAGAGTTGAAGAAGATATGAGGCCAGAACAGAGCGATGATGCAAGCTAATAGTACAGATGAAAGAGTGCCAGACGATAGAGAAGACGATCACTAGATCGAGCGATTATGGAAGTCAAGAGAAGGGCAGGGAAAGAAGGGCCGACTACTTAAAGGCATATGCATATGTATGAGAGAGAGGTGTTGGATTGGTCTCCCAAGCGACTCGTTGAACAAAATTTCCGCCGCGTGGCTTTGAAACATCCCTTGCTCGCTACAAACCGGACATTCCATAAGTACCGATGAGAGAAGCGAGAGGCTACGGGCCGGTGCGCCTTGGAATGCTGATAACGATAGATGCCTTGAGTGAAGCCTGGTATTCCGACGAGCTTAAGCAATTCCGTGCGGCTAATTAGTAATGGCAACAGGTGAGTCGAGATTTGGAGCCGAAGATAGAGGAGGAATGGTCTCACCGCCTGAGAGTACTCACGAACGCCGTTGACCGAACATGATGCAGAGGCGTTAGACATCCAGACCTGCATTCGGTATATCGGCAGCATCGTACTTGTGCAACCACACCTTGCATACAGGGTCGCATTCTTCAGTCAGGTACCAGAAACGCATGTGCTCAGCTGTGCTGTCAACGTTCCGCCTTGCTGTAAGTTGTAGTGGACCTATATGGGTGAGACAGGTCATCTCACATCCGTGGACGAACGTTGCTAGGGACCCACCGGTTGGGCGTATGCAGGTCGTACCGCATGTAGCACAGCGCAAAACGCCATATCAGGTGAACACGCGATTGCGTGCGCGACTCGATCGTTGCCTCTGGTTGAAGATCTTTGCTTCATGCAGTGCTGGTCTTCGAGTTGCTTCATCGAATTGTGTCGAGTCATCGATTATTAAGTGAGAAGATGATGTGTAACATCCATCCCGTTCCCAGAACAGCCATTTGTCATCTTAGCTTGTACGTAACGGTTCACTATGACGCTAGGTTGACTGATGGCAGGGAGAAACCACATGTCTCATTTTAGCGTGGCCTGTCGTACCAGTTGCCTTCATGCAGTACCATCTATTTCGGATAATCCTTAACGTGATAGCTCTTGAGCTTGACGAACTGATCAAAGCCGAACTTGCTCAGTGTCTGTCCTTTGCCAGAATCCTTCCAGCCGACCCACGCGAGATCCTACGTATATCAGTGATGGTCAAATATATGAATGCATTGCGACTTACCGGTGCTGGATAGTCGCAGCGGTTGACGAATACTGTGCCAGCCTCTACATCATCCACAAGCTCGTGCCCCTTCTCGGTATCCTTAGTCCAGATACTTGCAGTCAAACCAAACTGGCTGTCATTCATAAGCTTGATCGCCTCAGCATCGTCCTTAACCTTCATAACAGGAATGATGGGCCCGAACGTCTCCTCGGTCATGACGGCCATGTCGTGAGTGACACCAGTGAGTAGAGTAGGAGCAACGTAGTTGCCATCTGCAGGAGGATTCTTGAAGCTCTTGTTCTCGGGCGTAGCGTTCTTTGCACCCTTCTCGACAGCGTCCTTGATATGTGCTTGTACAGTCTCTGCAGACTTCTTAGACACCACGGGACCGATCTGAGTATCCTTGTCGAAAGGATCACCGAGCTTGTAGCCCTTGAGAACATCCTGTACCGCTGAGACGAAATCGTCGTGAATCTTCTCATCAACGTACACCCTCTCAACACTGCAGCAGCTCTGACCGGAGTTGAAGATCGCTCCGTCAACAATTTCCTCTGCCGCCCATTTGATGTCAACATCTGACCGCACATAAGCAGGATCTTTGCCTCCAAGCTCAAGTCCTACACGCAGAGGCACCCTGTCGTTTGCAGCACTTTGCACAGCAAGGCCATTTGCAACAGACCCAGTGAAGCAAACGAGCTGAATTTGCGGTGACCTGGCAATAGCCTCGATTTGAGTGATAGAACCACTGTGGAAGACCTGAAGCACGCCATCTGGCAGACCTGCATCCGAGAAGATCTTCTGAATCTGCTCTCCGCTGGTTGGCGTCTGGGGAGATGGTTTCAAGATGACTGAGTTGCCAGAAAGAATAGCAGGTACAAGAGAGTTAACGAGTGTGAGGTAAGGGTACTATTTGCTCGTCAGCATTCGTTCATATGCTGGGCATGACTGACGTACGTTCCAGGGGAAGAGGATCAGCACCGGGCCCAAGGGGACCTTCTTGACATAGCGCTTGAAGCCCTTCTCAGCCTCACCAGGTGTGTCTTTGAGGGTATCGTCGCTGATCTTCAGCAGGTACTCGCCCCGCATAACGGCTGTTGTGACTTCTTTGGGCGTGTATGCGATAGGGCGACCCATCTGCTCTGTGAGCTCTTTGCCCAACGCATCCTGGCGTTCATCGAGCAGTTTGAGAGCCTTCTTGACGATTTGTTGTCGCTCAGCTAGCGAAGTGCGTCTGAACGTCTCGAAAGCGCGAGTGGCTGTCTCGGGTATGGCCAGGATATCGGCATCTGAGAGGCCATTGCGTGTAAGAATTGGCTTGTTGGTAATAGGCGAGATAGTGGTGATCTTCTCGACAGACATGATGGTGTTGATCCTTGCTTTTCGGAGTGGTGTGTTCAAGATGCGTTTTAGCATCAATTGTTGGTGATGGCCGGTATAGTCACATTTGGTAGAGCCTTCAATGTCCCCGTCAATTGCCGCCTCCGAAGTTGGTGACGTAAGCGCTCTTTGCCTCATTTGGTAATTAGCGGGTCAAGACGTCTGCAAGGAAAGCACGCCGAACGTTTTGATCCCCTTATCGCGATCACCACGTCTCATGTTGCAGAAAACAAATCGCAACAGAACATGTTCTTATCTTTTCGCTTTCGCAGCATGACCTCTGCTCGTACAAGGCGACTCGATCTGGTTCCCGCTCCGACTGACTCAATGTCCAGTCATCCATGAACCGCCCACCGCAGCTGCTACCACATTGTTGCAATCGACAAACCCCTCGGACGTTCAGAGTGCATTGCCGACGTCTGACCAATACGCACCTCTGTTCGCTACTGCCTGCGACTGCCTGCCTTTGGATCCCAGCATTGCTGGTACTCGACTGCCTGAGGTGTGTGTACCTTGCTACCTAGGTGCCCCTATCACGCACCTTCGCTGTAAAACAAACCTGGGACAACGACCGCGAAGTAACACGGTCTTGATCTCCAAATAACCGCTGTGCCAGGTTTCTCACTACCGTGCGGCTGGTGGTACTCTCTCACTTCAGTAAGGTCTCGAAAGGCTACTAACGAGGTCACCTTCGGTGGCTGCATCCGGGCTCGACTTGACAACCCATTCATACGAAGGATGTCGGTATCGACACGCGGAGCAAGCTTCGCATGAAAGGCATCTTGCAATTGGAAAGGTGTGCCGAGCAGCCTCCACTAGTGAGATTTAGCCAAGCTGTCAGTGGTCACCGGCGTAGCATACGCTAACCGTGAAGATGCGGAGCGATCCGCCGGCTGCAGTATCGCGAGACGTGTGGAAGTTCAGATCGACTAGCTTGCTGTCTAATGCTCCGATTTGATGCTTCTGAGCGGAGGGCCACACTCCGTTCAAGACACGCCAGCCCAGGATCATTAAATCTGCAAGCCACAGGGTACGCCTTTCTCAGGCGCAACTGATGGAAAGCCGCTGGATGTGCAGGATGTCGTAACCGGGTCCAGACATCGCTAGATATTCACACTGCCACGAGACAGGTCTGCCGACGCCATTGCGAGGCACTGCTTCTACCTATTCTCGTTCCGCCTTGATACCAAAGCTACCGTGAGTGACATCCAGTCTGTCAGATTCGATAACTGGATCCGAGGCACTCATTCCGAGCTAAGTCTTGGAAACGATATCGCTTCAACTGCATACAGTTGTGGCACCGATCTCTCCATATCCGGGTGACCCGCCGGACAGAATTTTTGCCACGGGTTCCTGGAGATGTGGAGTCGATACAAAAGGTACTGAAATGGCTGGTTTTCACGCACAGCATCTTCCCTGTAGGCCTCAACAACAAATCACGTCAAACTTGAATGCGCGATTTCACGCATCGACTGACGTGGCATAAGTAACATCATCAACATCGTGGTCATGATCTCAAGCAACACAAAGCGAGTACAGCGAGCCAAGAGCTATCGCGTCTTGAGGCAGACAAGAGGCGCGCACACAGACCAGCTTTCGTGCCGTTAGGTCCACCAGGGCTACGGGGTGCGGCCGCCGATCACGGTTCAACTTGTCCTCCAAAAAAGCTCGGAGAACGTTGCAGTGGCTGGAATTGGTACGAAATGATGCGGCCTCCATCTTTTTAGAACCGGTCTCACATAGTCGGGATGGCTCTAATCCACCAATAATTTACCATCGTCAGACTATGCTGCCTAGCTCGTGGCGAGCAGTTCGGGACGTAAATGTTCAAGCTCGCATCACGGACGATCCAGCGGATTGTGGACTGTGCTCAACGTGGAACTGGTGGTGTGCAGCGGGATCCTGGTCGCTGCTTGCAGGGGTGCACACAGACTTACACCAGTGACTTGAGAGACGGGACGGAGGCAGAGCATCTCGACTTTTGAGCAAACGCACGTGCAAACCTGCGCACCATGCTTGTCCAAAACTACTGCTGCACGCGGTCCAGAGACGTTCCAAACGCACGATGCAGCTGGCTACAGAGAAGGGACGAGTCTGCCTATCCTTGATTAGGACTGGACAGGTAGCTTTCCGAGCACTATTGAAGTCTTACTGCCCTGCGATCTAAAACCCGTTGCGGAGGCGGAGGGCTGTCCGGCAACTGTTATGTACTGAGGTACATCGCGATACCGTTCGAACGGTAACGGCCGACCTGCATACGCTCATGCCATGCTTTGACGGCAAAAGTTCTTACCCTGGGCCGCGGAACTAGAGATATTGAATAACGCCTCAGTGCGCACTCGCCACCTTTCAATTACTCGACATTCTTCAGCCAGTGACCCCAACGTTTTCTGTGCTCACATTGACAGTCGGAGCCTTGAATCTGCTGTCCTCGGAATTGGACTCTGTAGTGCGGTCATTTGACGGACGCTAGGAACAATATGTCCACCAGTCTCCATCAATACCCGCCGGGGTTCAGCCTTCTCCACACGCCGAACACTGTCGACTCGCAGCAACACCACGCCTTGGTCGCACAACACACCGGACCTTCACGCACAAGTTCGTTGCAGTACGAGACACTACAGTTCCATCAACGCCCGAATGTCCTTTTAAGTGGCAATGCTGTGGGTAAGCCTCGTCGCTTGCCGTACGCCAACGGACCATTAGCTGCAGCCCCCCGCACGCACCAAGGCACAATGCTTCACGAACGATTAGGCCGAACATCAGGACCCGTGCGACGCAGGATCAGCCGAGCCTGCGATCAATGCAATCAATTGAGGACAAAATGCGACGGGCAGAAACGTAATGTCCTCCCCGACCTTCTTGCAAGGCATGAACTGACAAAACATAGCTTGTTCACATTGTATAGGTAGGCACCACCGTGCTACGACAGCTTTTGTGGTATTGATAGAGTATTTCCATGACTCTGAACTGACATTGCATCAGAGTTTGGTTTGATATGCGCATATCTTCGTGAACGCAAGAAGCGCGGCAAGGCCTCGCGCAAAGAAATAGCCCAGCAGCAAGCTGCCGCTGCGGCATCCTCAGACCAGGGCATGCAGCCAAGTGAGGAGCCGGCAATTGCAACGCCACAGTCACAAGAGACTGCTTCCGAGAGGGCACATAATGAAAGCCCCACACCGTCCAACAATCAGTCAACTTTCCCGGCTCCTTTCGTTCCTAGTCGATCCAATAGTCTGGTGGACACCAGGGCAAGGAAACCTTCGCAGATCTACACAAGCCGAACCATGAGTATGAGTGCCATCGATTCTGTTACGGAACATGTCACGCAATCTCATGACGATCATCTTCATCCACCACAACCACCTCGGATTCAAACCCACGGGTTACCTCAACACGACTTCCAACACATGCACGAGTTTCCACAAAGCCTCGAATATCAGTCGCCGAACGCCATGATCCATCCGACCATGAACCGGACAATTCCCTCTAACGATCATACTATTGAATTCTCAGGTCATCCTTCCATTGCATACATGCCGCAGCCACTGCCCGAAGACGTTCCGCATCTGGACTTTGCAGCTCCTTCCCCCCTTTCTGGTTCGCCGACTTGGATGTTACCTTCTCCGTCTGCCACTTTGTACTCTAGCGGAAATCGCCCCAGATCAACACAGCCTCTACGATATCCGGTCCTTGAACCAGTGATGCCATATCTCACAAATATTATGCCTCTTTCTCTGGCGTGTGATCTTCTAGAGCTGTACTTTGAGAGCTCTTCGGCAGTATATATGCAACCAGTGTCTCCGTACGTCCTCGGCCACGTCTTCAGGAAGAACTCGTTTCTCAGAGGAGAGAATCCCAGAGTCTGCAGTCCGGCTTTGTTAGCAAGTATGCTCTGGATTGGATGTCTGACCGGCGAATCTCCGTACCTAGCCTCTTCGCCAGTGACACGCAGTCAGATGTCGGAGAAGCTTATCAACCTCACCATCGAACTTCTCAAACCATTGGTACATCAAACACCAGAAGCATCCGAGCAAGAGTCAGCCATGTATAACAATGCTGGCATAGTTCAAGGTGTCACAATGGGCGGCTTCGGGATGCCACCGCAATTTTCCGAAGAGCACATTGGCCTCGACTTGCACTTCGGTAACCTAGACGACATAGCGACCTACGTGAATCTGGGAGTGGTGACTTCTGCAAGCGAATATAAAGCGGCCTCTTTACGTTGGTGGAACGCGGCATGGTCCTTAGCCCGAGAAATGAGATTGGGCAAAGAGGTCGTTACTCCACCACCGGACCTGTATGATGAAGATACCTCTGGCAGCTTCGACAGACGTAACACTGTTATGGATCCAACTGAGGAACAGCGCGAGGAACGTAGGCGTATGTGGTGGCTTTTGTACACAATGGATCGGTATGTTTACGTTTGCCTTCGACTAAACCTCTAGTACTAACGTCCCAATGCAGACATCTAGCTCTGTGCTACAATCGACCGCTTTCGTTCACCGACGTGGAATGCTCAGGCCTTCTGCAACCCTATGACGATCACGTATGGCAATCTGGCGACTTCTTCGAAAACTCCGCTCAATCTTTACCAGATTCCACATTTCGCCGAAGAGGTCCTGCCTTCGAATGCGCCGGCCACTCCATATTCGAATTTTTCCTACCACTGATGACAATCCTCGGCGAGATTGTGGATCTTACGCATGCAAGGAATCACCCCAGATTTGGCACAAAAACTGACTGGGACGATTACGGAAAGGAGATCAGCCAACGGTTGGATGCATATGGTCGATCACTACAAGAGATGCAACAGCGTACTGTCCTTGAAAACAGCACTGACGCACACGACTCAGCCCCAAGCGGCGCAACATCGGGCACAACAAACCCATTGTCGCAAGAGTCAATCATGCATGCTCGGATTGTAGTGACGTACGGCACATATCTTATGCATACTCTTCATGTTCTATTGAACGGAAAGTGGGATCCAATCTCGCTGTTGGATGATAACGACCTTTGGATATCGTCGCAAAGCTTCGTCACCGCCACCGGGCACGCAGTCTCTGCAGCTGAGGCACTTAATGACATACTTGAACTTGACCCAGACCTAAGCTTCATGCCATTTTTCTTCGGAATATACCTCCTGCAGGGCAGCTTCTTGCTTCTATTGATCGCAGATAAGCTGCAGGGAGAAGCGAGCCCAAACATAGTACGCGCATGCGAAGTGATAGTGCGTGCGCATGAAGCTTGCATTGTCACTCTGAACACGGAATACCAGGTACGTATTACTGGACATGGGACATATTTCCTTTGATCACGAATGGCGTCATCAGGGCTGACCGGGTCACTGCAGAGAAATTTCCGTAACATAATGCTCTCAGCCTTGCAGCAGATGCGTGGAAGAGGCATGCAAGCTTCCGTAGAGCGCCGCCGGGAGATGCTGAGCTTGTACCGGTGGGGCGATGGGACCGGGCTCGCCCTATAAGACGTCTGTACATGCGCAGCCAGCTAAAATTGTACGTCATGGCAATAACTCTGTCAAGACTTCAAAGCCTGTCGACGGCTCCCCCATCGCTCTCTCCGCATTGAAATGAAAGGATGACTGTGCATGAACCTTGACGAGACCATGATTCTGTGGCCACGCACTCATTGATTGAGGTCCGCAACTGGCTGCTGATTAGCTTGATCTCGGGCTTACGGGACGTACTTGCTTCTCTGGCCGGTGGGTCTTTGCTGGTCATGATGTTCTTGTAAGCCTGAACGCTGGTATAGTTCACGATCTTATCATTAAACGAGTGCAAAACCAGAGTGTTCTTCTTTACCCGGTGGTGGTTTACGATCCGAACCGAAAATTTCCCTGTTGCGCAGTATTCTACTTCATCATTTCGTGCATTGTGATCAGCTCGAGAAGACAAAATTCAAGTTGCCTTGAGATGCACGGCAGAGCTGTCCGGCAGTGGCCTTACCGGTCGTCCTTACAGTAAGTTCTCTCTCAGTAACAATGCAAGACACCGACAAAGGTGTCCAGAAGGGGCCAGCCAAGGTGGAACCGCTCATCAAGGTGGCATCTCAGTGGAGGTTTTAACAAGCTCGGAATGCCCGTAACTGATCTTCGCTGGTCCACTATAGTTGTCACAAGACTGCGCAGCCCCACATGCTCTTCAAGAGTTTGCATAAGCCATGCTGTTCCTTCCGGATTTAGTTTCGAAAGTGCCGTTAGTTGCATGTTGCGGCCTTTGCAGCGAGTATCCGTCACTACCACTAGTGCTAGTGGAAGCGATATCCAACAAGAGCGCAAGGGCAATGCTGGCGATCTTGTGAGTCCGTCACCCCTTCAGTCAGTCTATCCTAAAAGATGCCCGGAAAGTACGTGCGAGCAGCTTCGGGGCCTATCATCACCGCTTCACGGCTGATGGTCAGACAAAGTCACCTAAAGTCGCCATAATGAAGTGAGCAAAGCATCAACAGATCTACAGGGCCTTTCGTCAACGGGTCACAAGTTCAACAAGCGGATCGTCGTCCTGAGCTGTGCAAAGGTATGGATCAGAGATTGGGAAGGTCGTTGCGAGATCGCGAGGTACAACGGATAGATTGCACTAGCTGTGTCGGCATGCGGAGGGCTTCGCATCTTTGCGATCGAGACGTCAACTCAATCGTAACGTCACCGACTGCAGCAAATTCTTGCGTCCTCACGAAGCTTATCGACGCCACATAAAGAAAGACTCAGTCGTCATCTGCACTCAGATCGGGAAAGAAGGTCGGAGAATCGACAGGGCACTATGAGGGACCGATATATGATGCGCCATGTGTGAGCCTGGAAGCGTTACCGGGACGGATAGTCACTCTGGACACTGCGTGTGCCTGGTTGTTGATCTCCCAGACTAGCCGACACAAAACAGAATCTACCCTCGACCAGAATGACCAAAGATATTTTTGACATGCCATCGAGTCTCTTTTTGGTAGTGAGCGACAACATGGGTGTTGGTTTGGGTAACGCCAGGGAAACCTGGAAAGTCGTGCCGGCCGTTTTGTGACATGATGTAAAATTTCAGACTGAATTAACTGGTGGAGATACCGGTAGTCTTGGTCGAAAAGCCAAGCCGTATATCAGTCTGTGGTATAGGCTTTCGTTTCTTTTGCAATTCTCAATGGTTGGTACAGCTGGAACATTTTCGTGCTGACACGCCCGGGATCGGCGCGAAGAACACGCGGTACAAGTGATTCTTTCAACATGCGGACTGATATCGCGCCACCTTCCATGACTCCGGTCGTGTAGTCATTGCCGCTTCGCAGGATCAGTCCAGGGTCAGGAGGGACAGTGCACAATTATGCTTGAATTGGGCGACGTACATTAGGTAGTTTTCGATGTTGAAGGAAACTCCATTTAAAAACCAGGCTCGGAGAGCCACGAAAGGCATTCTAGTATCACAGGAAGTCCCAAGCGACTAGAGAAGATCTAAAAGTGACTTCATCAGCTTGTACAAGCTTCGCATCCCCTGAACCCCTGATCTTTCTGGGTTCGCGTTACTTCAAACTCAGCTTCGGGAAAGGACTTGTGGTCTTAGAGAAGTCGTGTTGGGGCCTTTGAGTTAACAACGTTACTCGGACTTCTGGGTAGCTTATGAAGCGCAATGGGCTGACTCAGAACGGTAAAACAAGCTGTCCAATCTCGAATCCGTAGAAGTCCACCAAGTCAATCGCGTGAGTAGCGCAGCTTCAGAGGATGATCGGCTCCTGACTTAGTTGACACTTGCCAACGATGCCACACGCGCAAGATAAAGTGCCCAAGAGGGCTCCCATGCTCGAACTGTCGTAATGCGGATACTATTAATACTGATGCGTGCGTGTATCATAAACGTGATCGTCAGGTGAGATTTAGTCAACAGTCAATGTGAAGGGAATCTTGTCAATCGGAAGTCTAGATATGTCGAAGAGTTCATGCGGGAGATCAAAGCCTCGCCATCGTCCCCCTCTTCGCCCTGGCCTTCGCCTTGTTTCCAACCTCCTCTCGCCCAATACTCTTTGCATCCAACACATCGCCCTCCCACAACCCCTCACCAACAACATCGACCAAGCCAAGCACTCTTGTCTGCACGGTGGCGCCATCTCTCCTATTCTTGCCTTCTCTCCTACTCGCGCTGATGCGCTCTGCGAATCGCCACAACGGCCCGTCGGCGATGATGCCTTTCGACCCTCTGACGAGTGTCCACTCATCTGCTAATCGAACCGTGGTCGATGATTTTGCGTTTCTACTCTTAGCGACAACAATCATACCCTCCTCTTCGAAGCGTGTGTACGAGTTCTTCAGTGTTTCCTTGTTGACGGCTTCGTAGTATGATAGATCGCCCTGATGATACAACGTCTTGCCTAGTAGTTGCGAGCGATCTTGGACACGTTTCATATCAAGCCATTTCTCGTTCGCCATCGATGGTGTGGTCGTGCTGTGGGTGAGTGGTGGTGTTAGCATCATCAGCGACACGGCGCCCAGCCAAGCAGCTTCAATGAAAGGCCAGATCAGGAAGCAGTAGAAGTCGAAGTTCTCACGGCCGGTTTCCCTCTCTTTATCGCTGAGCTCGACGTACTCGATAATGCCTCCACTATTGCGGGTCACTGTGATGACGTTGTCGGTCTCGAGGCCGGCGATGGTGCGCGCGAGGTTGAAGTCGAGGCCCTCGGTGGGGAAGATGAACTCGCCGCGGAACAACTGCGACAGGAAGCCAACCTGGGCATGCAGGTCTGCATAGGGTATTCTTTGGGATTCGGGAGCACCGCCGCGTTTGACAGTGCTGTAGAGAGCGGCTGACACTAGCGACTGGAGAATAAAGAGATGAATGGTCATGTTGCGGTAAAAGGAAAGCTGAAAGCTAAACGACACGTCAGCAATTGCTAGAATCAGACGCATGATACATACCGGTCCACGGCATAGTAGGTGTCCTCGGGCAATCCAGGCACGAGGCCTACAAGACTGGGACCAAGCACTTCGAGCGCTCGATCCACCACAACACTCGTTGGTAAGTTCCCAAAATGAGCGACTCTGCCTCCTTGGGCGCGGACGCGATCGCACAGCCACTCCACTCTTCTGATGAGCTCAGTCTTGCCGACTCCTCGCCCTCGGAGTGTGAGTAGTACTGTGCCGACCAGTGCAGTGGGCATCACCACTGATACGTCGTTAATCTCGGACAACACCTTGTACCCAAGCGTTCTGAGGAGGCGAATACGGTCTTCATTCGAGTCAAGTTGTTGGGGCAGTTTGCTAGCTCGTTCGCGCTGCTGGTTGATAAACGTCCGTAGCGACCAAGGCTCATGAAAGCGAACATCCACGCGCCCAAGCTTGAGTGACAGCACCGAAGACGATGAGAGGAAATCCATGAGATTCTCTTTCGATTTCGGCTGACCGAGGAGTTCGCTGATGTATGAGTCGACTTCAATAACCTTATCATACTGTGTCGACACCGGGCATATGATGGCATCCTCGACACGCCCACTTGCCACACTATCCAGCATGTAACTCAAGATGCCGAACTTGGGAGGGAGAAGCTTGCCAGTACGACTTCTGCCTCCTTCGACGAAGCACTCTAAATTGTAGCCGCACTGTAACAGTGTGTCAATGTACGCTTGTACAAGTGTGGTGTACAATTGATCGTCTCCAAAGCTACGCCGTATCCACATAGCTCCGGCATGCTGTAGGAAGGAACCCACGACAGGGAAATTCAGGTTATCGCCAGCGACAACAGTTGGTAGTGCAAGACCGAGGCGGTAGCAGATGATCTGCAACGAGACGTAGTCGACGTGGGATCGGTGGCAGGGCAAGAAGATGATCGAGTGCTTCTTACGCGCTGCCTCAGCGGCCACAGTGCGCAGTCGCAGCACTTCCTCACTAGAAACGTGCACGCCTTGGTGGTATGCCCTGGTCAAGAGCTGGGTAGCCAGATAGTATGCGCCGCGTATAAAATTCTTGCTCTCCATCTTGCAGATCATGCCGTCGGTCCATGTCTCGCTGACTTCCAGGAGCGACTCCTCGATTTGTGTCTTTCTCTTTGCCCTCCTGTCCTTCTCTCCCACGCCGCTGCCGTTCTGCGCCTCGACTCCCAGCAGGCCCTCCTTAGCCTCAACCTCGACTCTCTTTTCTGCCAGCTCTCGCACTTTGGCAACAAGCATGGGGTTGTTGAGTACGCGCGTCTTCATGTCCTCCGAGAAGCCGGAGTAGAACTCAGGCTGGCCAACATGGTTGTCAAATGACCGCCATCCTGTCCCGGAGAACTGCAGCGAAACCTCACGTATGAAGTCGAGAGGAGACGAGCGAAAGCGTGCGTAGCTGTTGATGAGTCCCCGGTCGGGCGATTCGTTGTAGCCGACGGCGTGAAGGTGGACGTCGTCATCGGCGGTAATGCTGAGATCAGGCGCATACTCGGAGGTCGTGGCGTGCGATGCCTTTCGTTCTTTGGAGGCAGTCATCATAGACGAGGATGGGACTCTTTGGCGGGTTGTATACAGTAGGCGGGTGGGCCGGCACACCGGTCGCTGGCGGTGGTGTTCAATGCCGATGCTTCATAGGCAGGGTCTCGCTGAGGGCAGATTACGACGCGCAAGTGTCGGAAATCATACAAGCAAGGGTATACAGCGAGGAAGCAATCATAGCATTATGCAGCAAATCATCGGGAGTACTGGGGTTGAAGCGCGTTCCGGCGGCGTGGCGACCCAGCACTTTCCTGTGCCGAGGTTGTGGGAAGCAGCGTCTGCCAATTTGTCAATGCTTCTCGTTGTCGTTTTTCGATGCTTGCAAATGTGCTTGGACTTCGTCTTGATCACTCGGTGTATACTATGGATGGTCTTAGTGAGCTTGTCTCAGAAGACCTCCCACAGACTGATCTTCCCATCTTTGGCTCCTGCCGCAATCCAATGCTTGACTTGCATCTTCTCCTCCCGCTGTCTTTGTAGCTTGCCGAGACCCGTCTCCCTTTTTGCGACCTCTCTATTTACGTCTTGGCTTTGAGAGTCTCGCGCATTATGCTCTAGGTCTATACCATCCAAAATCTTACCAAAAGCCACAGCATAGACACCCTCCTTGTGCCATTTCAGCACCGCAACTTCCTTCAGTGTCTTAGCGCTGTAGATGCGAACTCGTGAGTCCCACCCGCCCGTGGCTAAGAGTCGACCATCTGATCGTGCTGAGAGAGATTGCTGGCCAGCGTGCTTCGTATTTTGAACCTTGAATGGTGCCTGGATGGATGGTGGAGACGGCTGCTGAGGTGCAGATTGTGCAGCTCTTGACAGCGGTGTGGCGTTCGACAGAAGTGACGAGAGACCGCCGGCCTTGGGAGCCGACTTCGTTGGTATTGAAGACTGAACTGGATTTTTCGAGAATAGTAGAGGTTGGTCATCGACGTCTTCTGGTATGGACACGGGAGGATTGTCCGCTGCTTTATCCGTGCAATATCGTTCGGTAGTTGCCTGTGAAGTAGTCGGAGCGAGGGCGTCAGAGTTTTGGCTGGGTACTGAAACTGGTGGACCGTCTTCGTCTCCCTGGGTGGATAAGGAATCCCTCACGTCATCACCCCTCGACGATAGATCCGGGATTCGATGGGCTGCAATGATAGCATCAGCGCCGGAGGTATAATACGTCTTAGCATCTGGCAAGACGTCTATCGACAAGACGGGCTGCGTGTGAGGTTGGCTGAGATAAACAAGCTGAGCCATCCCACTAGTCGAGTTGTCAGCCTCGGGTAATAAGTGTACGGCTGTCAGACCTCCTTCATAGCCAGTGATAACTAGTGTTCGCTGCGTTATAGGATCTCGTACGAGCTTCACAGCCATGACCATCCCTGCATTTGTCAGTACGTGTATAGAAGTGACCGTTCCGTAACAACGGTGATTGCTCAATCTCCCACGGCGAGTCTTCCAGAAATGTCGTGACGCAAGACTCACCTGTATCTTTTGTTTGCGCGTGAGGTACCACACAGCTTAGCTTCTCTTCCGGAAATTGATACACCTCAGCCTTCTTGTCGTCCCTTGCGGGTACCACGATGAGGACTGAGGCATGTGTCTTCTCCGGTCGAGATTGCGTGTCTCTCTCTGCATCATCCGAACCGTGTAGCTCTGCTTGGACAGACGCGTAACACATGGAAAAGGCGCAGAAGTTGAGAGTGTTCACTGGTAGCGTGTGCAAAAGCCATGGCATTGGGCGATCGCTGTGTGACACTTCTGCAGGCAACGCTGTCGATAATGCAGATTCGTCTGCTGAGCGCACTTGCCATATCCTCAGACTGTTATCGCGACCGTGACTGCAACGCGTCAGTCACGAGTTTTCAGAACACGGTCAGAGCAATGGAATGTGTCTCTGAGTATCTCGAAGACCAGTTGGAGATATTGGTCAGATACAGGCAGCCAACCATCAGTACTCACGTTATGATCTTGTCACCACCCCATTCAGCTGTTCCAAGGATAGCTCCATCGTGAGCCTTCCACACCGCTAGCGCACGCTTGGTCTCGAGCTTCCAGTAGATGATCCAGCCATCGGCATCGCCCGTGATAAGACGAGTGTTTAGTCGCGCAAATTGTACGCTGTGTATTTGTGATGCGTGACCACGGAGGATGTAGCTGGGCTGGGCTGGTGGCAGAGTTGACATTTGGCGTTCAATTGCCATGGGTGGTGAATGCAGTCTCAGAAGTGGGCAACCCGGAACGAGACGATCGCCGAACTGTGGGACGGGCGCCTGTCAAATCGTCAAAGGGTGCCGCCTTGCAGTAATGAGACGATGACAGCGCAGGCGCTGCCCGCTTTCGAGGTAGTCCGCAGAGTGTCGTAAAGAACGTTATCGTTGCTATCGTCGAGCAGCAGCGCGCGTCTATGTTTGGGTGCAGCTGAAAGCCATCGACTTGACCTCAACTCTGCTCGACTGAAGCCCAATGCGCCTACCGGCATCCGTCAGGATCCCTGCGCGCATCAAGCGAATGAACAAACGAAGCAAGACCTGCACTTTATTTCTGATATCTTCTGTTTTTTGCTCTGTTCACAACGCGGGGGTGAGAATTGCCGGCTGCTGCAGGGAATAGCTATTTTAGGCGATAGCTTGTTTAGTTCCTCTTACAACTATTGACGGGTCTGGCGCATTTGCACCGGGGCTGGCCATATAGGCGGTCATCATGCATCGGCGCCATCAAGCTGTGAGACTCGAGGCAACGAACATTGCGCGCCACCCAAGACAAGGGCCTGCAGTGCAAGCGACGACATAGATGGCAAACTGCGGGTATGTCTGATAATCAATAGCTTTTCAGGGTTCGAAGTCGCCGAATCCCATTGCAAATCGCAGCCAAGTATGCACATCACTTCCGGAACTGGGCGTGCCGGCGCGCATCATCGAATTGGCGTTTGCTTGTGACAATGCGCTGTGAAGGTCCCGCTGCCTGTGACCTTGATGCAGTCCACTGCTTTCTTCTGCTGTAATGGCGTTGACATGGTGTCTCCGAGTCATGACAGACCTGCACGTTCAGGGAGGTGAGCGCTGGCAAAGTGGCCCTTGGAATCGTCACAAGCGTCACAAGTCAGGGATCAGGGGCGCCTCGCTTGTTCTTGCCGTCTGCAGGCGATCCTTCCTTGAACTCAACGAAGCTGAGCAGCAATCCTTCTCGTCATCGTTTGGCTTTTGCCAGCCAGCCAGGGCAGGGTTTGATAAGCCTTCTCGCGCACTCACAGTGCATATCCAACCCAAGTCACAGCTCGGATACAGGATCAGTCGGCCGCTCACTCCGGTCCCGTAGCTGCTGTACCGCCTTGTGCAGCACCTCGCTTTCGCTCTCCCGCGGGTCTACACAGCAATTATTGCCGAGCCCCCTTCACCTCTCAGCCTTTACAGCTTCCGTGTGCTCCTATTCTTGTGCACGTCACTCCCACATTCTTACCCCACATCCTACCGACGCTGGACTGTTGTCCATAGACACGCCCACTTCACACACACACCGCCCTTGTCTGTACTTCACACTATCGCACGACATCGATTGCGCGCCAGCCAGCTCGCGCCAACCTACATCAATTTTCCTCCAGCGAGTCCACACTCTACGAAAGCCAGGAAGAACAAGTGACGATAATCACGGCGTGCGCAGTCTTGCGTTCCCCTCGTCCTCGAAGCGCTGCGCTGATCGTGGGGCTTCCGTTCCTGACCAGCTGGATGCACTCATAAGGTTGACAGGATGGCTAGCACTGTTGTCGCCACGCCTCCTCCCCGGAACGACTCGCCAAGTAACAAGACATCAAAGAAGAGGGAGAGCGACGCAACCCCAGAAGGCAAGCCCAAGAGGACGCGTACAGGATGCCTGACGTGCAGGGAAAGGCACCTGAAGTGCGACGAGAACAAGCCCTGCTGCAACAACTGTGCAAAGTCTCAGCGCGACTGCAATTGGGGCAAGAAGCTCAACTTCCTAGACACAACCTGCGAAAAGAACGCCTACCTCATCCCCAAAGGCGCTGAATATCAGGTCGCATTCCAAGATGAGTCGAGGATAATCGCGGCCGAGTACGTGGGTGGGCGAGAGATGTATCCCGCAGAAGAGGCCGATACATATATACCAATGGCCGCTAATGGCTTCGCCATGGGTCCACCTGGAGGCCTCGCTCATCCGCCAGGTGCTCACCAGCTGCTTCCACCAATACAGGGTGTGGCTCAGGAGTCTTTCCAACAGGCGCAGCACTACAACTACGATCACCAGCATGTTCCCCAGCAGCATCATGCAAGAGCCCGTAAGTGCTGCCGATATGTTACAGCTGCATAACTCGTACTAAAGATCATAGTTTCGAACTTCTCGAACTCGAACCGATCGCCATATGACATGGATCACGGCGCGAGCCCTGTACCGGTCCCGGCGCGTGACTACCTCAAATCTCAAGAGGAGGTGCTATACATGCAGGTGTTTGTCGAAGAGATAGGGATATGGATGGACAGCATGGATGCGCACAAGCACTTCTCTCGGCTCTTGCCATTCCACGCATTGAATGAGCCTATGCTGCTCAACGCGTTTCTCGCTTGCGGCGCTCGTCATCTAGCCCTTGTGAACCCTAAGTATAGCGAGGAGAAGGCCTTGCACTACTACGATGTCGCGACACGAGATCTCCTTCACTCTCTACAGGATCCAGACCGTGACACTGTTCTTTGTGCAACCACAGCGGTCATCTTGAACGTTTACGAGATCATGGGCGAACGAGCATTGCAGCGGATGAACCATATTGCCGGTGCTCGAGCCTTGATCAAGGAATGCCGGTGGAACGCACGCGCGATCGGCGTCGGTGCGGCCTGCTTTTGGCTGAACGTTGGAATGGAGATTCTCAGTTGCCTTCACTTCAATTGGCAAGTGGCTTGGGATCCTGATGAATGGGGCATCGAACTAGACTTTTCGCCAGAGACCGAATCCGGGAAAGAGGAGAGCTGGACGCACAAAATCCTGTATATTGTTGCAAAGATCTGCAATTACCGTGCGTCGATACCCCGGAATCCCGATATTTCAAGACAGACGCTCCAAGATCGCCATAACGAATGGCTGCGCCTGAAAGACATGGCAGACAGGTGGAACGAAGGCATCCCTCGCACTATGCATCCTATGGCATACCTTTACCCTGGTCAAACCATTTCTGGCTCCGCATTCCCGGAAGTTTGGTTGATCAAGCGAACATCCATCGTTGCCAGGTTGTTCTACCACACGTGTCTGGTCTTGCTTGCCCAGATCAATCCCATCCAAGGATCCAATGAGCCAGAAATGTGGAGCATGATCGAACAGAACTCCAAGTTCATCTGCGGTATCAGCGCCCACGTGAAGGATCGAGGTGTGGCTAGCGTAGCTCTACGCTCTCTTGCGATTGCGGGCGAATGTCTTACCGATCGGCGAGAACAGGAAGAAATACTCCAGATCTTCGATAAGATACGTCAGGAGACAGGCTGGCGGATTGGTTTCGTGAACACAGAGCTGAAAGCGAAGTGGGGATGGGATGTACAGGACCAACAGCAAGCCAATGGCCACGCTCAGGACGCTGCAGCCTTCCAGCAACAGCAAGCACATCAAGCTCAGGTTGTAGTGCAGCAGCAAATGCAGCCTCTACCGACACAGCCCCCTATTATTCGACCAAGGCCCCCACCAGGTTTTGGCAACCCACTTCTTGTGGCAGACTTTAACATGCCACAGCATCCTTATCAGAGCCATTACGTGCCGGCGAACTTCATTCAGCAGCAACAGCCGGCGACACTTCTCCAGCCACCTATTGCTGTTGCAAACGGCTTTGGCGGACATCAATTCTACTAAGCACCTTCTTGCGATATACCTGCAGCCCTCAGGCTCATTCTTTTCGATTCTGTATTACCGACCGGCCTATGCATTGCTCTGGAGCGACGGCGTCCTTGAACCTCTTTCGATAACTAATCGGAATGTGGGCACACAAAAGCGCACAAGCGCTGCTTATGATGTCACGACCAGCAATACTCGACATTTCGAAGGAAAGCAGATGTTGCCGACATATCGACTTGCATATTGTACATATACCCCAGACGTAGCGTGTTGAGTGGATTCATAATGTCACGCCTACAGTCAGTACCACAGTTGCACTCCCCTTATTTCAAGTTTCTGGCCCTGCAGGTTCCTGGCCTCTTTCAGGTTCTATCACTACAACCCATGTTGACCTACAGGTCCACCGTTCTACTGATCAAGATCACTGGATAACCAGGAGAAACTCTTGACTAATGTTCACCGAAGAATTTTCTTCCCTTGTGTAGGTTTGAGGCACGTCATCCACGCCAAGACATACTCAGATTACTCCGGATGTTCCCTGTTCTTGGACGGAGAACTTATCCGAGAACAGGCAAAGTGTAGTCCATCTCTACCCCGCAGTAGACCCGAAGTATGTCTTACTGCGCTTCCTTTACCTTGGCGGAGCGCATACCAAGTACCTGACAGAGCGCATTCCACACGCACAAGCCTTGAACTTGACTTGGTAGCTGGCTTGAGCCGATACTGCTGGTGGAAATGGAGTCTTCCCTCGAAGAAGCCAAGGAAGACAACGGTAAGTGCATTCGGTCGTACAGGTTGAGTTGGAGCATCCTGCCTTGACTGAAATATTGCATCTCCGGTCGCTGTGCGCTTTTGAAAAAGTTTAACGACAATCCTGTGAGCCGTTGTCATTTCGAACCAAAATGCTTGCCCCCAATCTCACGCCTTTTCTCTTTTCTCTCCTTCCTCTCCTGACAAATGCAGCAACTCTCTTCGCTGCACAGTCGAGCGGCCACTTGACCACACTCTCACTCACCCGCCATGGCAAATCCTACAATCTGTCCGCTACATCCACCACACGAGAGGCTGGCGGCAACCCTTCATGGCTTAACATCGATACCAAACAGAGACTCCTATACTGTCTAGACCGCGGCCAAAGCAACGCAACAAAAGGTTCACTTAACTCCTTCAACATCGGCTCAAACGGCGTGCTAGAAAAGATCGCCAGCGTTGATGCACCATTTTCGGGCGTAGCAGCTGAGTACTTCGACCTCGGCGGCGGGAACAGAGCATACGTGACTGCGAGCTAGTCCGTCTTGCCCCTGCACAATCTATACCCAAGACTAACAAACACAGCAATCAATCAGCAATCGCAGCCTTCTCGTTCCCTTCAAACGGGTCTCTCGAGCCACCGGCTCAGGTTTTGCACCCAACATCCGCCACCACGGGGCCCATCCCCAGCAGACAAAACGGCAGCTTCTCGCACCACGTCATCCTCGACCCGAGCCAGAAATTCATCCTGGTTCCTGATCTCGGCGCCGATCTCATACGCATTTTCACGTACCACCCTGACTCCGTTGCCCCGCTGACTGAACTCACGCCGCTCAAGACAGATCCCGGCGCGGGACCAAGACATGGCGTCTTCTGGCGCACACCCGGACAGGGAAAGGAGGAGTGGTTTTTGCTGTTCAACGGTGAATTGAGTCAGAAGGTGTACTCGTATCGTATCACGTACATTGAGGGTGGGTTGGAGTGGGAGAAGGTGGGTGAAGTGACGGCGTTGGGGGAGCTGGGGGAGGGGCTGGAACCGAATCAGGCGCCGACTAGTGAGATTGCTGTTTCTGTGAGTCTTAACCTCCTTTCTTTGCGCTGATCGGTTGTGGGCGCTGGCTAACAGAGATAGCCTGATCGGAGGTTCGTTATCGTGAGTAGTCGCCAGCACTCGTTCAATCTGTCGCCGCTGCATCAGAAGGAGGACAGCGATTCGCTGTCGACGTTCAGGATTCAGGACGATGGTGCGTTGAGTCTGGTTCAAATTGCTCCGTCTGGTGGCCACCTGCCAAGACAGTTTAGTCTCAACAGGAAGGGGGATAGGGTTGCAGTCGGGCACCAGGTCAATAGTACTGTTGTCATTTTAGAGAGGGATGTTAGGAGTGGGAAGATTGGAGAGAAGGTCGCGGAGACCGTGGTCAGTGGTCCTGTAGTGTTCGTTGGCTGGGATGAGTAGATTTCTGATGGTCTCTAGGATCGAAGAACGTGGCAGTCCGAGACAGAACAGCATTGTAGTGAAAAGTATGACTAAATCCTTGAGCAATATTGCGTCCTTTCTCCTTCGCGACATCATATCTTTGAGAATATCTTCGTACTCAAGAACTGACGGAGATACATCCCAGTAAGGCACGACAAAGTCGTTGAGCACATTGTCGAAGGGCAGCACGACTCTACGGTGGAAAATCGAGGTTGATCCTGCCCTGAGCCTAGCGAGCCGTAGATCTGCCGCGTCTGCTGTGTCCACGATACATCAGAAGTCCTCGACCAAGCTGTTAACATGCTCAGATCTCAGTGAGGACAATTGCGTGAAACCGTTTTCGATCGGAAGTATTATATTCCGGATCCGGACTACTGTTGTCTTGGGATCCGTATGCCAGTGAGGGCTCCAGGAGCCCACCAATGGCCCGCTAGGAATCACAGTCCATCATGTACACGGCGACTTGTGCATAGATATGAACACAGAAAATAAACGCCGCAGCCGACAAGACCACCACGTCAATGTATTAAGAAGTCCGCGAAACTGGGCCTTCTGGTCGTCGTGAGCCTGAATTGGCAACTTTAGTAATGACCAGGTACATGCCGAGAGTATGCGTACAGCGTCAGCACAGGGTCGCGAAAGGAAGGCACTGATGACGCTTGTCAGTTATGACTTCATATCAGATTCGACCATTCTTTACCAGGTAAGGAAAATACAAGTTTGACATGTCGAGCAACGGGGCAACCAAACCAGGCTGACGTACAAGGTATTGGCCGACTATGTCTGTGGCTCCGGCCACATGAAGAGAATCGTCGTTCCAGCTGATTCTGATCACTGCTGATTTCAGGGGTCCAAATATCTGAAGCTGATGTTGAGGTGTGAACGTCAAGCAACATCACGTCTAGACACGAGCTGAGCCGTGGCTTATAGGGCCCCAACTGAGGGAAGATGCATTTCCGACTTTTGGCCGCCGTGTTTGGTGTCTCAATTGCATAACAAGTAACCCTACATAGGATCCTGCTGTTCTCAAGCGAGCTTGCTCAACATCACTCGATAAAATACACCAGTGTGAGGAAGAGAGAAGAGAAGATTGGGTGTGTGGCAACGCACAGCCAATGAAGCGTCGTAGCAGCAATGACGTTGTTTCGGCGACGCTTGGCTTCCAACACAACGCAGCTCCGCCGCAACCTTGACAGCTGTCACGCATCACCCATCTCATCTCCAGACACCCGTCAACCTCTCGCGAACCCGTACAACCAGTCGTCAAACTGCGGTATTCACATCTCTCCAGCTCCAACATGGACTTCTCCGATATCTTGTACGTACCTGCGAAGCTGGAGCTTGAGCTCTACCAGGCAGCAGCTCTCCACACAGCCATTGGCATCGAAGCCTGTAAAGCTAACAAATCGCAGTCGCATGGTGAACTTCGCCGTCGCCGCCTTTATTGTGCTCGGTGGTGTCGCGAAATTGTTCCCTTTCAACGACTTGTGAGTACACCTGTTCAGAAGGTCTCATGCCCACAAAGGCGCGAACGCCTGCCACACGTCCAACCTGTGCCGACGCAAATTGAATTGCCGAGAACAAGATAATTGCACACGTTCATCGAGTCCGAACAACGGCCCAAGGCCAAAATGAAGGGTGGCTAGTGAACTTGGTGCGAATGCGCTGGGAGTTGAAACACCTCCTCGACCTGTGGCAGACGACCAACGCCATACCTGCTACTTTGCACATGCCAGCATGAATTTTCTGCATGGTCATTCAGCATACGGACCATGGACTGGCGAGCTTCGCAATTTGGACCGTGATGAGAAGGGACCGGACAAAGCTGACAGACTGCACAGCTCAAATATCATACTCGGTGTTTACCTGATCATCTTCGGTGCCGGTACGTAACACAACCTAGCGCAGAAAGTGTGCAGAGACTTACATTCGCACAGGTACTGCCCTGCTTGAGTTCCAGATTCCCCAGCAGGTCGCACGCTATGCGTCTTTCATGTTCTCCTTCCTCGGCCGTGGTATCTGTACGTATCCAAGCAACTTCACTGCAGGCACGAAGCTAATTTTGAGGTAGTCTACGTTTTCATCGGTTGCGTAACTGTTGGTAACGGCTGGTACCGCATTGTTCCTGGTACCATTGTTGGCATCATTGGTCTTGCCTATGCTGTTCTGGAGTACATCCCTTCGATTGAGCCCCCTGCGAATATGCGGTACGTCTGAACAATAGGTATTCTTGAGTGCGATATTAATGCAATGACAGCGATGCCGACGCTGGCTGGGGCGCTGAGCAGGTCTAAACCCCTAAACTCGTGCCCGAGGATGGCGGTCGATGAATCCTTGAGCGCACGTCCGTTTCTAGCATTTGAGCCTCGGTAGCTGTCCGTTGTTTTCTTCTTGTACTAAAATGCGCTGCATGGGGCGGCCGGTCTGGCCAGGCGAACTGCAGTCAACGTCGGCAAGATGCTGCCGACGTCCTTTGGCGCAGTGTTAGAGATTCATGAGAGGATCAGAGAGAAGTAGAGAACTGGTTTGTGGGATGCTCTTCATCACAGCGTCTACAGTCCACATCCAGGGGCTTTGTATACCATCAATGATTGCTACACATCAAAGCAAACACCTGGGCAGCAAACACATCATCCACACGTGCTCGCTTGTCTTAGTGTCCGCGCTCGCATGAGACGGACCCAGACTTCGACTCTGGTCCCAACTTCCTAGCGCACGGGCCACGGAGATTACTTGATCGGATTCCACGGCCTTTCGAATCGTGTTGAAGGATTCACGAGGCGCGATAAGATTTGACGCAATATGACACAAGACGATCGTTCCGATATCCTTGTGCTATTCTTTGGACTCTGACGAGGGTGCCAGAGGAAGTGCAGCGAGCAAATAAACATGCTCCACTACTCTCGGCTGGGATCGAATGCGCGGAACAGAAGGGATCTCGAGGCGAACGGCTCCAAGTCCGCCGACAGTTTGCCAAGCTGCAAGGCTTGGAGCAGCTTGACAAAGTCACAATTTTCCCTGTTTTCGTTCGTTGCCACAGAGCGAATAGTTTAGGTGGTGGCGATGACGAGAGACCTTTCCGAGAGAATCCCACGTGAATACAAAATATCAGAAACGTACAGGTACAGGCAATTGAGTTCGTTGTTGTCATAGCATCTTTCATGTTGATGGGTCTTGCTGGTTGTTTCCAGGGTTCGTATAACGCTATGATCCGCTTACTTTCGGCGGGGTGCGATTGGCTGTACAATGCGAAGGCGGTGAATCAATTCTGGTTATGCACATCGAACTCACCGCACCAACGAGGCTTCGCCATTGACTATCATAACCCGACCTATGACAAGGAGTAATACCGAAGCGCATGACAACCTCCCTTGCTGACCACAGACCCCCATAAAGACATACTCCGTCCTTACAGCGTGCCACCCACACCTAACACCGTGAACCAACCCCTGGGGTCACCCGCATACCGTTCCAAGGCTCCGCTCGCGTCACTACGCCTTGTACCTGTACTTTCATTTGTTATCCGGTTCGCGTTCCCCGTGCCGAAGCACCTCCTCTCTCAGCCTCAGAACTCCCCTCCTCCCTTCCAGGCAACATTGCGTTTTCGCATTACTAGACCGCGCGCATTCCGTGAGCCGGAAGGTCACTGCCACAATGGCGCATCCTTCAGGCAACGGAGGCACTTCACTTGCTCCAACGCCCACTCACCCACACCACTTATCGCGGGAGTCAAGCAAAGAAGAATTGGAAATGGCCGAGAGCCTCCGACGTCTAAATCAGGTCCAAGATGCTCAGATGTCCAACACTGGATCGCCTTCCAGAGAACGATCGGGCACACCGGAAGACGACCAGAAATCCGAGATTTACCACTCACTCGAGGATGCCGTACCTATTGCGGGTGCAGCGGCCTCACCGATGCCCTCGACCTCGTTATCGTTTCCACCACGGAGTGTTGGCGGCGGAGATAGCGCGCCTATAATTGGGCAGGTCTGCAGGTATGTTGCTTAGCTTGTTTCAAGATCCGCGTGTCGGTAGATGCTTAGCATTCAGGACCCCAAAAGGCGTATTCAGGTATACTGACAAGGTCAAGCAACTGTAGAACTACACAAACGCCGCTATGGCGTCGTTCGCCAACAGGAGAGACCGTCTGCAATGCATGCGGACTTTACATCAAAGCCAGGAACCAGCAACGTCCAGTCAACCTCAAGCGTAACACTCCTTCGCAACTAGGTGTGCCGGTGCAGCAAAGTCCGACTCCCAGTGCCACCGGCAAGCAAGATATCTCCCCTGGGAATATTGCTTCGTCGCCTCGCGTTGCAACTTACGTTGCTGCGGATCAGATGGCATCAGGCACCTGTCCAGGAGGTGGCAGGTGTAACGGTACCGGAGGACAGCAAGGGTGCAACGGGTGCCCTGCTTTCAATAATCGCGTGTCTAAGACAGCCAAATTTGCGCTGCAGCAAGCAAGTACCTCAACGAAGCCCGCAGATGGCTCGAACGAGAACAGTACATCCGGGTCCTGCTCAGGATCAGCCTCGACAAGTGCCATTCCAGCTTGCCAAAACTGCGGCACCACTATTACACCTCTCTGGCGAAGGGACGACGCTGGTCATATCATTTGCAACGCCTGTGGTACGTAGAGTGTGGTGGAGACTGCGATATGAATGTCCGCTGACGATGCTACCTAGGTCTTTACTACAAGCTTCACGGCACCCACCGACCTGTTGCAATGAAGAAGCAAGAGATCAAGCGTCGCAAGCGTGTCGTACCTGCTGGGGACAACAACTCACAAGCCGCCCCTTCTGTCGCCAACTACTCTCTACCCCAGCGCTCATCGCAAAACCCTGCTCTCGACGGGTCAGCATCTCCTGATCCCATACCGTCCCGTGAAGAGTATACTCCGGAACCTAGAGGTCCTCTGGCGGTTGACTTCACCCACTACAGAAACAATAACAACAACAACAACAAGCTCAATGTCATATCCAATCCCTCTGTACACCCAGGCGCTCCTTCGCCGCGAAAGCGTAGTCTGAGCGCTACCATGGACCCCGATGAAGTGCCGGCAAAAGCCGCAAACCCTGCGCCGCACCGACCGAACGCTATATCCTCGATACTCAATCACCCGCGTACCGAAGAGTCCAATATCGATCCATCCCTTTCCGTACCCCTACGCCCTTCCGGAGGGTCTTCGCCGAACCCGACAGCGACGCAGGAGGATAAGAAGGCTCGACGAGAACGGTTGTTGCGCGAGCAAGAGCGGATAGCGGCTGAATTGGCTGAATTGGGGCACGATTGAGAGTGTCCCGGCGTTCATGGATAGGCAAGACAATTGGTCGGCCTTTTGATTTTGGGAATAATGTGACGAATCACGAAGTAAAGCGATACCTAAATGGGTGGGAAGGTGTTATGGATGTGCGTGTGTACACAATACTACGGCGCAAGGGTTATTCTAATCGTTCACCAGCTACCAGCGCGCAGACACCAATTTTGGAGCGGTGTCGCAGCTGTTGGAGCTGCGTGATCTCTACTCCACCAGGGCGGTTGAAGAAGTGCTCATCCAAGGCACCACAACGTTGGCCTCGTATCTCGATGCACTGTTGAGACTACATGGTAGCAATCATACGAATTTGTCTACTCCACTGTCTTCTTCGGTGTCCAGCGCTGCTGTTTCCCCAAACTTGACTTTACGACTGGTTGAGTCAGCCTCCTATGAAGGGTAGACCAAGGCTTTTTCGACAGCGTGATCCGAGCTTGAGCGTGCTTGAGTTAAGGTACGCCAAGCTTACACACTCGGGTAACTAGCTGATGAAGATCCTCGTGCAATGCATGTGTGGCTCACACTAGTTTACTCCACTCCGGGGCAATGTATGCTTGATTTCAACATCACGGCTCCCAATAGGAAATTGGACAGACCGACCATCTCGACTACACGCTACGTAAAACAACCGCATCCATTTCCCACTATCACATAGATTCTGCATACAACATGTCTAATGATGGCATTGGCTTCATGGACCACAATTGGCCCTTCAACACTATCACGAACAGAGACTCCCACAGCCTCCACGTCGGCCAACGAAACAGATGCAACATCCTCACGGTCCTCTCTCAGACCTTTCTCACGGTGTTCGAACGCTTCACCGAGAGTACCTGGTCCAAGGACGACGTTCGAATCCAGTACGCCAAGATGGACTACACGCCAGAGACGAGCTCTATGTTCGTGCTTGCAGCCGATCAACTCCCGATCACGGTGGCAATGGTCGGGGAGAGATGGGCCAGGACGGTGACGAGCCCTGAGATTGGGGAGATTGAGATGCTGGTGGTGGACGTGGTGAAAGAGTATCCCAATATGACAGATGGCTGGTTCAGAGATCAGACTCACGACTCGAACCCTCCACATGGTGCCTGATTATTTTCAAGTGCTTCCATGTTTCTTCTTTGCACGAAACCGGTGAGAAAAGAAGTCTAGCTAAGAGACCATCCAAATGCGGATTTGCGCTGCCAACCTTGTACCTGAAAACTTCGCCACTCGGTTCAGAGTAGCGTGAGCGCTACCGGTGCACTAGATGCCCGAAAGGTTGAGATGGAGCTTAAGGTTTGGGCTGAATGTAAATGTACGCGTGCGGACGACGCAGCCCTTGGGTCAACCTTGCGAATGAGATGACCGGTACTCCAGCCAGTACTTCAGCCAGTACTTCAGCCCTCGCCTCAAGCTTGACTGAACATACCGAAAGTATTCCAACAAGCCATTGCTAACAAAATGTCTACAGCAGCGAGGTGAGAAAGCGAAAGCCGCGACAAAGGAAAGAATAGCCGTGCCAGGCAGTCGTCAATGACATGCACAAGAGGCGCGCTCTGCCCCCCCCCCCCACATTTCCCCCAACAATCTCCACACGGCCGCAAACGGTCTCACGTTCTAGAAACTCGGTAACCAATGCAACATTAAACGATGGCTAAGCTCGGATAGGCTTCTAGTCGTACGTTGTTACTGGACACACACGCGACCCATCTACAATCGTTTGGGACAACCGCGCAACCCAATGGCTCGCGCTGCTGATGGGCTGAACCACAGTCAGTAACTCCGGCGTGATGGAACCGGTAGTCTCAAGGACCTGGGCTCGTCATTGCACTATCCATCTCGTTGTCGCATCAATGCAGCCCTCTCGCACAAGCCTCCTCAGTTCTGTCTGTCTCCTTTCCTGTCCATCTTCCATCAGCAATGATCAAGGGGACGCCCACTGTCGTTCACAATGACTTTCTCTTCACCTTCGTTACGCTCGTTGTCTCCTTTTTCTACTCAAGTCTGCGATGAAAGACCTGAACAGCACAATGTCAACAATGACAATCGCCGCCGCTTCAACGGCAACATGGCCACACAATCGAACAGCTCCAGACTGCTTCTGAGCTCGAACCACATAGCAACACAGATGCGCGAGCCACTATGCCCATACGAGCCCGAGGACACGACACAACGCGCTCCAGCGCGATGGCACATGGGCGTGAGCGGCTCACCTCGCCCCCCAACCCCACCGCCAACACACCTCCCGCCGCTGCGCCGCCGCAGCGCACCACCCACCCCGTTCCCGCCCACCGACACGCGGCGCCACGGCATGATGCTCGCCCCACCACTAGACACAGACGAAGACCTGCCCTCCTACTCAGCGCGGGACATGGCCTTGCGGCGCCACACCCACCCCATGGCGGCCTCGGAGCTGCGTCTCGAGCCCCCTTGCGACGGCCTAGTCGCAGCCGCGGCGGACCCGCCGCCAGCATACGCAGCGGCCGATCCGTGCCTGTTTCCCGGTGCGGCGGGGCGGCGCCCGAGCCGCGTGGCGAGGGCGCTGCTGTGTCCGTTTGTGCCGGCGGGCGGGCTGCTGGAGGGCGCGGCGGGGTGGGCGGATCGGTGGGCTGCTGGGGTGTGGGGGAGGGCGAGGGACGTGCCGCGGCGGATTGAGGATAAGCGGGCGAGGCGGAAGGTGCGGTGGCTGGAGGAGCGGGGGTGGGGTGGGGATGGTAGTGGCAGGGAGCAGGCGGCGGGGCGTGTGCGATGCAGTGAGGATGCAGGGCGTGTGCGATGCAGTGAGGATGCGGGGCGTGTGCGATGCAGTGAGGATGCGGGGGTGTGCTATGAGCATTCTGCGTAGCCGGGTAGTAGGAAAAGGCGTATAAAACTTCATTATAATGTTCTTTGTAAATGCTTCTTGCTTGGTCTCATCATACAACCACCCGCCTCAACGCCTCAGTCCCACCCAGCACCTTCCGCCCCGTCACAGCATCCCTCCCTTTCCCGCTCTCCCAGCGGCCCTCACGACTCCCCTCCTCGCGGCTCCACTCGGCGTCGCTACCCTCTTGGTCGAGGCCCGCCGAGCCCTCCATGAAGGCAACCTGGCGGTCGTGCTCGCCGGCCACCCAGCGGTGGATGCACGTGTAGCAGTAGACGAAGCCGGTGGGGCTGGCGGTGGGGTTTACGACGGGAGAGCTGCAGATGGGACACAGCGTCGAGTCGGAGGGGAGCGGGACGGTGAAGATGGGCAGCAAGGACGAGGCGGCGATGGGGGGATCGATTGGTTTGGGTGGTGCGTTGTGGTGCTTCTCCGACGTGGTCCCCGACGTGGTCCCCTCCGTGGTGCCCGCTGCTGCACGTCTGCCCTCCGCGGTGCCCGCTGCTGCACGTCTGCCCTCCGCGGTGCCCGCTGCTGCACGTCTCCCCTCCGCGGTGCTGGCTGCGGCCTTGTTTCTGCGGCGCGACAGCGAGACCGAGGACGGCGGCAGCGACGGCAGGACCGGCGGCGGTAGGTCCATGTTCTCGGCGGCCTTGCGCGACAGCTGGCGCGCAAAGTCCGAGGCGTGCCACCACTCGAGGAACTTGAGCGCGAAGATGGACGTCGGGAGCAGCATCTTCAGACTGCTCAGCAGGCGCGGCTGCACGCTGCGCGCCAGGTTGCGCGGGCTGAAGATGCTGCCGCCCTCGCCGGGCCGCGCGGGCCCCACGCTCTTCGCGCTCGTGAGCGCTTCCACCGCAGCGTGGTCGGCGGCACCCAGTCGTCGTATGCGGGTGCCGATGATCCACAGGAAGGGCGAGTGGTACTTTGTGCTGTCGAAGAGATAGGCCATGTTGAAGACGAGCAGCGAGAAGTAGTAGGCCGCGTTCACGCCGGGGTAGAGGTTCCGCAGAAACCACTTGTACCCGTGCATCAGCCTGTCCCGCAGGCTCCTGCTGTGTGCGTCTCGCCCCCGGCTCGCGTCGTAGCCGGGCCCGAGCAGCCCGCGGTGGGCCGCGTGCATGTCGTAGCCCTCGTCCAGCTTGCGCTTCAGCCACGGCAGGCCGACCAGCACGGCGAGGTTCCGCCACACGTCGGCGCTGGTGAGGCGGCTTGCGTGGCGCACGCTCTCGGCGGCGCCCATCTGCGCGCGCGGGAGCTCGCCGCCGCGCACACGCAGCACGCGGGCGCGCTTGAGGCTGTAGAAGTTCTCGGTGAAGGAGCCGCCGTAGGTGCGCAGGAAGTGGCGCTCGACCAGCAGCATGACCAGCGCGTAGACCTCGTCGAACGAGTTGAGGACAGGGAGCAGGTAGCGAGGGTAGCGCGGCGTCGCGACGGCGAGCAGGTAGCGCAGCGAGGGCGGGAGCAGCGCCGCGAGCTGCTGTTCCGAGAGCAGCTCGAAGAGCGAGGGCTTGAGGTCGTCGACGCCGGACTGGAGGGTCGGGAGGAACTCCATCGTGGCGGCGGGTGTGTGTTACTGGGGGCGGCGCATTGGGTCGGGGCTGATGGGGTGTCAGTGGGTGTGGAGTGGGTGTCGACGGGTGTGGAGTGACGGCGGACCGAGGCATAAGATACCGATGGGTACCTAGATGCACGAGCGGGTCCATCCCGTCGCGTCGCGCTGCGTCACAGCCAGAGCTCCAACACCACCACACCAGCATTGCCGACATGACGGACACCACGATGAGGCCGACAGACCATGCGCGGTGTCGGGAGCTGGAGCATCCCGACATGGTCAACTTTTCCGTCTCAGTGTAAGACACCGCCGACTCTTTCTCTCTCTCCCTCTCTCTCTCTCTCCCTCTCTCTCTCTCTTTCTCTTTCTCTCTCTCTCTCTCTCTCTTTCTCT